TATCCGAATTATAGGGGTACCAGAAGGGGAAGAGGAAGATCGACAAGTGGAAAACTTATTTGAACAAATAATGAAGGAGAACTTCCCCAATCTGGCAAAGGAAATAGAATTCCAGGAAGTCCAGGAAGCTCAGAGAGTCCCAAAGAAGTTGGACCCAAGAAGGAACACACCAAGGCACAATGAAATTACGTTACCCAAGATTAAAATGAAGGAGAGAATCCTAGAAGCAGAAAGAGATAAGGAGACAGTAACCTACAAAGGAGCTCCCATCAGACCATCAGCTGATTTCTCAAAAAAGACCTTACAGGCAAGAAGGGGCTGGAAAGAGGTATTCCAAGTCATGAAAACCAAAGGCCTACATCCAAGATTGCTCTATCTAGCAAAGCTTTCATTTAGAATGGAAGGACAGATAAAGTGCTTCTCGGATAAGACCAAATTTAAGGAGTTCATCATCACCAAGCCCTTATTGTATGAAATGTTAAAGGGACTTATCTAAGAAAAAGAAGATAAAAAATTTGAACAGTGAAAGGACAGCAAACTCACAGTTATTAATAACCACACCTAAAATAAAAGCAATCTAAGAGGACAGCTAGATCAGGAGCAGAAACATAGAAATTAAGATCTCAATGGAGGGTTAGCAACAGGGGAGTGAGAGGAAGAGAAGGGGGGAGAAGGTACAGAGAATAAGTAGCATAGATGGTAGGTAGAAAATAGACGGGGGGAGGGCAAAAATAGTAGGGGAAATATAGAATCTAAAGAACTTGAGACACATGGACATAAACTAAAGGGGGGATGGTGGGGGAGGGGTGTTCAGGGTGGAGGGGAATGAAGGGGGGAAATAGAACAACAGTAATGGCATAATCAATAAAATATATTTTTAAAAAAGAGTTGTGGGTTTAAGAGGCAGGGTGGAATATTAGGGGTCTACTACTATAGCTTTGCTGCTACTTCCAAACTTTGTCACCTTTACCATGTTGTCCACAGTCACTTTGAGGTTAGCTCTGAGTCAGCCTTTCCCCTCACTCCCCTGAGTATGTGGACTGCAAGAGGCCCGTCCACTGCCTTTTCTCACAATGTGGTGTGACAGCTTTGGTGTCACACCAAAGTCTGAGTTTGACTTCTCCACTATTTTCTAGCCATGTCATGTCATATGTACACAAGTCCTTAGTACAGCAGAACCTTGGTCTCCTCGTCTGTGAAAGTGAGAAAAGAATGCCTATTTGGGAAGCTGTCCTGAGGATTAAACTGGCTGGCACACATAGAACACTTAGCTCAGAGCCAGGCACTCACTTAATGGCAGCCGACACTTTCTCACCCCACCCCTCCACCCTCCAACCCCTGCCCCAAGCTCTTTCAGGCTGGATATAAATCCATCACACAGCCCTTCCCATGAGTGTCAGGGATGGTGGAGGGCCCACATGATGTGTGCATCCTGCGGGGCAGGGATGAGAAGGTGGAAGACTTTGCTGAAGCTGAGAGGGTGAAGGGAGGAGAAGGGAAGAGAACTGTCACTTTTTGTCTATAGTCTTGGCTATAAGGACAGGGGAAGCTTTGCCCTGGCTGGAAAGCCAAGGATGAAAGTTAAACTTGGCCTGATCTTTGGAAAGAAATTCCCAAGGGCGTTTAGCTTCTAATTTCCACCCAGCCTGTCTCTCACTGTGCACAGAGTTTCCCACATCCCCTCTCCCCACCACTGATAAATTGGGTAAAGATGAATAGGGTAAAGGAGAACAAATGTACAGAGGTGGCCTAGTGAAGAACATGACTAAGTAAGAAGGCAGAGGGGCAGGTGCAGGTGTCATATTTATCTTTAGGCAGGCAATAGTTAATCCCACTTCTATCATTTGAATCCTAAAATGAGAACTGCAGAGGGTCATTGTCAGTAAATTTAGAAAGAATCTAAAAGTGTGCCCTGGCATATGAATATTCTCAACAACCCCCAAGTTATGCTTAAATACATTCCAGAATGAGGATCTCATTACTGCAGAGAAACTCAACCCTCTGCGCAGCTCTGACTTACATTCAATTGATGTCTCTGTGCACCAGCCTTAATGTTTTGCCTTGGGGTAAAATGGGGCACCTCTAATCCCTTACCCCTATGGCTGCAGCCCCAACCAAGGTACTAGCCAACAGCTATGACACACATTTCCCCTCCAGGTGGAACACACCCTCTTGATCTGTCCATTTTCCCACAGGAGTGACTCTCAATCTGTTGAGGCAAACACTTCCTAGTCCTGTGCCACCTGTTTACAGGGAATTTGTCCCAGATGAGAAGTAGAGGCAGCTGTGGTTGGGATAAAGATGACTTTGCCATTGATGTAAGGGAAAACCTGTCCCATGGAATCCCAAGGAGCCAAGCTGATGTTGTGTCCACTTGCCCCTTCTCCTAGCATGTCCTGGACTCTCCAGATCTTTATTGCCAGAGAAAAGGAAAAGCTGCTTTTCCAAGCTAACCACATCCAGCATAACTACTCTCCCATGCCCACCTCATCTATTCCTACCCCTTCCATCCTGTCTTTCTCCCTTTTGTAGCCAAAGCTCTCCACTGCTTTACAGGGAGGGAAGTGGGCCCTAGGCTAGGCTAGGCTACTCTATTTTAGGACCAAATCTACATGCCATGTCAAGGTGCCAGGATGTAGTTTTCAGCTGGGCTTCCTTCCTCAAGTCCTCCTGAAGCTTTTATCCACTGAGTAGTCGGGCCTGTCCCAACAAAATGGTTAATGCCCTGACACTAGCAGGGTAGCAGGCAGCCAGGAGTGACTAAAACCCGGTGGGCTTCAGGGTGAGGGATCCGTGGGGAGCAGCAGCACGGAGCCATCTGAGACTTCCTGCAGGGCCCTGCCAGCAGACCTTCTGGAGCCCCCAAAATGCCAATGAGGCTGCCCAGCTCATATCCCACCAGGTACTGCCCCAGCCTCCTTTCATCTGAAGTTTCTTAGATACTACTCTCATTCCCACAAAATGATAGGAAAACAAATGGCCTAAGAGTGGTCCATATACAAATCAGTCACACTGAGTGTGGGAATGGGCCTCTGAAAAATGGAGCTAACAGGTATGTCTTCTTGCCTATGAACATCATCAGGTTGGCCTGGTGAAGGTCTTTAGCTAGGGAAAAGAGGCTTGGGTTTCAGCCTAGGTTCTGTCATTAGCCAACTGTGTGACTTAGGGAGAATCACTTTCTCTCTCTGAATCTCAGCTTTAAAAAAAGCTGAGCCCTTACAGGAAGTGTGGGGGTCTTTTCTAGTTAAACTCAGGCCCTGCTGAGGAGGGGCAGTCAGGAGCTTGGGCTGATGTGTGCTAAGCTATGTGGTAGGCCAGACTGGGTGTGAGCTGTGAAAAGAACAGCTGATTTGGAACCCAGTGGACAATTCTGTCTTTGTCCTTGACATGACATGTGGGTTTAAGCAAGTCGCTTCCTGTTCTAGTCCTCAGTTTCCCCTTTAGGAAAACCAGGAGGTTTGGCCAGACAGTCCCTGGACCTCCTTTCATCTCTGATGTTATAAAGATCTACTTACCCCTACTCAAGCAAGACCTGTCCTGGGACTCTGAAAGCCAGTGGCTCCACCTGAGCCCTGTAGGGGGTGTCAGTGGGAAGTGAAGGAGCAGTGAGAATTGAGAGGCTCTTGCAGAGGTACCTTCACCTCAGTTGAGGGACACAGAAAGCTGATGACCAATGCTAAGCCCTAGAGTGGGAGCTAGCCTTTTCCCCACAAGGCAGCTCATTCTGCAACCAGAACTATTCCCCCAGGCTCCAAGCAGCAGGAGGTTAATTTTGCAGAGATGCTCGAACCAAATCTAACCCTTCCAGAAGCCAGGCCCGGCTCCAAATTGTCCTCCCAAGTGTTCTGGGAGAAAAGCTGTAGAATGAGAAAGATGCTGTCTCTACCCCAGAATGGACAAGCAAGAATCACCAGTGCCTTTGGCTGCTGGTCTATTCCCCTGGTTCAGTTTCCCTAACTGTTCAGCTCTAAAGCACCCTCTCCAACATCCCATTTTTGGAAGCCTCCAGAGGACAGACACTCTTTTAAACCAAGGTAATTTGGGTCCTCTTAAATAACAGCCACCACTGTATAATGCTTCCACTTCCTGTCTGGCTTCTCTCTTGGTAGCAGTAGTAATCCTTGCAGGCGTTAGGACTATGAGTGTCAGGATCCTTCTGGAATATTCTAAAATGTATCTGGCCACTAACCACTGACAAAGGTCTGTAAGTCACCAGGGAGCAAAGAGAAATGACAAACCAGGAGAAATGGAGGAACCAACCTCTTTGGCATTACCTTGCCATTCAGAAAATTGAGACTTTTCTTATATGGCAAGTATGTGAGAATGTGTGTGTGTATGAGAGAATAAAGTACAAAGAGATATAAAAACAGGGACCAAGAGAGAAAAAGACCAAGTATGTATGCAATAGCAGAGCCCCTAGGCCAGGAGTTGCCTTCAGTCCAGAACATAGGGCTGACTCAGTGGTATGTAAACAGGATACAGCAGTGTGCAGATGGGACATGAATAACCTGACTCTTCCCCCCACCACCACTGGTTATGAAGTTGCAAGAGGACACACTGTGATCAGCTGTCATCTATTTTCCCCCTGAGTCCAGAGCAGGCAAAAGAGATGTCCACCTAGTTGGACATGGCTTAGAAATGGGGCAGGAAGGATAATCTACCTGTTTGCAGAAAAAAATAGACAACATCAGTGTAATAGTTAACCCTAGGAGGCTTAAAAGATTGTCATCATCCCAGAAATAACCAAGAGCCCTTCGAGAAGTAGTTTTCAGCACCCTGTCCCCAAGGTGTTTCTGAGGGTCTTCTAGGATTCTGGGAAGGCAAAGGGGAAGAGATGAAACACATCAACAAGAGTAGACTAGAACCTCATCCCTGGTGAGGGTCTGGCAATAAAGTTTTACCAGGAAAGGAGTGCCAATGGTCAGGATCCTGGCAAAGCCTTAACTTACTCCACTCTGCATGCTGAAAAAAAGCCACACTCAAGGAAAGTTCAGGGAAGACAATCTCTTTATTATAGCAATAGATTCAATGGAGAAGACAAATTGCAAAAAAAAAAAAAAATCCCACTCTGCTCAAAAAAAGCAGACACATCCCAGCAACTGGACCACAGGAGACCATTTAAGTTTGTCTCCCACCGTCTCTTCCAACCACCCTATAGTACATAAAACCTTGAGAGTACATAAGTAGTTGAGTTGTCTCCTCGAGTGCACAAAGAGCAACAAAAACATTCCATAATTTGACTTTGGTGAATCAACTCAAAACATTGAGAAATGATTGTTTTCCTCCCCAATGTATTTTTGGGGGTGAGTGTAGTGAGATGTTTTATATCCATGTATATAATATACCTATACCTATATATAGACTGTGTACAAATGCATCAGCAAGCTTTAATAAAGGAAGACATCAGCAAGAGACACAGGCTGTTTATCCTTAAGACATAAGTAGGAAGGAAAGTTTCTTGATTTATCACCCATTCCAAATGCACCACACCATTCCCATGGCCTGGGACTATCCACTGGACCTGGCCAATATTTTCAATTGTCCATCTGCTTAACATGACTTTGTAAATACTTACCAGCCCAACCTCCCCAAGGAGATTAATAGGGAGAAATATGGATCCAATCAGCTTTTCCTTTGTATTAACTGGGAATAAATGTGATTAGTCCTTATCTAGGGGGCAGAAATTTCCAAAGCCAGTTCCAAGGCACCTCAAGGCATTTTAATCCTGAATAATTGTGCTTTGTTCTTAAAAGCTAAATTCCATGGGTTGGCCAGCCCACCTCTCTTTACAATGACCCTTGATTAAAGAGAACAGACAGATAGGGGGTTCTGAGAGAGCAGCAGAGGTGGGGCAGTTGAGAAAACCAGCAGACTGGACCCAGCAGAGTGCAGTAATGGCAACATGCAGCCAGAGTAGGGCTTGAACTCAGAGTAGTGCAGAAAAAGAAACAGCTTGCTGGTATAAACTAGAAAGCAAGGTAGAGAGCTGGCAGCTGTGGAAACATCTCATGTTTTCCCACCTCTATTCACAAAAGTTTGATTTTGTTCCCAACCTCATTGCCCTGGGGGAGGCAGCTCTATGAGACTTCTGGAGGAGATTCTAAGGGGCTTGAGAAAAAGGTGCATATGAGGGTGGGCATCTGGGCACAGGTGGTTCCTGGCCCATTCTCATCTGCTTGGACCCCTGAGGCCCATGGAGAGGACTTGCCCTCCCTAGGCCCCACTGCACCACTGAGTCATGGCAGAGAAAAGAAGAAACCCAGAAGTCTTGGGCTACTTTACAGAGAGTTAGCATTTTTTAGAATAAACCTAGGGAATCTTACAAATAATTGCCCTAAACGTTACGAGTGCTGGAAAAAGAAAGGTCCCCAGCCAGCATTAGAATAGATCCTTACTCGTCCCAGAAGGGTACTTAGTTTGCCAAAAAGTGCTATCTGCAGACTATTGAAGTGTATTACAAACACCCTTGGTTTCAGCTGGCATGAGTTGTCCACACCTACCGCTGCCCTCTCTGCTGGTTGGCTTGAAAGATAGGTGATGTCTGCTTGCCCCTGGCATTCTGGTGGCTTAGCTGACCCCCACTGGCAGTGTGTTGATTGGCAGTTAGGTACTGAACAGAAGAGTCAGAATTTCAGGGTGGGCTGGACCCACCCCACCCAGGAGCTGTCTGGCTGGATGGCCATCCTCCACTATGCCTGGCTTCTCATCCTCTTTCCTGTTGTATCTTTCCCCTTTCCTCCCATTCCTTCCTTCCCAGGGCTCAGATTCTGAAATCTCTTCCTTCTTCCTCAATTCCAGCCCTGGAAGTAGTAACTGTGCAAACAGAACTAGATGCACAAAAAAAAAAAATTAATCTTGGTCCCCACAGGGCTGACCTGGCAGTTTCCAACTCTGTTATGGCTTTGTGTGCATCCCCAGCACCTAACACAGTACCTGGCACATAGGAGATGCTCAATAAATGGATGTGAATTAAACTGAATGTCCTATATGCTCACTCCCCAAATTGACCATCTAATTGGCAAAGGCAGAGAATGGTTCCTGAGACTGTCACTGTCCTGTCTCCACCCCTTTCCCCCAGACTCATTTCTGCCCTGAGCTCTGATTCCCTGAGCCTGGCCAGGACCTGAGCTCCTGGGAAGAAGCTCAGCCTGGGGCAGGGGATGGGGCTTTGCCAATGGCTCTGTCCTCATTGCCATCATTCCATCCCTGCCTCAGTCACAGCCTGGAGAGGCTGGGCTCCTGGGAGATGCGCATACCTCCCTCACCTCACCTCCCTGCCAGTCCATAGAGGCCCCTCCCACAAGGACAACTAGGGCTCTGTGAATTCAAACTGGAGATTGAGGAGTCAGAAATGACAGGACCCTTGATTTTTGTCAGTTTGAACCTCAGTTTCTCCATCTGTAATATGAGTGACTTGGCTGGTTGATCTCAAGGTAGCATTCTTTACATCATCAGTTTCTCTCCCTCTCTTGAGATTCCCTCTAAATTGTGAATAAAATGGCAGTGAATGTTGGATCCCCACAAATGCTACTTTCTTTTCCACAAGGGTGTTGTTGGGGTGGGGAAGGTGTAACATGGCTCTAGATGGGACATGGCCACAGAATCTCCCCTCATGCTTCCTTCAGGGCATTCCCTTCCCTGGTCTCTAATCAGAAGTCAGATAAAAACTTCTGAGGGTAACTGGGAAAGTCTGAACACAAGCTCCGAATGAGGCCCCCACTCTGCGCATCAAGTTCTCTGCCCGTGGCACCCAGCCCCTCCTCATCTCTGCACCTTGGCTGCTCCTGACCCAGGCCAGTGGTCATCCTGTTGGAGAAGGTAGTCTGCAGTAAACTCATTTTACAACGGAGCCCCACCCCAGCAGTCCCTTGGCTGATGGAAATTTATCTCCTGTTGGGGGGGCAGCTGTGGTGGAAAGTGACCTGGACAGCATGGCCCACCATGACTCAGCTGAGCTCTTCAGTACCACTCTCACCAAAAATCTGAAGGCATCACCAGCCAACAGAAAACCACAGGCTTCTGGAGAAGCAGCCATCAATGGAGAAGAAGATGAAAGCAGAGCTCCCTGGACCAAGGGTCATCTCCATTTGCCTCTGGTTTGGGCTTTCCTTCAATGCTCAGAAAATACGCAGTTGTCCCTTTAAGATGCCCCACCCCCAAGTTAAAGGAATGAACATGATGCTACCCCCAGCCTGAAAAGGCTGCTCTGGGCTGGGAGTAGAGCAATGTCCCACACATGGGTCTTCTCTGAAGCTGCTACCAGATGCATCTGTGCACTGAGCAAGCTGGACAGCTGACCCTCTCCTCTGCTACTCCTCACACTGGGCCCCTTCTCCCTGGGGCCCTCACATATGCCTTCTGCCTTCTCTCGGGGACTGGTAGTTTTGAACTCACTTCTCCCTCCCCCAGGGGCCACACATGCCATACACCATGGCAATTTTCTCAGATTAAAGAGTGGTGGGTTACTCTTGGTGCAAGGTGGGGAATACGAAGTGAGGGGTTCAGGAGGCACCAGGTTGGCCCTGGGATCCTGATTCGAGAGAAGCACACCAGAGAGGGCAGGCAGGGGCACACTGTACAAGGTGGAGTGGGAGAAAGACAGGGCACAAGGGGGCCGCAGGGAGGAGAACAGGGCACGAGGGGCCACAGGACCAGCCGCCTGTTACTTGGCACCACCGTCAGCATTGCCCTCACCATCTGTCTTGCCCTCCTCCTCTGTCTTCAGGTCATCCGTGCTCAGTTTCTGCTCTTTTTTCCTCCTCACGCACTTCACTATCATCAGCACCAAGATGACCACAGCCAGGAACCCCCCCACAGAGGCTCCCACGATCACTGCCACTGTGGAATCCCGCTCAGGGGGCTCTGGAGAGGGAAAAGAAAGAGACCCACTGAACGCTAGGGCTGAAAAAGGGAACCTGCCCACTGTTCCCTGCTCCTGCAGTATGTGGGGGGTCCTCCTGGCTTTACTCTCCTCTAGAAAGAACTGTGAGCAAAACCAAAAATCAACCCAGGCTGTTTATCTCTAAGTCCCCCACCCCCAAAATCCCAGGGTGCCCAAAAGCCTCAGGGGAGGGCAGTATAAGGCAGTATTTAAGAGCATGGATTTTGAGGTCAAATAGACCCAAAACTGAGTCCTGATTTTGTTACTTACTAATTGTGTGATCTTAGATAACATCCTTTCTAAGCCTCAGTTTCCTCATTTGTAAAATAACAGTACCTCCCTCATAATGTTTTATGAGGATGAAATATGATAATGCATATAGAGTTTAGTCCTATAACTGAGCACAGTGAGCACCCAATAAATGAACACTGCTATAATGATTCCTGAGATCGTGATCATGATTGATAGCATTTTAAGGACTCTCTGAGACATGTTCCCATGTCTTTAAGGGCTGGAGGGAGGAAAATAGATGCTCTGTACCCAACACAAGCTGTTGATCCCTCTGCTCAGGAAGACAGAGCCTCTCCCAAGGAGCCCTGAGCTAATGCCACTGGAGAACAGTTGTGGAGAGTCACTGGCCAGGAGCAGTCAGGGGTCTGCACTGCAGCCACTGCAGCCCTGCTCCCCTCTGCCTGCCCCTCACCTTCCATGAGGACCTGCAGGTGGATCCTGCCATGGCCACGGTGGCGGTCGGGTGGATTCATGATGTAGCAGTTATATAGGCCTTCATCCTCGATTCGCACATTTTTCAGTGTCACTGACACATCGTATTTGCCAGGGTTCCCCGAGAACTCCACTCGGTCTCGGAACCGCTCCAACTTCAGATTAATGATCTTCATGCGAAACTGGAGGAACTAGAGGTGGGCAAGGAACAAGATGGGGGACTGAATGAGCAAGGAGTTGCAAGGAGAATGGGATGCCTCCCCTCCCATGCACTCTTTTACCTGGAAGACAGATAGTTACCTTCAGACCTCCACCACCCTTCCCAGGGCCACCCAACATGACAACATCCCTTACGCTAAAGCCCTGTGGAGCAAACAGCCCACCAAGGTGCTACAGGGTCCTGGTCCAGTGTAGGGGCAGGTGGTGGGAAAGATGGGTTTCATGGCGCATGGGCTCCTGCCTCCTTCCCCAACCCCACCTATATCCCAGGACTCACCATCTCCTCAGAGCAGTTACTACACTCCTGGTAAGTCCAGTTCAGGGAGAACTGTTTGTGGTTCACTGTGTAGCAGGAGTTGAAGGTGCAGGCCAGGCGGGCATCAGAGCCATTGAGCACATTGAGGGTGGTAGGTACTGTGACTTCCATGCTTCTCCCTGGTGGCACTGCAGACAAAGTCGCAAGCTGGTGAGTATTCTGGCTGACAGGACCAGGGAAAGGCAAGCCTGCTGTATCTGGTGAGAAGTGGAGCAGAGCTATGGCTAAGGGCTGGATCCCTTATGGCTGAAATTAGCAAGGGGTCAAGGGTGGAGTGGGCAAAGCTCATTAGGGGTAACTGGTGTGACCCTGGGGGTAAAATAGGAAGAGAGCAAGGCTGGGGTAGAGAGAGACCAAATTATCTGTCAAGCCAGGGACAGAATAATGGCCCCAAGACTTTCCCAGGACCATTATAGAGCAGTCCTTCCCCCTAGCCATCCTGCTCCAGTCCTGCCACTGCTGCCTGCTGGCTAAAGACCTTGGAAAAAATTTTTCACTGAGCTGGCCTCAGTTTCCCCCATCTTCTCCACCACTTCCAAACATCTCTGCTGAGCCAAAGCTCTTCTAGCTGAAAGGGCAGTATCTCCAATGGGGCAGGCAGTATTGAGCACTGAGGACAAACAGAGACTCTGAAGGCCTCACACTCCATGCCCCAAGGCCAGAGCAGTGCCCAGCCTAGCTTCTTTACCATCCCCAGGTTTCTATCAGGCAGGAAAGAGGGCAAACAGGCAGTGGGAGGGAAGAGGAGCCCCAGAAGAAGAGACCAAGGGACCAAGTGACCAAGCAATGGGTCTACAAGGACAAGAGTCCTTTTGGAGATGTCAGGCCTGGAAATGCTGCAGCAAACAACCTGATCAGGCTGAAGGGGTAACAGGGTGGGAACAGCAGATTTCTGTGGAATTCTACCCAGTGTAGGAGACCTGGGTATGGGACTGAGAAAGGCCCATCCCACTCTGACATTCTAAGCAGATCAGAGTCTAGCTAGGGTGAAGCAGTAAGCTAAAGCTGCAGTGCCCTCTACAGGACAGAAAGCTTGAAGCACAAACTAAGGCAGGGGTGTCCAACTCATTTTCAAGGGGGGAAGGGTGCCACATCAGCCTCCCAGTTGCCTGCAAAGGGCCAAAATAATTTTATGACTGTATAAATGCAACTACTCCTTAACTGTTAAGGACTTGAAATTACATTTGGCCCTTTGAAGGCAACCGCAAGGCTGATGTGGCCCCTGGTGAAAATGAGTTGGACACCCTAGTTTAAGGGGACACCCACTCTCAAGGTCATGCAATACCTCTTTAAATTTTGTACTCAGGCACCTCACTTGCCTTACTTGAATCTTGGCCTTAATTCTAAGATTCTCTGCTGATATTGCTAAAGCTTCATCCCAAAAGATTAATTTATTTATAGAGGACAAACAGTAATGTTCAGCATCAATCATTCCTTCACTCATTTACCAAATATTTATAAACTACCTACTATGTTCTCAGTCTAGGCCCTGGCGAATATTGTTGTGAACCAGACAGGCAGAGTTGCTGCAACATGGAGCTTGTATTCTAGGGAGGGGATAGAAATTAACAAGGAAATAAAAGAATAATGTGACTTTTGGTAGTGATACATGGCAAGGGTTGTAAGAAATAAAGCAAGGTGATGGGGTGTTTTGTATTAGAAATCAGGGAAGATTGCTCTGAGCAGGCGACATGCAGGTGGCCCCTGGCTAAAGTAAGGGAGTGAGCTGTTTGAAATTTGGACTCAAGTTCCAAGACAGTAGAATATCAAAAGGAAAGTCCCAGTGGTTGCACTGAGCTTTGCATGTCTGAGGCACAAGGAATAGAGTGATCAAGATGGCATATGGTGAGACCTGAGGTCCCAGAGTCAGGCAGGGACAAAGTTCAGGGTCTGCGGGCCCGAACACAGACTCAAGATCTAATTTCTCAGAGTGAATACAGGGAACCACTAGGGACTGGGAGCAGGGGCAACTAGGAAGCTGTCCAGGCAAAAGCTGTTCTTGTCTCTACAGGAATAGTATACACATAGAGATCTGATTAGATGTGGGTTCAACCCCAGCTCTCCCTTCAATCAGTTGCAAGACCATGGGCAAGATCCTTCACCCTCTAAGCCTCTGTCCCCTCCTCTGCAGAATGTAGCTGATGACCCCACCTCCTGGAGTAGTTATGATAATTAAACAAGACAAAATATATAAAGCACAGTGCAGTCTGCCTGATGGTAAGAGCTCAGCAATTGGGAGCATTCATCCTAAATTCTCAAGACCCATTCACCTAGACAGGAAGGGCTCTGAGGCAGTCTCCTGGTAGAGGGCACCTCAGAGCATGGCCCCTGCAGGACTCCACTTTCAAATTGTTGTGTCGTGCAAAGCTGCAGAGCCCCACTCCACTGCAGCCTGGAAGGGGAGCTACCAAGTCCTTCTGTGCAGGCCGGCCCTTAGGACGAGTGGCCAGGCCAATAGGCAGGACTTAAGAACAGGAGACACTCTGAACTTCTGGCCCTGGAAGTCATAACAAAGAAGCCCTCACCTAGATGGAGGAATAGGCATGCAGACCCACCTGCAAGGCCAGGGCTCCCGGGTATGCACTAAAGTGCTCATTAGGGAAGTAGGAATTGGAGAGGGTGAATAGACCCACCAAGAAGAACAAAACCCAGTTCTCTCTCCACATTCATAGCCATTATGAAAGCACCTTGCAAAGCTCTAGGCAAGGAGGAGGTAGGCAGAAAATGGTGTGTGTGTGCGTGTGTGTCCCCTCCACCCCCCTGCTGCTGCCACCGCTCTGCACAGGCAGAGAAATCTGCAGAGAAGGAACCTGGTGGGGCCTTGTCCTGATCTTACCTCATCTCCTAGGAACTTTCTGCTTCTCTAGCACTTTCCCTTGAGAGGGCCTGCTACCTTCCCAGGGCCCCCAGCCAAAGGAGCCTCCAAGTGACACCAGGAAATAGGAGCTGCAAATCTCGCTGACCTATCCTCGGCCTCTGTCTTGTCCTAGCCCACGATATCATTCCTATTAGAACTTCAACCCTGAGACAGCACCCTGCTGCACAGGTGGTCAGCGACATGGGGAGCAACGGGCCTTTCACGGCTGGCAGGTGTGGGTACAGACAGAGAGGTGCAATGCGGGGGTCCTTCCCCAGAATCCAGGACTCTGGGGTCCTGCAGGAAGCACACTAGGTGGAATATGCATGCTCTCTATGGGTCAGAGAGGTCCACAGCCAAGTCCCAACTGCAGAGTAAAGGAAATTCAGAGGAAGCCAGAGCAGGGACCCTCAGGAACTGTAGACCTAGCCCCACTGTCTTACCAAGTGAGACCCTGAGGCCCTGAGAGAGAGAGACATACACAGAGTATGGGGCAAGCTGGGGCCAGAACCATGTTTCTGATTCCTAGTCCATAACATCTCACCTGGATCTCAGACTCAAGCCAGAAGCCTTAGGCCTTTCACCCATCCAGGCCCTTATTAAAAACAAGTAAACCATCCCAATGAGGCTATAAGCAAAATCTTGATCACTTGATGATTTCTGCAGCTTCAGGAAAGTACCCAATCCACAGCTAGGGCTACAAAAGGATATAATAATAACAAGGTGCTTAATGTATTATAGGCACTGTTTAAGCACTCTATAGGTACCATGTTTAATACTCACAACACTATTATACCTCCACCTTCCCAATGAGGAAATTAAGCAAAAACCAGTTAAATGAGTAGCCCAAGTTAGCTGAGTGGGAAAGCAAGATTTAAACCCAGGATGCCAGGTTCTAGACAGAAGGTTGAGGGATTGAGGCTGGCAGGGAGGGTGTGATTGTTTTTCAAGGTGTCCCTGGGATCAGATCTCCTGCTGTGTACACAGTAGGTCCAGCCACCACTTCTGGGCAGGCTTGACAAAGGGGAATGTTTCTGTTTAAAGGAACTTCCATACAAGGGGAGCCCATAGTCTTCCTGGTTGTTTGGCACCAGCCAGATCTGGGGCCTGGATTTCTTGACTTCCAACTGACGGAGAGGAAGTGATGATCAACAGGGATCAGCAATAAGGATGTAGATTTTGATCTTAGTTTCAAACTGCACTAGTGCCAGGCTTCTCCATGTTCCTCTGGCCCTTCAGGCCCCATTGTCATCCACTGTTTTCACTGGTCCACCTTGTAGCAATCACAAAAGTTTGCTCATCTCTTGCCAAACACTATCTCCTGCAGAGACTAGAAGCTAATTCTCCTCATTCCTCTTTCCAACCCTGTACCAAACTATGAAATAGGTTTACTTTCTGCTTAGTTAAAAAAAAAGAGAGAGTCTAAGCAGAGGTTATGTCTAAGACCTTCTGGACCACACTGCCTCCTGGGGCAACCCTGGCCTCTCAGGCAAGTGTGCACCCCAAGCCCCTGTCCCCTGCACTGCCTTACCACTCAGACCTACCCCAGGCTTCCCTCAAGGCCCAGTCCACTCCTGTGCAGCCATGACAGAAATTCACCCCAAACCTCCACTGGCTTCCTGTTGCTCTCAGGATCAAGTCCAGGATTTGGCATGCGGCTTCCAAACCCTTTGCACTCTGGGACCAAACTCCATGCTCGTGTCCTGTCCTGCCAGTTTCCAACCCTCAGTGCTTCCTCCACTCCAGTGACCCCAGAGTTCTTACTTTCCTGAAAACACCACCCTCTCTCGCTGTTCCTTTTTTGACAATGTAACACGTTTTTGCCTCAAGTTGGGAAGCTAGTTCACCCTTCTCCTCCTGGGGTCCTCCCAATTATACTGCAGATGCCAGTTCATAAAGTATCACCTGACAGCCTCCCAGTGCCTATGTCCTCTCCCCAGCTCGGTTCTACCTATTCCATATGACTGGGAGTCAGAATGGTACAGTGGCCTAGACCGGGGCTCTTAGTGCCCTGATATGATCTTAGGCAACATAGTTAACCTCCCAGCACCACAGTTTCCACACCTATGAAATGGGGGACAACAATAGGACCTCCATCTTTAGGCTGTTGTGAGGATTAAATAACTTACTAGTGTATAAAGTTCACAGCAGTGCCTGGCACATAGTCAGTCCAGGACAAAAGTTAGCCATTATTATTATTATTATTATCATTATCATCATCATAATCACAGCATATTCAATGCTGGGTTACTATTCTTTGTTTATGTGCCTGCATCTCTCCCAAGGCTCTGAGGAACTAATTCCTATTCATCCTGGTATCCCTGGACCCAGAACAATATATGACACTCAGTAGAAGTCTGTAGAAGAAAGGAAAGGCATTGCCCCCACCCCACTGTGTCTGGGTCCCAACAGCAGATATGTTCAGTGAGCCTGAGTGAGGACCAGACTCGACTTTTAGGCCTTGCCCAACATAACCCAGACTTTGGTATCCAAGCCAATGACCACAGAGCCAATGGTCTTGAGAAAAACTCTGGAACAGCCCAAGCATTTGGATTGTTTCTAGCTAAAAACTAGTCTCTCATGCTTTTGTCGTATGTACAGCAGATTGCCCAGCTTTTCCCCTTTACCAGCTGTGTAATCATCTTCGCCAATTCAGTCCCTGACAGTATCCTCCCTTGTCACTTATAGCATCCCTCCATCTTGAGGACCGATGCTACTACAACCCCCAAAGTGCCATTGTCCACCTCAGCCCTCAGCCTTGGAGTGCCAGGGTGAGCCTTACCACAGCACCAATCAATTCATGTTCAGTGTTTCCCTGCCTGCATCCTCTCCTCACCCACATATGCAAAGGCTTCAGCTTCCTCCCATCACTATGTCACAGCCCCCGTGCCCTATTGTCCTCTTCCCAGAATCCATCTTTCCCTAAGTCACATCTTCCTCCTGGTTACCAAGCCCCCTTCATTTAAATAAGGCTCTCACAAGGCTGCCTCCCTCCCACAGGAAGCTCCCCCTAACTCCAGATGGAGGTCCACTGTCCGCCATCCCCAACTTTTTGCATGTAATTGAGATTCTCTGATCAATTAGGTTAATAGAGCAGTAACATTTCTTGAACATTGGGAGCAGTAGAGGTCAACAGTTAAGAACTTGCTGAAGTCAGACAAACAGTCATTCAAATCTCAGCTCACTTACTCATCATGTGACCTTATTGGGCAAGTTACTTAACTTCTCTGTACCTGTTTCTTCACCTGTAACATGAGGATAATAACAGTACCCACCTCATACAATTACTGACTATGGTGAGGACAAAACAAGTGGTACAGTGCCTGGGCATCTGAACTACATTCATAAAGGTTACTAACCTATTGTTGAGCACCTGACCCACTTACATGCCAGACTCACAAAAACCCACACAGTAGGTGTTCTCCAGTTTACCCATAAAAGAACTGAAGCTCAGAGGGTTTGAGTAACTTGACCATGGATACAAAATAAATGACAAAGGTGGCCTCCAATCCAGATTAGATTCCACGGTTCGTGCTCTTTTGTCCTGCCACACATACCAGCTGTCTTGTTAGTATGTCCAGTAACAGCAAAGTTAATAAGTCTTGTCATGCAGGCTTCCAGGGGCTTACACTGTCTCTGTTTAGCACTCTTGCCAAATAATCTCTGCAGCACAGCACATCAGAGAGAGAGAGAGACTTTGTGATGGGAAATATTTTTATTGACAATCCTTGGACTTCACTGTCAACTGCTACGCCAGCAATGAATACGTTTAGGAGCAAAAATGAAACAACCTATAAAGCAGTCTTGCAAATAACTCTCTAGCCCACCTATCCACCAAAAAAATCCATGAATGGTCAAATATGAAATTAACATTTGAATCACTTGAGAGGGCAGTCTGCAAGGCAAGGCTGAGCTGGACATTTCTGAGTCATGGTCTTAAAGGGCCATAGCCGCACTGACCTATGATTTCCTTTTCCTTTTTTTCTTCTGGATCTCTTCACCTGACCCTTCCCCCACTCCATGTGGCCCAAGCCAGAGGTGTCTTCTCTGTCAGTGTCTGCAGCAATAAATCTCACAATCCAGAGATCATTCCTCAAGCTTCCTACCCACTCCCCAACACATTGCAAAAAAATCAGTGATAACAGGTTTCCAGGAAGCCAGACCCAGATTCAACTTTCCATCCCCAACTACCCCACATAGTGTCTCCTAATACCATAAATCCACCAGATTCTAAGGATCAAGTTTCACAAAAGAAGCTCCTTAAAGGAGCATTCTCAGGACCCCACATTTGCAGCAGCATTTTAAAAAATCCATAAAGAGACTCTGGATGGATCTACGTGCCTGCTCCCCGCAACCTCAACACACACACACACACACACACACACACATCCAGTTCAAGGCAATCCAAACAAAAATCAGCTCCCCTTACAACTGTCATTCCTGTCAACACTGAGCATTTCTGTGACCAAGCAGTCCCAGCATCATGTAGTCCCTACCATTATCTTCCCAAGTTCAGGCACCTTTCCTCCCAAGGACACCAAAGAGAAGCTCCAGCCACATCTTTCCTGCCCCTATCCCCATCCTCTTCCAGTCATGGCTGCCCTTCTGGACCCTCAGAAGCATGCAGATGCGCAGTGTAACTTACCCAAAGAGAGAAAGAGACTGAGCCCAGTGAGGCTGAAAGCAGGGCGAGGTAGCCGGGCATCTTTGTGCATTTTCAGAGACTGAGATGTTAATCAAGATATGGGAGAGGGTGATAATGAGGGGCTGAGGGATACAAGGGAGGAATTGTTAGGTGCTAAAAAAAAATGCACGGATGTACTTCAAAGACACATACAACATTAAGGAAGCTTTATTTTCATCTCTCTAACATGGCCGGTCTGTATGTTGCAGCTAAAAAGAAAGAGGGAGTGTGTGAGGAAGAGAGAGAAAAAAAGGGGGGTGGGGGAAAGATACAGTAAATTTTGTGGTTGTTGGATTTCAAACAGCAGGTGGGAGGGCATAAAAAGTGTTTCTGAAAAGAAGGATGCCCAGAAATTTTTACCCTCTAAAACAAGAACTAAAGCAAATCCTATCTTTTTTTCTTTTTTTTATTTAATTATTTTTCAACTACAGTATTGTGTCTTTTACTCCCATTCCAGCCCCTCCCCCTCTTTCTTCTTAACTTCAATCACTGTTGGATTTTGAAAGCTGTTAAAGAAACCAATTGATTTTGAAGCTGCTGTAAGGGTGAGGGGACTCTTTTTGTCATTTAAAAACACCCCAAAAGGGGGTGCTTGTTTTTATGTTATTTGGAAAGAGTTCAGGAAAGAGAGTCAGGAGACTTTCAGGAAGTAAGGACTTCCTCAATTTTCTAGTATTTTCACTGAGAACATAATACGTTAAAGCAAGCCAGTGTAAAAAAAAAATACCTAAGAGATCTCAAAATCGAATCTAATGGGAATCAAATCAACAGTAAAAAGACATTTTTGAGACAATTGGAAAAAATAAACATGGACTAGGTGTTATATTAATGAAAAGTTATTAATCTTTTTGGGTGTAATAAAAATATTGTGGCTATGTTCTTTAATATTTTTATCTATTACACACACCAGAGTATTTATAGGTGAAATGACATGATGACTAGAATTTGCTTTAAAATATTCTAGGACAAAATAAAATTAGGGGAGGTAGGTGTTATTGATTGTTAAAACTAGTGATGGGTGCAAAGAGTTCATTTCAGTTCTCTCTTCTGTTATGTTTGAAATTTTTAAGAAAAAATAGGCTAATATCACAAATAGGAGAATTTGAGATTGAGTGCCAAGGAAGCCCTAAGCAGAGAAGTGACCCCCACTCTTCCTGGAAGGCACTTAAGTAGAACACAGGTTTTCATGCAGCAATCACATGCATTTTCAATGGGCCACTGATGCACCAAAGAGGTTGCAACTAATATTTTTGAGCATTAACTCTGCTACAAACACCTCACAAGTGATTCCTCAACTTGTAATCCTAGGATAGGTGATTTCTTCTCCTCCTCCCCCTGCCCTTACTACTACTACTACTACTACTACTACTACTACAATTTTTCTTCTTCCTCCTCCTCTTCTTCTTTCTTCTCCTCCTTCTTCTTCCTCTTCTTTTTATTGCAAATGAATAAACAGGCTGACAGGGCTTAACCACCCAATTTTACATATATATTATAGTTAAGAGCAGATTCAGAGACAGCATTCAAACTGAGTCTGTGTGAAACACTGGGTATTTCCAGTATTCCATGTGGCCTATCACACATGGAGGAGAAGAATGGAATATATAAGCAAGGGGTCTCTGCCTCTGATATAAAAGAAGGTGCCAAGGGCAGGACATGGAGGGAAAAAATGGGATGCCAGCTCAGTGCTCAGATCAGAGCAGACACTCAGTAAACAGGTGATGCCTAGCTGCAGAGGGACACCCTTGAATGGATGAGTGAATCTGAAGAGGGAACAGTAGCAAGTAGACATCATGATGAAAGTAATGAAACCCAGCCTAGGCCACTGCAGCTGTTCTAGGCTGGGGAGGAGTGAAGTGGGCCAGATTTTGGTAAGAGGATGGCTATGGTTCCCCACCACATCAGAGGTGGTTCTTGCCTGGCAAGATCATGCCTGGATCTTGCCCAGACTCTATCCCCAAAAGACCTCTGTCAATTCGCTAGAGTCTGGCTGTGGCTGGCTCATCCATAAGATGCATAGTCCACAGGAATGAAAATCAGGGAAAGAGAAAAGTATTCTCAAGTGCCACAGCCAGGCTCCTTCCTGCTGCCCTTAGGCCCACTGGTCAGCAGTGGCCAGTGCTCAAGTGAGCCTGGAGGAGGGCAGACAGACACAATCAGGGCCTCAACTCCTGCTCCAGATTCTCAAGATGGGTCCCAGGCTGCGGTACAGCCACCCAGGCTGCCGCAGGCACATGTCAGCCAGAGAGTTTTGGTTTGATGTAGCCGGCCTGCTCCTTTTTCCTAATGCCGCTGAGGATGCCTGTGAGACCCAGGGAAGCCACTTATCTAGCCCACTTGGTCTCACACTGAGTCCAGAAATTTCTGTCTGGGGACATCTGAGATAAGAAATAGATCCAGAAGTTTCTCTGTTTCTATTCAGTATTTGACTAAGAGAAACAGGTATATAGCTCTTACACAGAAAGCTGAGAAGATACCAAATCAGGGGTGAGGCACCCTCACAGTGTGAAGCAAGAGGAGAGTTTCCCCAGGACCTCCCCATGGCTCACTTGGGCCTGCAGATGCCCATTTCATCCAAAAAAGTAAGTCTTCCCTGGGAGCTAATAAAAACCTGGGAAGCAGAAGTCCAAAGATTTATTTTGCAGAATGAAAACACCAATGTCAAAAATAGGCTATTTGGAGAGTGAAGCCCTATTTTTGGCATTTCTACCAAGTACCATTCATCCCTGCACATTTTACTAGGTAATGGTTACCTGTCCTGCTAGGAGAACAAATAATCCAAAGGAAGATAGTTTCCTTGGCCTTTGGCCTGGTTGGAGCCACAGAAAAACTCCCTGGTCATATTTGCCTAAAGCCTCACTTCTCAAAGTGTGGTCTTCAGATCAGTATCATCAACATCACCTGGAAGTTTCTCAGAAACACAGTCACAGGTCCCACTTCAGACCCAAGAAATCAGAATCTTCATTTTCAACAAGATCTCCAGTGATTCTTGAGAAATTAAAGTTTGGGAAGTATTGCCTTCAACTAATATTAAAAGGTTTGCATCCCATGAACAAGGGGCCAGGTTTGGGAGAGGGGATGTTAGTGAAAAGGGACTAGTAGGCAGGAGCAAGTTTAGGATTAAGTGCTGGCCTCAGGTCATTTGCAGAATACCTGGCAGCCTGCTCAGGAGTAACCAGATAGGGATCCATTTTCACTCCCCTTTCTTCTCTGTCCCATTCCTATCTCCAGCCATTCCATAGCAGGTGAGGTTTCTCTTACCCCACACAGGACTTCACACCTTGTTGTGTTAGGCCCGGAATTAGATAAAAGTAGCCAAGAGGAACTCAAGGCAGGCTCCAGACCGACTCAGCTAGGAAGATAGAAAGTACAGAAAGTACAAAGAGTGCTGAACAAGATAAATGGCCTGTGCATGACCTTGTCTTTGCATGACCTTGTCTTTGCAGAAAAGTATCCATTGTTGCAAGCAGAGAGCATAGCCATGTGTGTTCTCTCGAGATAGCCAATTGCTAACAGCTACGTCTGCTTCTGTATTTGCTTGCTGGCTTGCTTGCTTGCTTACCCCAATAAAAACCCTAGGCTGTAAGCGCCAGGCGCGACTCTCATTTGCCACCCTCTGGGCACTGTGTCTCCGGACACCTCGAGAGTTCGCCCCTGCGCAGGTAAAGCTTTGGCCAATAAAGTTCCATCTCAAACTCCTGAAAGCTTCCGACCATTTGTTGCTCGCGTTGGTGGATGCCACAGTTGTCTGCCTTTGCAGTTCCCTTTTTCAGGAACGCCCTTCCTCTCTTTTTTGCTCAGCAAGCTCCTATTCTTCAGAAATCTCCTACAACATCACCAACTTCTTATATTCTACATACCTCTTCTCTCTTTGCTCCTGTGACACTGGGTACATTCCCTCATTTGCACATCAATTCCCACGTTCAACAAACTCAAATATCTATTTAATGCCCCATATGTGCCAGATACTAAGCAAGAAACTGGAGACTCAGAAATGAATGAGACACAATTCACCCTTTGAGAGCTCACATTCTAGATAGAGAGACAAATGTATACACTCTTAATACAGCATGATGAGAACAATCCCATTTACTGAGGGATGGGAACAAAAGTATAGTTTGTATTTCTTAGGTTTCCATGTTAACAAGTGCTAGAGAGTAGTCATTTTTGTTTACACTTCCTACCTCCCCAACTAGACTATAGCTCTTTAAGAACAGTGAATGAATGTCAGTTTTACAACCAGAAAAAGGGCAGGACCTCCATTAGCCTGACCTTACACACAGGAGTCAAACTGGGACTGGGTCCAAGCAGCACATGTTGTTCCACTCCACTTCCCAGGAACTTTATTCAACAATAGATTTTTTCCCACATGCGGTGAGATGCTGCAAAGCTCACAGAGAAGACCTAAAGAAGGATCTCTAAGAGCTTAGGAGCTCTGGAAGAAATTAAAACCTCACACTGATAAAATAACTAGAGAACATCAGAATATAAAATCTGATAAGTATATAGACATCTAGGAAGACACGAGAAATGGAAGATTACTAAGGCAGGATGTAAGCAGCACTGTGAAGGAATATTGATTTGGGCAGGCAAGAAGGGAAAGGGGATTACAGGAAGAGGAACACCAAGAGCAAAGGCTCAGAAGTAGGAAAGACAAAGGTGTATGTAGCAGAAGATTCCTCTCATGAAAAAAAAAAGGAAGGTGTGGATGGCTAAACAAGATGGTACCTGAACTCTGAAGGCCACGAACACACAATGTGGAGTTCAGGCAGGTGCTTTGAAAGTTCTGGGACAGGCAAATCACTATTGCTCTCACCACAAAGGTCTTAGCTTTCCGAGAAAGCTCTGAGTACCTTTATTTTTTTTTTTATAAAAAAAAAAAAAAAGATGTTTTGACAGCTGAGTTTACAGAAGTGGTAATGGATTGCTTGATCTCCCTTGAGGAAGACCAGACCACATTTGCAAACCAAACTGGTCAGGACAGACAGAAGTCCTGGGAAATTTTGTTTCTCCTTAGTAAGCAGATAACTGGTCTGTGCTGGGCTAAAACTTGCAACCTAACATTCTTTGGCTCTATATAACTGAGCTAATTCAGTGGCAGTATGACCCCTGCAAAACACAGTGTGTTTTATTTTTTAAAAATGCCAATGTAGACATGTAAGCATACTGACCAGGCAAAAGGAGAAAAAGAGTCAGGTGGCAGTGAGGAACAAAAGACTGAAGGGCTGGTGGAAAGCTGCAGCCTTTTAAAGAAGACACATCTTTTATAGGTCCTCAGTAGAGAGACTGAACTGTTTTCAATTCCAATAGCCAAACTCTGATGCTACTAGATTCTTCATTATTCATAGGTGGCCCCACTGCCTCCACCCTAAGGCTGCTTTCCATTGGCACAAGTCTGAATGCTTCTGGACACCTGTGAATATGAGGGCATCTGGTGTTCTGAGGACTTAAAATATGGCAAATTCATGTAATGAAGCTGCTTGCTAAAGGATGTACTCCAAGGCGCTTTAGCTTTCTCCATCTCCAGCAGCTTTTCTGTCCTTCAGAATGTCATCCCTCAGAGTTATGCAAAGCTCTCCCCTAAGCTCAGCTTCCCAACACTCTTTGGAGGGTAAAAGGGACTCGGGTGTTTGGGGCTAAAAGGTTTCCTGCACATAGAATAAAAATTTAATGAGATGTGGACTGAATCACCAAATCCAACTGAGGAAAATACATTGAAAGGGGATGGAGGGCTTAGGCCAGGCACTAGTCCCTAAATGACCTAATTTGGTCCTCCCAAAAATTCCTATGAGTATCTACTTCATATGTAGGGGGAAAAGCCTCAAAGAATTGAAGTAAATATTGCAATACTGAACAAGAGAACAGAGCCAGGATTTGAACCAGGCCTGTTTGACCATGAAGCCCATTCCATAAGCTTCTATGTTCCTGAATGTAACCGATAATCATCCCTAGGAGAAGGGCATACAGATCTTTTTCATGGCACCAGCAGCGTTGTTTTGGTTTTAGGCAAAATTAGTATTTGACAGCTGTGGGCTTCCACTCTCAACCTGTGTACAAGAGGAAGGTTCATCGGGAGGAAGGATAGGGGAAGAAAAGTGGGCTTCCTTTTCTTCCTCCTCAGTTACAACTGCTGAACACAGAATGGGAGCCAAGCCTTGAATCAAATTTAAATGTGGGCAAGTCAAACTCTGGGTGTGCCCACACTTCTATGATCAAAATGCCCTCTGCAGGAGGGTGTGAATAAGCTCTCAGCCCACCCTCCAGCTGTTATCCCTTATTCTCTTCTAGCCAGAACGACAGATATGAAACTGCCATCCACCCAGCTAATTCTATATCCTGAAGGTCCTCATCCAATGCATACAATATTTGAGGAAGTGGAAAAAGGCCACTCAGCCAAGGACAGCATGTTACTTAATAGCCCAGAAATGAAACCACTTCCTCATGTCATTATGTGTCCCCTCTCTTGTGTGTCTTAGACAGAATATTGCCTTCAATACACATATTGTGAATAACTGACATATTCCTTATTTAGAGCTAAAAGGTAAGAAGGAAATATTTAATGACTTAGCTGTGGCTGAAGAACAAAAAGAGGCCCCAGGCCTCTAAGCAAAGACCCAAGACCAGTTGGTAAAGAGAAAGAGTTAATAATGGGTGTTTTAGGAGAAGGTGCTAATGTTTAGAGAGGTAGACGAATCTTTAAAAAATGTAGCTCTACTTGGAATTATATCAGAAATCACTATCAGAACTTGGGACTTCCGGTCAAGATGGTGGTGTAGGCAGATGTAGCTTGCCTCTTCATAACCACATCAAAGTTACCACTAAAATGTAGAACAACCATCACTCAGAACTGTCAGAAATCAAGTTGAATGGAAGTTTGACAGTGAAGGAATTAAAGAAATCACATCCACCAGACTGGTAGGAGAAGCGTGATACGGAACAGGCTCATCCCTCACCCACATGTGATAGATAAAAATTCAGGAGGGGTATGTCAGGAATGAGGAATCCCAGCCTCACACCAGGCCCCATAGCCCAGGTTTCCAGTGCCAGGAAGATGAGTCCCCACAACATCTGGCTGCAAAAAAACAGCAGGGACTCAGTTGTGGAAGAAACCCAAACAGATCCTTTTAAAGAACCAAAATACAGACTCATCTACTCAGACTCATTCCTTCTGAGCTCTAGCACCAGGACAGCAGCTTGAGAGGCACCACAGAGAAACCGAAGTATCTGGCATCAAGGTGAACAGAGGCCATTGCCACTTTTATAAGCCCTCCCCACACAGAGCCAGAGCCAGTAAGCTGGTGCCATATCTGGAATTCCATCAACCTGGCTAACACTGTTTGGCCCAACTTTGGAGATCACCAGAGACTCTACCCTATCCAATTTATGGGCCTACCCAAGCTGCTTTTCCATATGAATGGCTGATTTTGGCTCATGCTTCACAAATTCCTTATTCCTATCAAATAAGCAACAGCAGGCCTCAGTGAGCCCCCAGGCCTGGCACTAGTAGCAGCCAGGATAGTCACAGCTTGTCTCTGCCTGGAAATCTCCAAGCCCAGCACAAGTAGCAGCCATCTCAGATTGCTTTACAGCTCAGGCAGGGTAGCTCTGGGCAAAATATAGGTGGGGGCTGACCTTGGCCTGCCCCACCCAGGAAACCCCAGGGCCAGTACACACAGTGGTCAGCTACAGACCACATTGTGGTACCACCACCCTGCCGCTGCACAGCTCATCCTCCATGGAGGGCACCTCCATGGTGGTCAGTGGTCACAGCTAATCCTTGCAGCTGACTGGCCTGGGTAAATCCCTCCCATTGATCTCCCAACAGCAACCAACATTCAACTACAAGAGGAGGTGTACTCAGCTAACATGAAGGGCACACCTCAAGTACCCAGCTCGGGTGCTAGGGGAGGTTGTGCTACTGGACACTACAGGACACCTACTACATTAGGCCACCCTACCAAGACATAGAGTCAGCCCCTGCTGGTGTGACTCATTAGATTGAGTGCCAGCCTGAGAAATGAAACATCACTGGTTCAATTCCCAGTCACAGCACATGCCTGGGTTGCAGACCAGGCCCCCAGTTGAGGGCATGTGAGAGGCAACTATTCAACATATCTCTCACACACTGATGTTTCTCTTCCTCCCTTCCTCCCTCTCTCTAAAATTAACTGAATAAAATCTTTTTAAAAAGGCACAGAATCAGAGCATCTGTACCTAATACATAGAAACAAACACAAGGAGGCTGCCCAAATGAGGGGACAGAAAAAACATGACCCAAATGAAAGAACAGATCAAAACTCTAGAAAAAGAGCTAGACAAAATGGAGATAAGCAATCTGTTAGATACAGAGTTCAAAACACTGTTTATAAGGATGCTCAAGGAACTTAGTGAGAACCTCAACAGCATAAAAGAGATCCAGTCAGAAACAAAGGATACACTAATTGAAATAAAGAACAACTTACAGGGAAACAACAGTAGAGTGGATGAAGCCAAGAATCAAAGCAATGATTTGGAACATAAGGAAGAAAAAAATAACCAATCAGAAGAAAAAAGAATACAAAAAATTGAGGATACTATAAGCAGCCTCTGGGACAACTTCAAGAGGTCCAACATTCACATCATATAGGTGCCAAGAAGGAGAAAGAGAGCAAGAAATCTATTTGAAAAAAATAATTGAAGAAAACTCCCTTAATTTGGGCAGGAAATGGACATGCAAGTCCAGGTAGCACAGGGAGTCCAAAACAAGATGGACACAAAGAGGCCCTCTCCAAGACATATCATAATTAAAATGTCAAAGGCTAAAGATAAAGAGAGAATCTTAAAAGCAGCAAGAGAAAAGCAGTTAGCTACCTACAGGGGAATTTCCATAAGCCTGTCAGTTTATTTATCAAAACAAACTTTGCAGTCTAGGAGAGACTGGCAAGAAATATTCAGTCATGAAAAGCAGGGACCTACAAACAAGATTGCTCTACCCAGCAAAGCTATCATTGGAATGGAAGGACAGATAAAGAGCTTCCCAGATAAGAAAAAACTAGAAGAGTTCATTATCACGAAACCACTATTATATGAAACGTTAAAGGGACTTATTGAAGAAAAGGATCGAAACTATGAACAATATGGTGAAGGGTAAATGCAGACAACTGTAACTGAACAACAATAAAATAATAATAATAAAAACTATGAAAAATAAAATGGCAAAAAATACATATCTATTAACAATTTTGAATCTAAAACACACACTAAGCAAACAAGAACAGAGACAGAATCAAGGATATGGAGAGCATTTTGATGTTGCCAGATGGAAGGGGAATGTGGGGGAATGGGTGAAGAGGTGACAGAATTAAGAAGCACAAATAGGTAGTTAAAGAACAGCCATGGGGATGTAAAGTACAGTATAGGAAATGCAGTAGCCAAAGAACTTAAATGTATGACCCATGGATATGAACAATGGTGGGGGGACTGCTTGAGGGAGCAGGAGGTACTGGGTGGGGGGGTGCAAAGGGGGAAAAATCAGGATAATAGCATAATCCATAAAACATAATTTAAAAAGAAATTGTGTCATAAATGAGAGAACCATGAAAGCCCTCTTTATCCTGTGCTGAGCAGCGAAATGGGAAGGACAGGCTATAGAGGATGAGGAAAGGCCTACAGTAGTCAAGGAGAGGAGAAGTGAGCTGAACCCAGGCTAGAAACAGGAGCACAGAACCAAAGAATTTTTTAAAAACTAACCCTATTACACCTGAAAATAGTAACCAAAAGTATAGGAACTTCGCATTTCAGACCAAGAATTAAATCAATGGCTATCCACTTTGGCAATCCATGAGTATAACTTCTGAAAAAGACAAATGCCCAAGCTCCACCCAGGAATTCCAGGATGCCTCTGGTATACCTCAGCAGAGTTGCCAGCCATTCTGATACCCAGCCAGAACTAAGAAGCACTGGGTTAAATGCTAGAATGTATTCATACCCCACTTCCAACCCCCCAAAACTTCCCCAGGGCCCGAAACATTTCCCAACAGGTTAGGTCACAGTGTGGCATTCCTCCAGTCCCTTCAGCTCTTCGAGGATAAGTTCCTGACCAACACACGGCTCACCCCTCAGCCAGTGTATAAAAACAGGATGATTTCCACAAACCACATTTATTCAGGGATGATGTGCCAAAGGAATCATTTAGGTTGATTTTCATTTCTGTGATTCTTCCCAGTAACTCATCCACAAAGAATGCTGTTCAAGCTGAGGGTGTGATCAGATGGCATGCTTGACACTACTACGGCGGCTCAGCCAGTGTCCCACTGCAGAGGGTCAAGTCCATGCTCCTCTCATTGGGGCCTATTCCTCCAGAGTTGTCCCATCTTTCTGCCAGGCTGCAAGCCCTCTATCTTCAGCCCTTGACCAACAGGTGAGGCAGGAGGACAACTGGGAGGGTGGGGGGTCTGTAACAACTGGTGCGGTGACTCAGGGCACACAGAGGAGGGACTTTGCCACTCCTAAAGATGAAGGGAACTCTCATTTCTTCTTAAAAGGCTTGCTCTGGTTTTGGCATTCCCCCAGCTGACATTTTGTCAAGTGGGTTATTTGGTGCTGACCTCAGAGAAGGCCAAACTGGGTGCTGCAGCAAAAGGGAAGGAATAAACACAAAGAACATTTGTAAAAGGTATTTAAATCATAATAGTTATCACCTATTGAGCTCTTTGCATCTATGGGCCCAATTCTCAATTTCATGTGTACCATCTCTTTTGATCCTCAGTACCTGAGAGGTAGGTATTATCATTCCCACTTTTAAGGATGAGAAAACTGAGACTCAGAGAGACTAAACTACCTACCCACGTTCATCTAGCTTCTAATTCAGAGTCAGGATTTAAACCTGGGTCTGTCCAACTCCAAAGCTTGTGATCTTGGCCACTGTGCTGTACAAAGAAAGGGGACACAGCATGGTGCCTCTTCATTTAAGTGAACTTAATCAATTCCAGGAAAAAAAAAATCAAAGATTGTATGCTACCCCTGCTCCCTATCAGATAACACCTCTACACCTGAGGTCTAAAACAAGTAGCCTGCAGGCCAGAATTCACCCACAGGCTTATTAATTTGATACATAGTGTTTTAAAATAACTTGACCAGGCCCAGAAGGCCTTTGAGTTCGTGGCCCTGGCCTCTCACTGCACTTGCTTTATTGGATCCATTTCAAGAGGACAGAGGTGCCATTTTCTGCAATTTATATCATAAGCACCTAGCACTGAACATGGGGAGGGTACTGTTTTTCTGCCAACAGTATCACCCAGGTGGGTAAACACTCAGCAGTAGCCACAAGGCAGCTGTGTCAGCAGGTCTCTGTCAGGAAGAGGCCTGGAAGTTACTGTAGCATCACATGGCAATAATGGGAGAGGGATGGGGTGGGGGGATGACTATATTCAACTACAACTTCAGAGTGGATGTACTGTTTCACTTGGTGGAACCAGGCCAGGTCTCTGACCTTACACTTCCCTGGCAGAACCCTTCTCTGCTGCATCACCAGGGAGTCATGTGTCCTCACTGCTGGTTCAACAGGAACAAACACAAGCCATCGCCTGCCCCTACAAACACAGGAGGCTGGCCTTCCTGAACCCAGCAGAACACTGCACTCTTCAAGGCCTGGTGCCTATAGTCTACAAATAGCATGGTATCCCTTGCCAGCTCACTTCTTTTGTCCTTACCCCTGCTCTCTACACTCCAGGTGCCTTTTCTAGGTGCTGTACTTCCACGGGGAATTGAGCAAAGAGAAAGAAGAAATCAGACCCCACATTATTATATGGAATTTTGCATGCAGCATTCCTAGCAGTTGGAGTATGTCTATGCATAAGTCACAGAATTAAAAAATCTAAGTTGGAAGGGACCTTTTGATAGAAAACAATCCCTTGCAACACAGTGCTTAACCAAAGGTCTATAGCATCCTCTTTATTAGGTTGTATTTAACCTAAGAAAGGATGTAAGGATCTAGGGTACCCTCTTTAGTAGGTTCTACCGATGAGGCAGAGGCCTTTGCCTACCCCCCCCCCCCAGTAAAGGTTCCCCTTTCACTACTAAAATCAATCACCTCTAGCCTTAATTCCCCATGATACTTGAGTTGGGCAGGAAGGCAATTTGAGAATTACTCTTGTATCCAGCCAAATTTCAGCTTCTGACTTTTTCACCACTTAGAAAAATCTCTGCCTTCAGCAGTTACCTCCCAAAGCGACCTAACCACATACACTCCCAAGAGGCTGCCACATCCTTCCCAGGTCCTCCCACCTCCAGACACCTGGCTCAGGTGGGCCCAGAATCATCCTCACCATCGTCATATAGGTGGCCTCTGATTTCTCACTTGGTTTTTCTTCCTCCAACACCTCCCGTGTAGTTATTGAGGAATAAACATGGTTCTAGAGGGGAAAAATGGTATAAATGTTCCTAAAAATCAGCAGATCTTCTATGACAGAGAAAAGGCCATTTGCTACTATTCACAAGGCATCAGCCACCAAAACTGGCAGGTTCAGGGAGATACTGAAAGCCACAGAATTATCAACAATAACAGTAATTCAGTCCTCAGTGTTCCACAAAATTAAGGAAATTAACTTGTCAGCAAAGAGCACTTTATCTTAAGAACCAAATTCTTTGCTTCAAAAGCCACACAAGTCTTTGTTTGACGGGTGTTTGGGTAGCCGCAGGAACAGCAGCAGCATCCTTATCTTGACAAATTATATCTACTTTATCTACTAATTAGAGTCATAGCAGGATGGCTGGCATTAATCAGCAGCTAATTTGTTGTCAACTCTTTCAGAGGATTTATATGGCAGGAACAGCCCTCTCCGATCTTCACTTCTGTGGGGCGGGGGTACTATGTGATCCCCATTTCTGTCATTATGTGGAGAAGTAATGTTATCCAGTGAAAAAGTCTTGGGCTGCTGGAGGCTCCTGCACTATGCTGTGAGAACATCCTATTCTTGGGTCACAAATAAACCAAGAGATGGAAAGGTAAATGTTCTAAAAGGGGAAAGAACAAAAAAGGAATTCAAGGAAATGAATCTATTTCTCAGTTCCTAGTAGCAATCATTCACAGCTCCATTATAAACTAACGTGCAAGAGAAAGTGCTTTTTGATCCTCTTTTTAAAGGACCCTGAATATTAATCTTGACCATTAACTCCTTCACTTAACTCCCAAATGTATCACAATTCTCCTTTGAAATTATACAGTGTTTCATAAATTATGAAAAACTTGTATATCATCATGTTATTTGAACCACACAACAGGGCAAATATGTTTGTCCTAATGCTGTTTTATTGATGAGAATGCTAAAGCTTAGGGTGGTAGCAGAGCCAGGCTTGAACTGGAGCTTTGACTAAAAGTCCAGTGCTCTATGCTCAGACCCTCCCAGGAAGGCTTGACCATCTTGGGCTGGCCCCACCTGCCCCCCACATGAAAAGCCCCCAAGGGCTTTTACTTCAGTGGTGACCACTTCCTGAGCCCCTGCTCTGTGCCAGCCACTAGCCTAAGTGCTAAGAAATAACAATGAGTAAGACACGAGTCACAGAGGAATGATAACACCACCATCCTGATACGGAGCAGCATTCACCTCACTTTCCTTGGCCACAGCAGCAAAATGGCAGAGTTCTCTTACCTCTGCATGAGCCTTCCTTGTGTCCTCCAGACTTTTTACCAGGGTTGTAGAAGTTACTGAACTGCAAGGCATGAAACACGTGAAAAATTAAACAGGCACCATTGTATATTCAAGGCTGGATGTCTACAGAGCTTTGTGAAGAGATAATCACTAGAGCAGGAGTTATTCTCTCTAGACTCCTACCCAACTCTACTTGAAGTCTGGGAGTGTATCTTTCATGGAGAGCAGGAGACAGTTTGGGCTGAATTACAGCTTCCACTCCATCATCAATCTAAGAACTTTCTGGCTATAACAATGTAAGGTGAACAGTGCCAGGCCATGGTATTAGACTTTATTTATCTCTGAGGACTAGGGAGATATAGCTATACTAGCAGGGGAGAGCAGAAATTCAGCAAGACATCATTTCAAAGGGTTGAGATGAATTATCCCCACAAACTCCCCAAACTGTGAGCTCTAGCTCTTTCCTGATCCTTAGCCTTTGATATCTTGACCATCTGCCTTCTCAATTTGCTACTGAATACATTTTCCTTTTTATCTATTTTGGCCTAAGATAGAGTGTAAAAAACAATTAGAGTTAAAGCTAGAAAAAAACCCATATTTTTTGTCTCAAGTAGAAATATTTCTATCATATTTTCAGATTATTAAGTTGTATATTCTCACTGTTAAATAATTCAAATAATATAGAAATGTAGACTGCTGGAGGCTCAAATCCAGTAAAATCCTTACCTTCATGAGACCCACCTTCTCCTTTATCCTAAATACCACTATTACTATTTAAGAAATATCCTTCCAAACCTCTCTCAATGCAAGCATAAGTACACCCACACAAAATGTATTTAAAATATATGCTGCTGAAATGAGCATTACATAATTTCCTTCTTTACAGACATGAGATTATACTATATAGTCTATAACACAGAACTGGACATCTTCCCATGTCATTACATACAGGGTTGTGTAGTTTTTCATTGAATAGAATACCAATTCTTTAAAACATTACTGTTCTGACACAGAAGGTGATTTCAACTTTTTATTATAATTAATACTACAGCAAGCATATTCATGCACATAACCATCAGTCTGATTATTTCTTTAGAATAAATAAGTAAACATGGAAGTGCTGCTCTTCATTTTGAAAAAACCTGAGGCCCATAGGGAGAAGTGAGCTAATATGAAACCCAGGTTGTCTAATTCAGCAAGCCCAGGGCAAAGACCCTCAGAGAAACCAACAAAGTTCAAAACCAAGTCAGAGGACCCTTAGAAATGGGAGTGCAAATGTGGCACACATACGCACTTTTTGCAGAATCCATGTTCCACGGGGAAAAACACTCAAAAGTCAGCATTACTTAATCTTAATGAGAGCCCTTTCCCATTGACACTAGCTCAACAGGACAGTCAATTTGTCCTGGAAAAATATTTCATCAACATTGGGTAAACTGAGGAATGTATCTGCCAACAGCCAATGAAACTCTAGTGCCCAGGTCAGAGCATCTGGGCATTTTTGAGATAGTAGATGAAATTGAAGCCTTTAAACGTACATTTCAACAATAAATAACTTAGGACTTCAGGGCATCTGCTCAAAAATAGGCTATCACAACTAGAATGTGGTCTTTTAATTAAAGTCACTTAAAGCCCTCAAGATCTGGTCTTCTTTGTGAAGCATATACAGTAGATAATTTTAAAAATCATCTCTCTCAGGCATTGAATGGTACCATTATAATTCAGGCTTAAGATTTATACTCTTAATCATGCTCTACTTAGACCACCCTTTGTAAAAGCTGGCAATGTTTGTAAAAAATACCAAAGTGAATGAGGATGACGTGGGAATGTGCAGCAAGGTGTTCCAACAGCAAAGACAGCAGGGTTGCTACACAGATGACATCTAACTGATGTCACCCTCTGTAAAACTGGAACAGTTAGGGCCCTATCATTCTCTTTCACTTCAGGTTAGAGGCCGTCCTGCACCTCTAGCCTCCCAGCCCCAGAGGTGAGAGTATCTCTGTACCTCTTATTCCTGTGGGTCCTCTTCACAATCAATATCAGAACAGGAAGCAGCAGGATAGTGACACAAATGATCCCCACAATGGTCACCAGCTGATTACCACCCAGGATCTCAGGTCTGAAAGCTACTGCAGTCACCAATGCTTAGGAAAGGAGAAAAGCAATGAGAGGGCCTCAATAGTCCAACAGCTGACAGCCCCACCAGCTACATACAAGGTAGCAACATCTGGGTCAGGAAGTCAGAGGAGAAGGCCAGACTCCACTCCATGTTGAAACACTAGGACTCCAGCTGTCACTGTTAGATTGAGAGTCAAAGTCTGACCCTCCTGCTTACTCTTAAAGTGTAGATTTAGGTGGGCAGGAGGGAACAACACCTCACCTATAGTAGAGTTTTCTTTTGCATTAATAATTCTATCTTAAAATGTGGTTTACCAAATGACATAGAAATAGCAGGCATCTTAGAGGCTACTGACCTTTCTATGGGAAGTGATTCTTTCAAATGGATCTATGCTACAACACTCAGCCCCATGGACATGATACCAAGTAAGATCTTTGGAGACACTTCCACCCATATGGTACCCTTCACTAACTCCTCAACTCACTCTAAATACAGACATCACAGACCTCCTGGGCACCAGATATTACTAGACATGCAATACACAAACATGAAAATGCTGGTCTTTGCCTCCAAGAAGAGGGAAAACCATGTAAACAGAAAACCACAGACTGCTAGGTGCTATGACAGAAGTCTATATAGTGTGCAGAGGGACACAGAGAAAAGAGTACCCAATTCTATGTGGAGGTGACAATTTGTCAGCCAAGTTCTAAAGTTTGAACTGTCTTAAAGGGAATATCAAGTTTTAAAGGGAACATAGGGTGGTGCTTTTAGAAACAATTCCATGCACTGGGCTCAGAAGTTGCATTGGTGGGTGGACAGGAAACTGGGTTTAAGTCATGAAGGACCTTGATGATCTCAAGCAGGAATTTGGCTTTATTTTTTTTTTTTAGGCAATGAAAAGATTATAGACAGTGGAATAGAATGTTGAGATGTGTGATTTAGAAAGATGGGACTGATTGCTGCATGAAGAATGAACAGTGGCTGAGAATGAAAGCAGAGACTAGTTAGAGGCCTACAGTCTAAAACACAGATAGAGGCAATCAGAACTAAGGTGGTGGGGATGGCCTGGAAAGAAGGCAGATTGAAAGTCAGTAGCAGAAATGACAGGACTTGTTGATCTGTTAGTCTGGGGGTCATGGAAAACGGAAGAAGCAAGTACAATTCCCAGGTACCCAGTTAGCTAGAGAACTACATAGATGGTGAGATGGTGGCGGCATTAACTGAAGTTGAGGAGATGGGATAGGACCAGGTATGCCAGGGGAGGTTTGGATATGTGGTATTTGAAATATCTGTGGGATATCTGGTGGAGCTCACATAGATACATAGAGACAGGTAAATTATACCCAGCATACAATATGCTGAATATATAGACTGTAGTATCCAGTACTACTGAGTAAAGATGGCCAAGGATATGAGATCCAGAGTACCATTGCTATATCCAAGCTAGAGTAGGAGAAGCAGAAGCCAGAACAGTGCACCGAGCGATTACTGGGAATGAGATGAGAGACACTACATACAGTGCCTTTGCAAGCCATTTGGCTATGTCAAGAAAGAATATATAATTGATTGTGATGAAGGTTGCACAACTCTGAATATACTCAAAACCACTGAGTTGTACACTTTAAATGGGCAAATTGTACAGTACGTAGGTTGTATCTCAAGAAAGCTGTTTTAAGAAAAAGAAAGATATAGGATGAGAGCTAAATTAGACATGGACACAAGGTAAGAGGAAGACTTGAGCATATTTATACGCTGAATTGTAAAAGCCAATGGAAAGTGAGTGAGAAGGAACAGAGAATGTAACTGGGCACAGGTATTTGGATAAGCCCAAGCAGAAAGGATGGCAAGGCAGAGATAAGGATGAGGGCATATTATAGACATATTTGTGGGTGGGGAAGGCTTGGAGGTTGAATGAGCTCCCATTTAATGGCTTGAATTTTGTCTGTGAAGATTAAGATTTCTGAGAGAGAAGATATCTGCTCTGCTTCTGTCTCCAGCTGGGACCCTTTACTATATAACAAGAAGGTACTCCCATAGATATAAGTCTCTGGCCAGAGGTATTGAGATGTGTTCCATCCTCACCCCCACCCCCACCCTCAACCAATCACAGCCAAAGCCAACCCCTGAGGGCCCCAGTGTAAGGCAAAGTCCACAGGCCACATCCTGACTGCTAAAACTGACTTATGGTTTATTAACCTCTCTCAGTCAACAAAACTGAGTCTTTATTTGCCTACAAACTGACCTCAATGCATAGCATTTCCCAGAATACAGAACCTTTGATCAGAAAACCCCTCTTTTTGGTGCTGCTCCCTTCCTGTTTTTTCTGTTCTTTGCTGTCTCTCACCAGCTCAGGATCATTCCCCCTCCACTACAGAGCACACAGCCTCTTTCTTGAAGCTAAGTAAAAATGACTTTGAACATCAATTCCAATTCATCTCTGAATTCCCATATCTTTAAATTGGTAGGTTGTACTGACAATGAGTGACGTCTGACAGAGGGCTGGTATTCACTAAATATTAGCTCCTTTTTCACTGACTTTTAGCGAGACCTGAATTAGGGTGAGGCAACCAAGGTGCCCAAGGCAAAAAATTTAAGGAGACATAAGTCTCAGGGTAATGCAAGTACAGCGTCAGCATCTGAGAGTGATGCCCCCTTAAGTTTTGCACACTAAAAACCTCTTGGACCTCACCCTAGTCCTGCCCATGCCTACCAACTATGAGGTCCCTCATCCCTCCCCAACCAAATGTTAGATACTTTGAGGATCTTTCTGAATCACATGTAGCACAATAGTTTTTCTGAATGTCAAGTTCCCCAGGTGAATACTGCAGGTGTAGCTTCCTCTGTCAGATTCCTTCACTCCTTGGAGCTTGATGGAGCCATCACTGTGGGCAGTGTTCCCCACCAGGTTTACACGGTTCCGGAAGCGGCCCCCATACTGGTGGTACCCCCCAGGTAATTTTTTGGTGTAATAACGCAACACAATCTCCTCCTAGAAGAGAAAGGCAAAATGTATGAGACTGCTGCAAGGCGGGGACAGGGAGGCACTGGGAGCAGGGAAGGTTGAAAGCCCCTGAATGTGTAGCCAGCATAGGTGTTATCAGAAAGTATTAGATAACACAACAGTGTGAACACACATGTGTGTGCTGGCATGTAGTTGTGAACAACTGTTCCATCTGCAGGGAGGGATGAGGAAGTAAGAATGAGGGAGCTTAACTTTTTACACTGCTCGAATAAAAAGAAAAAGTGAAAGTATGACATTTCCAGTTGGATTTTCAATAGGAAATCTAAAACATAACTAAAACTGAACTCCATGTTTTTCCCCAAAACCAGTTCTTTCTAGTCCATCCAACTTTGGTAAATGGCAATGCCTTCTTCCAGATGCTCAGGCTAAATATCTTGGAGTCATCCTTAACTCCTCTCTTTCTTGAATAACTCATATCTAAAATCCCTCAGAAAATCCTATCACCTCTACCTTCAAAACATATCCCAATCTAGCCACTTTCACTTCTTCCATGGTTGCCACTAGGGTCCAAGTACCATCTCTCTCCCGGATTCCTGCAAGGAGCTTCTTCACTTGTTTCCCTACCTACTCTCAAGTACAGTCTATTTTCAGAAGATGAGTCATTAGAAATATAAGTTAAATTAACCATATTTACTTAACATATTTCTAATGACAGTAACCAGAGGGGAGGTGGGAGAGGACAATGGGGGGGGAAGGGGAAGGGTTTTCAGGAACATGTATAAAGGACACATGGACAAAACCAAAGGTGGGCAGGATCAAGGGTGGGAGGTGGGGATGGCAAAATGGAGACAACTGTACTTGAACAATAATTAAGCAAAAAATAAATTTAAAAAAATAAAAAGGTTAAAACAAACAGAAAAAGAAATATAAGGTAAATCATATTATTTCTCTGCTCAAAACCCTCCAATGGCACCTCTATTTCTACTAAAAGTACAGACACTTTCCTCTCTGATTTAATTCTACTTGTTCTACTTGTTCTTCCCTCACCTACTTGGGTCACTTTACTCAAGCTATACTGACCTCCTTGCTGCTACTTGAGTACTGGCCTCAGGGCCTTTGCCTTTGTTCATTCCTCTTTATACCTGGAACACTCTTCTCCCCAGACATATGGGGAGAAGAGTGTTCCAGACAGGTGGTTCCCTTACTTCCTTCAGACTTCTGCTCAGATTTCACCTTTTGAGTGAGGCCTCCCTGACCACCTAAAATAGCAACAAGACTCTGCTTTCTTATTCTCCATAGCTGTTACTATTACCTAACAGATTCTGTATTTATTTCTTCATTGTTTTACTGTGTATCTTCCTCCATCTTGATTGTAAGTCCCCATCAGGGTCAGGGGCTCTCACTGCATGGCAGATGCTTAAAAAATACTTACTAATGGCTAAGTGTTGGAATTTTTAAATTAAGGCATATGAACATTATAATTTGTAAAAGCTTTTAAGAAAAGGAAATGGGATGGGAGTGGAGACACAAAGATGAATAAAAAGACCTAGCCCCTAACCTTTTGTCTCTTGTGATTCAATTCACAACTCAAAATGCCAATTCTTATTCTATTTTCTGTTGTGATTCACTTAGTGGATGACATTTCAATCAATGCATGACAAGTCCCCAGAGGTGAATCTGAGACTGTACATAATTCCCCATGATCCACCATGATGCCACCCTTTCTGACCTACTCAGACAGCATATAGGAATTAAGTGGGTTTAAATGACTTTTTTATAGGGATTACCTGGAATATGTCTTAATTTATAAAAGCTAAAACTTTTATAAACTTTCCACCTTAATTTTTTGAACAGAAATTTATTTGGGATGTCCCTAAAAACATAGCTTGACCCATAAGTACATCACTATGCCATAGTTGATATCACTAGTCTAGTGAAATAACTTGCTGTTTACTGCTTCAGAGTTCTCATGAACTACTCACCCTGCCCCTGCCCCAGGATCTATTGCACTAACCCCAGCATCTGAAGCACCCATACAGAGGATGTTCCCTCCATCACATAAATGGGGCAAGGGAGCAAAAAAGAAAACTCACAAAAATAACCCAAATAAGAATAAAAATGTAGTCATTCTTATGTATAGCCCATAGCTTTCCTGGCTAGGCCACAAAAATCATCCCCCTCATTCTCCCATGAACTCTCCAAAGAGAAGGAGGGAAAAGAGGGAGAAAACTAAAATGCAGTGGCCAAGTCATATACAAATGCTTTACATGGACTATCTTATATATGCATCTTCACTACCCTAAAAGTTATGCATTTTCTTCTCTTCCTCCTCCTTCTTCTTCATTATCTTCATTAGAGCTATTTTTCCCAACAGGAAGCTAAAGTTGCTCAGCCATGTAGCCAAGCTAGAAGGCCCAGTTCTGACAAGATCCAAAGCCCAAGCCCTTTCAATGCCACCACATAGCACCTGATGCCTAGATTCTCCTTCCTCCCTACTGTCCTGACACCTCAGCCAGGGGCTTCTACTACACACTGATGGCTCCTCTTCATTACCTTGGTGCGCTCCTCTGGTGAAAACATCCAGTCTACCTTGGTCATGAGATTCTCTTCTGTGCTCTGGAAAACACATTCCATGAGGGCTGAATCACCCACATGGACTGTGAACTCTGGGAATAAAATGATAAATCAGATTAAAACCAACATTTAATCTATAGAAGCCAAGGAACTTTTAAAAGAGAGAATGTTTAGCCAAAAATCCTCAACAGTAAAATCAACATTACCAACAAATACTGCACACATTCTCTCCACAGATGATCCAGATGACCCTATATGGACAAAGTATTCAGAAGCCTCTCACTCAAACCAACAAGATACACCAACGGTAAGACAAATACCCTTTATCTACCTACATACATCAAGTCTGAGGGGTTCTGTTGTCTTCCTACCACAATAAACACGTTATGGTCTTCTTTAATGCTCTTCTCCCTTCCCTTTGCAGAATTTTTCCTATGAGCCTCAATTCCACTTCCAATTTATAGTAAGAAAGTAGAGAAAATCTTGAAGCCTAACACTTTCTGTTCACCTACTTAGATACCCACATCTGCTTCACATAAACAGGAAGTAGAAAGTTATATAACTCTCATTCTTTTATATATATTCCAGTGGATTTTATACATATATAAATTATATATATGTATATCCCACTGGATCTTGTAGCTGAAAAAATGAATCATGGTCACTTTTCTTAGCTTCTCTTATTCTTTATATAAGTTGTCTTAGGACAGTTCTGGCTACAGAACAAGTCACAAGATTCCTTGCTAATTAGGCCAAGACAAGAGACAGTTTTCCTCTGAATTTAGTTTCTTTTTCAATCCTTGCCCCCACTCCCCACCTGATCCCCCTTCTCCTGTTTCTGGCTTCTCAAGTCCTAGGCTCTTCCTTCTATTTATTTTTTAAGTAGCTGACCCCATCATATGTTTACTGTATAAGTCATTGCAGGAGGTCCTTGAAAAAGGAAACAACTACAAAGATGTTTCTGATTTTTTCAATGATGCACTACACAAATCAATGACAAAATCAATTACAAAATGAAAGATGAATGGTATTTATGGAGTCATAAGCCTAGGTCTTAACTGGATAAAGTTCCTTCAAAAGATTATTAAGGAAAATTCATGAAGAAACAAATACAGTGCATAATCTGAACTTTTCATCCAAATTGTTTCCCTGGGAGAACATTAACTTCCTGCCCAGCAGGAAAAATGCATAATGGGAGGAAAGCAAAAGAAAATATTATGAACTTGAAACTCTATAAACAATAAAGTTTAAAAAATAATAAAAAATGTTTAAACAATAACAGCCCACACACACACACACACACACACACACAAAAGAAACTCTGTAGAGGAAATTATTTTGAAAGTAATCAAAATTCACTCCAAAGAATACCAGTAGAAAGAAAATACCCTCTAATTCAGCAACACATTAAAAACTGAACTCTCTTATTTTTTTCAACTGTGTTCAATTACAGTTGTCCCAATTTTCCCCCATTGCTCTCCCCTGCCCCACCCACTGCCTATCCTTCAGCAAGTCCTCACCCTGTTGTCCCTTACCACGGGTCCTTCTTTAATTTTAATATATTTTATTGGTTATGCTATTACAGTTGTCCCATTTTTTTCTCCTCTTTATTCCCCTCTGCCCTGTACCACCCACACCATCATTACCCCAGCTTAGTTCATGTCCATAGGTTGTACATGTAAGTTCTTTGGCTTCCCCATTTCCCATATTATGTTTAACCTCCCCCTGTCTATTTTATACCTACCATTTACATTTATTACCCGTTCCTTTTCCCCTGTTCTCCCCACTCCCCCTCCTTGCTGATAACCCTCCATGTGATCTTTATTTCTGTAAATCTGTTCCTGTCTAGTTGTTTGCTTAGTTCATTTGCTTTTGTTTTTTTAGGTTTGATTGTTATAGTTGTGAGTTTGTTGTCATTTTACTGTTAATAATCTTGATCATCTTCTTTTTCTTAGATAAGTCCTTTTAACATTTCATCTACTAAGGGCTTGGTGATGATGTACTCATTTAACTCGATCTTATCTGGGAATCACTTTATCTTCCCTTCCATTCTAAATGATACCTTTGCCAGATAGAGTAATGTTAGATATAGGTCATTGCCTGTAAGGTTTCTTTTGGGAACTCCTTTGTAGGTAACTGTCTCCTTTTCTCTTGAAGCTTTTAAGATTCTCTCCTTATACTTATTCTTGGGTAATGTGATTATGATGTGCCTTGGTGTGTGCTTCCTTGGGTCTAAATTTTCGGCAACTCTCTGAGCTTCCTGGTCTTCCTGGAAGTCTATTTCCTCTGCCAGATTAGGGAAGTTCCCCTTCACTATGTTTTCAAATGAGTTTTCAATTTCTTGCTCTTCCACTTCTCCTTCTGGCACCCCTGATTCAGATGTTGGAATGTTTAAAGTTGTCCCAGAAGTCCCTAAGCCTCTCCTCATCTTTTTGAATTCTTGTTTCTTCATTCTTTTTCAGATGGATGTTTATTTCTTCTGCTCCAAGTCATTGATTTCAGTGATACAGGGCACTGTTGGTTCCCTGTATATTTCTCTGTATTTCACTTTGCATAACCTTCACTTCTTCCTTTATTTTGTGTTCTTACTCAACCAATTCTGCAAGCATCCTGATTACCAGTGTTTTGAACTCTGCTTCGGATAGATTGGCTGTCTCTTCATCGCTTAGTTCTTTTTCTGGAGTTTTGATCTATTCTTTCATTTGAACTGCATTTCCTTGTCTTGGCACACCTGTTACATTATAAGGGGTGGAGCTTTAGGTAGGACAGGGCTACCTACTTTGCTACATTGTGGCACTGTATGTGGGGAAGGCATCAGAGAGGGAACAGTGACATTTGCTCAGCTCTCGTCCTGTTTTCAGTCACTTCCCCTGCTACCCACAAGTGAATTAGGCTAGGCCCTTCCAGTGCTAATTCCCAGGTAAGTGGGCTTGTGTATGTTCTAGGACCCTGTGAATCTTTCCAACAAACTCTCCTGTGAGGCTGGGAGTTTCTCCTGCCAGCTCAACCTCCATAGGTTTTTATAGTCAGAGGTTTAGAGGCTTTATTTCCCCATACTGGAACCCTGAGTTGCATGCTCTGTCTCACTCCCCAGTTGTTCTTCCTGGTTTACCTACATGCAAATATGGTACCACTCACTCCACCAGCCACTGCCTTGCCCAGTCTGCCAGCCGTCACCTCGGCCACACGGTTTCTCCAGCCACCACCTGGCCATCCTTTCCACCCTGGCTGCCCATCTTCACCCCTCCTACGGGTTTGGATGAATGTTTCTTAACTTTAATTCCTTGGTTGTCAGACTTCCATACAGTTTGATTTTCTAGCTGTTCTGTTTATTTTTTTATTTTAAATTTGTACTTGTCCTTCTTTTGGCTGTGCTATGAGGCAAAGTGTATCTACCTACACCTCAATTTTGGCCAAAAGTCTGCTCCTTTTATTAAAAAAAAAGACTTTATTTATTTTTAGAGACAGGGAAAAGAAAGGAGAGAGTGGGAGAGAAATATCAATGTGTGGTTGCCTCTCACTCACCACCCACTGGGAACCTGGCCTGCAACCCAGGCATGTGTACTGACTGGGAGTCAAACCAGCCACCCTTTGGTTTGCAGGCCAGCACTCAACCCGCTGAGCCACACTAGCCAGGTCCCATGTGTGGGTCCTTGACTAGACCCTTCCCCTTCTTTCCCCCATTATGCCTCTCCCCCTCCCCTCTGGACGCTTTGTTCCTTATTTCCATGTCTCTCGTTCTATTTTGCTCATTATTTGCTTTGTTGATTAGGTTCCACTCATAGGTGAGATCATATGATATTTGTCTTTTGCTGCCTGGCTTATTTCACTTAGCATAATGCTCTCCAGTTCTATCCATGCTGTCACAAAAGGTAGGAGTTCCTTCTTTATTTCTGCTACATAGTATTCCATTGTGTAAATGTACCACAGTTTTTTTGGTCCTCTCATGTACTGATGGGCACTTCGGTTGCTTCCAGCACTTGCCTATTGTAAATTGTGCTGCTATAAACACTGGAGTACACAGGTTCATTTGAATTAGTGTCTCAGGATTCTTATAATCCCAGCTATAGAATCACTGGATCAAAAGGTAGTTCCATTTTTAGTTTTCTGAGGAAATTCCATACGATTTTCCACAGTGGCTGCACCAGTCTGCATTCCCACCAACAGTGAACTAGGGTGCCCTTTTCCCCACAACCTTGCCAGCACTTGTTGTTTGTTTATTTGTTTATGATGGCCATTCTTACTAGTGTGAAGTGGTATCTCATTGTGGTTTCAATGAGCATCTCTCTAATGGCAAGTCATGTTAGGCATCCTTTCATCTATCTCTGGATCCTCTGTCTGTCTTCCTTGGAGAATTGTTCAGGTCCTCTGCCCATTTTTTAATTGGGTTGTTTGTCTTCCTGGAGTGGAGTCATGTGAGTCATGTGGAGTCACATGGAGTCCATGTGAGTCACATGGAGTCATGTGAGTTCTTTACATATTTTGGAGATCAAACCTTTGTTGGAGGTATCATTTGCAAATATATTTTCCCATAGAGTTGGTTCCCTTTTCATTTTGCTGATGTTTTCTTTAGCCATGTAGGAGATTTTTAAGATTTATTTGTTTACTTATCTTTAGAGGAGAAGGGAAGGAGAGAGGGAGAGAAACATCAATGTATGGTTGCCTCTCGTGTGTCCCCTGCTGGGACCTGACCTGCAACCCAGGTATGTGCCCTGACTGGGAATCGAACCCTGGATGCTTGATTCCCAGGCCCATGCTCAATCCACTGAGCCACACCAGCCAGGGCTAGATTTTTAATTTGATGTAGTCCCATGTGTTTATTCTTTCCTTTATATCCCTTGCTCCAGGAGATATACTGGCAAAGATATTGCTGCATGAGAGAGCTGACATTTTGCTGCCTATGTTTTTCCTCTAGGACTTTTATGGAGTCATACATATATTTAAATCTTTTATCCACCTTGATTTTATTTTGGTGAATGGTGCAAGTTGGTGACCTAGTTTCATTTTTTTACACATATCTGCCCAGCTCATATAATTTTCCAAAACTGAATTTAAAAAAAGCAGAAAGCCTGAATAGACTGATAATAGCTAGTGAAATTGAAGCAGTAATTAAAAAAAAAAAAAACTCCCAGCACACAAAAATTCTGGACCAGATGTCTTCACAGGCAAATTTTACCAAACATTTAGGGAACAGTTAACTTCTATCCTGCACACACTATGCCAAATAATTCAATTAGACGGAAGACTCCCAGACTCTTTTTATGAGGCCAATATTATCCAAATTCTAAAACCAGGTAAAGACACAACAAAGAAAGAAAACTACAGGCCAATATTGCTGATGAACGTAGATGCTTAAATTCTCAACAAAATATTGGCAAACCAAAAACATCAGTACATTAAAAAGATCACACACCATGATCAAGTAGGATTCATCCTAGGGATGCAAGCATGGTGCAACATTCACAAATCAAGAAACATAATATATCACATGAACCCTATTTTTAAAATGCAATAATAATAACTAAACCTCTGAGTCCTTTCAATGTACCAGGCATATGGGAGACACCCTGTGTCATCCACCACCTAGTCATTATAATATTCTGATATATTCACTATTACCCTCCTATTTTGCAGAGGAAGAAAATAAAAGAGACCAAAACGACATGGCCAGTAAAACATAGGGCTGGCACTTAAACACAGGCCTGAGTGAAAAAAAGTACAAGCTTTCTCACTCACTGTACTCTGCTACCTCATATTAGTGGAAGGTTGGCTGACTCCTTCCACTAATGTGTAAGTGCAGGAAGTTAGTGTTATTTTTATTTGTAAGAATATTGTCTACAATATTTAAATAAGAACTACTAAAAAATTAAGGAAATAGAATCAGAAAAATTGTAAGCTGAAGGGTAAACTTTGTAGAGAAAATTATAGATGACTGCACAAATGGAATTTTCACATGGGAGGAGAAAACCTCCATCAAGCAAGATGGATAACTTTGCACCGGTCACTAGGCAAACTTAGGAATTAGATTTATTCCCACTCCTGCTACAGGGAAAAATATATACAATTTACCCCACTGACTACTGCAGAAATATCTAACTACACCTAAAATTGTTCTATCCTGTTTCCATAGGTTTCTTTGAAACCAGATCCTTTTGGTTCATTCCCTGTGTGTGTCTGTCTCTTCTAAGCAGGAAAAGGCATTCACTTTGTAGGCCATGCTTATATGGACAAATGCTTGGGCATTGCATTAGAAGATGTAGCCCAGACGTAATCCTTGAAAACACTGGCAACTGATTCATTCCCTCTTCCTAGAGAACCACAGCTTTGGAATCAAGAGAAAAATGTCAATTGAAATAAAGTAGAAAAAATTAGGAGAGGCCAAAAGCTACCTTCTCCAACTCCATTTTTTAGGAGTTAAATTTAAGTAAGGGACACTAATTTAAAAATTTTATTCATTCAACAAATGTTTATTGGTTGCTTACTCTCATGCTAGGAACTGTGCCCAGGACTAGTCAGGAACAAAGAACAAAGACCCAGGAAACAGGGAAGACATGACTGAACAGGTGTGATGGACCACCAAAGACAAGGACAGGGTGCTCCAGAGGAGCTCATTAAAAGAGTGGACCTAAACTAGCTGGTGAGGAGGGGAGGGTACAGATTCTAGCTCTCTAACTAAACTGCAAGGTTTCCTAAAGCCACAGACTAAAACATTTTTCAAATTCTGTGGTTTTCAAACATTTTTAAACAGAATTCTTTCTTTAAACAAAATCTTACTTGGCAGCCCAATAATAAATCAGGAAAAAGATGAAGGACTATGGTGGCAGTGGAAGTGGAAGCTAGAGGTCCTGCCTGACTAGGTCCTCTATCAACTTCTTCTGTTTCACCCTTTGTGTGGCCTACCAGGTCCCTTGGACTTTGAGGTTCTACAGAGTAGTTTTTAAATCACCAGTCTACTGAAGCCACTCCCTCCATCTACAAATGGGAACATGAGAACCAAAGAAGTTAGGAAAATCTGCTCATTTCTTTTATATCCCTCTGAGCACTTAACATAGGTACCTAAAAAATATGGGTGTAGCGTCAATGTGGATAAATGATGGGAAGCATCAGGTATAGTAAAAAGAACATGAACTCTGTTGTCAAAGGTAACAAGGTTCAAGTAATGGATATGACATTTTATAAATATGGGTCCTTAGGCATAGTCACTTAACCTCCCTAAGCCTCAATTACTTCATCTGTAAAATAAAAAGAACAGTACTTCATAGAATTTTCAAGAGGATGAAATATGTTTAAAGTAACAATAAAATAATAATCATCATTATTTTAATATAAAGAGCACTATTTGCTGAGGACTCATTCTGTGGTCAGTGTGTGGCCCAAAAGTTCGCATTTACTCACACAATCAGTTTCCTTCCCCATCTTTGCTCTACAAATCTCCAGCCCCTCTCTTTTTTCTAAGTTTTCGTGTACCTTTGGGCTCCTCTGGTAGTACATGCAGCACCACTGGTGTTTTGAACACATGGCTCTCCATTTCAAGGCGAATTTCACAGGTATAGATTCCTTGGTCAGCCTCTTCCACATTTTGGAGCAGGAGAGAACCGTCATTGTGTGAGATGTCCCCCGCTAAGCGCACACGATTCTGGAAGCGTCCCACAGGCACACTGAGGTTTGCGTAATAGTATAGCACGTACTCATCCTGGAGAACAACACAACATTGGGGAAAACCTAATATCAGTGACACTAGACCTAGGAGTCTGGATTCAAAAGACCCTGTTCTATGGTATCAGCATAGCTATCATCATTATCGTGATCAAAAAATATTTGTTTCCCAGTTAGTAGTAATAATGTGCCAGGCAATAATCTAACTTGCACAAGACAAGATTCTGTGGCTCATTTATACAAAAACAAGTAGAGAAATAGAGTCCACACGTTTTTGTTTGTAACAATGTAAAGTAAAATGTAATACCCCCTCTGAAGATCACTCTGGGGATTCAAATTCACAACTTTTGAAAACCACCTGCCATCTTTGTCCCATCTTTTACCATGACCCCCAGATCACAGGACACTCAGAAGCATGATGTGCCCCATGGCAGGCTGCTGTGAGAGAATTCCAGAATGTTGGCTGTTGTCACTCCTTCTGCTGTCTGCCCTCCTCTAGAAAATTTATCATGGGGCATGAGAAGTCATCAACGGGCAGTGGTTTAAAGGCTGGGAGAGAAAGCCCTGAGGAATTCCTATTTCTACTTATACCATGGGAATATCCCTCTTATAATAGTAAGTAGTAATAAAAACTTGAGTGAGAGTAGCATTATAAGAATAGCAAGATCATTTGCAAACATTGGGAGCTTGTTGTTAGTAACACACTACTTAGGGCATACTTCACAAATGATCCTGACATATAAGTATCTCTGCAACATCTCTGATGAGGCTTAATACACTGTTTCCTACTCCAAAGAGCTCCCATGAAATACCTTCACTCAGCTATGCTACATCTGCATTTCAAGCAGCTGTGAAGGAGAAACTTCTCCAGCATGTAAATGGGGCAGTGGAACACTGAAAACACTATCACTGTGATGTGAAAACACTATCAAGAATGTGATGTCATTCTCATGCTTAGACTATAACCCTTCTGTCTACTCAACCAAAGTGCTCTTACCATCTCATAGCCTCCCACCCCACCCCATGCACTTATACTCCTCTACAAAGTGCAGAAATTGAGAAAAGAAACTAAAAGAATTTTATAACTTTAGAAGCTAACTCCCATTAGCTTCTAAATGACCTGAACAGTTAAGCATTACCATTAGTATAATCAAGATCACCTTTACCTTCACAGATGGAGAAGTGGAAGCTCAGTGAGGTTGGATAACTTGCCCAGCAGATTACACAGACAAGTATCCAGGCTGAAAAGAGTTCTGACAAGCCCCAGAGCCCACCCTCTTACAACACCACCTCATGGAAGAAGACCTGATCCTCCCTCTCCCCCACTATCGTGACACCATCACCAGGGCTTCAACTGCACTGTATTACACTGTAATATTACACTGTAATATTTCCTCCTACTTACCTTGGCATGCTCCCCTGATGAGAATATCCAGTCTACCTTGGTTATACGTTTCTCTTCTGGGCTGTGGAAAACACATCCCATCAGGGCTGAATCACCCACATGGACTTTTAGCTCAAGGGAGGAAACAATCAAGTCATTCAGACACAAGAAATAACCTAAGAAGTTAAAGGCAAGAAGAAACATCATTTAGACAAATACCCTCAACAAAAATCAGTATTAATCACCAAGTACCATACACCTTCCCTCCCCAGATGTCCCAACATGGACAAAGTATTCAAAGACTCCTCACTCAAACCAACATGCCCTTCCCAAGGATAAGAAAAATACCCTCTAGTTACCTATGTGGCTGAACCTAGGGGGTTCTGCAATCTTCACACTCCATAAATACTAAACTGGTCCCATTCTCCTAGCTAGTCCCTTCCCCTTTTCCAGAATTCCTCCCTGACCCCATCTCCTTTCTAAAGAAAAAAAGAAGAACCTTGAAGTCCCTACTTTCAGATCATGTGCTTAAATACCCATAAACAGGAATTGAGATAACTGTCACTCTTAGTTTACCATCATCAGTTCCCTATCTGAAAAATGAATTCACAGGTATTTCTGCTTCCTTCTTCTTTTCTCTTTATTTAGTTCCTTTACAAAAGCTTATGTCTGAATCTTCTGGCTGTGCTGAAGGCCCTTGTAATTAGGCTAATACAGAGCATAGCTCTTCCCTTGGATCTGTCTGCTGTTTGACTTCTCCTCATGTCCCTCTCCAGTTCTGCCAATAGGCCTGGCTTTTCAGTCTCTAGGTGTTTGAACACATGGTACCACTCCACTATCTGTAGGCCACTCAAGGAATTTCTCTTCTCTCTAAAAGAGAAAACCATTATACAGCTATTTCTGTTTCCACAAGATATGTTTTATGCAAAGACAAAAACATCAAAAAAAGACACATTTAGAGACTGATGGGTGCCAGAAGAAAGAAGGGGCTGGAGGTACTGGGTAAAAAAAATGAAGGGATTAAGAAGTAAAAATTCGGCCCCGATTGGCATGGCTCAGCTGGTTGAGTGTCTTCCTGCAAAGTGAAATTCCTGCCAGTTTGATTTCTGATCGGATACATGCCTGGGTTGTGGACCAGTCCCTGACTGAGGGTGTGTGTGCGAGAGGCAACTAATCAATGTTTCTCTCTCACATCGATGTTTCTCTCCCTCTCTTTCTCCTTCCCTTCCCTTCTCTCTAAAAATGAATAAATAAAATATTCCAGGGTAAAAATACTTTTAAGAAGTACAAATTGGTAGTTACAGAATAGTCATGGGGATGTAAATTATACCATAGGGAATATAGTCAATAACATTGTTATAACTATATATGGTGCCAGGTGGGTACTGAAAATATCACAAGGAACACTTTGTAAAATTTATGATTGTCTAACCACTATGCTGTAAACTGTAATTAAAAAATAGAAGATCAATTAAATGGCTTGGTTGAGTGTTTTACCACAAAGCAGAAGGTAACCAGTTTGATTTCCGGTCAGGGCCCATGCCTGGGTTGTGGGCCAGTCTCCAGCTAGGGGCATGTGAGAGGCAATCAATCGATGTTTCTCTCCCTCTCTTTCTCCCTCCCTTCCCCCTCTCTCTAAAAATACATTTAAAAAATCTTAAAAAAAAACATGTTTAGATACTGGCCAGTTTATATCAAAGAGGAGCGAAGTGAACACATATGGGAAAATGGATAATGTGCCAGTTTCTTCATCTGAGCTGCTGCTGCCCTGAGAGAAGAATGATAACTTCCTGCCCAAGAGCAGGCATACACACACCATTGGGAAGACATAAAAGAAAACATGAACTCTAAACACTTTGAGGAAATTATTTCGAAATAAATCAAAATTAGCTCTAAAACCAATTTGGAATTTTCCTGACAGGAAGAACTGAGCAAAGTTACATGTGGTTAAAGGTATAAGAGGCTATTTTTTTTAACATTAAGCATGCTATATGTAGAATTAAATGAAGGTATGTTAGAAAGCAAGAGCGGCAACTAAAGCAAAGAGAAACTTATACTTGACAGGTAACCTTTGTAGAGAAATGGCTAAAGAAAATGAGACTTTCTACAGGAGGAAAACCTCTACAAAGAAATACAAAAACTATGATGCCACCAAGCCATGACATACAGGGTTGGACTGTTTGGGTTTTTTTTTTTTTTAAGATTTTATTTATGTTTAGAGAGAAAAGAGAAGGTGCACTGGCTGGTATGGTTCAGTGGATGGATTGAATGCCAGACTACAAAACAAAAGGATCACATCGGTTTAATTTCTAGTCAGGACACACGCCTGAGTTGTAGGCCAGTCCCCAGTTGGGGGTGCGAGAGAGGCAACCACACACTGATGTTTCTCTTCTCTTTCTCCTTTCTTTACCCTCTCTCTAGGAATAAATAAATAAAATCTTTAAAAAGAGAGAAAAAGAAAAACATCAACGTGTGAGAGAAATATTGATTGGTTGCCTCTCACACACCCCCAACTGGGGACCTGGCATGTTCCCTGACTGGGAATTGAACTGGTGATCTTTCAGTTCACAGGCTGGCACTCAATCCACTGAGCCACACACCAGGCAGAGCCAGGGCTAGATTGTTAACTCTATGGGTAGAAAGGCAAAAACCTGCAGGCTACCTTACAGACTGCTGGGAAAATAGCTAAGCAACCATTAAATCACTTAAAAATTCATTAAACAAGTCTCTAATACATACCATTTCCACATGTGTATGTTGTGTGTGTGTTAGTACATACTCTATGTTGCCTGGAACTAGAGCAAAGGCAATTCTTCTATGTACTTCAGTGAGTTAGTGTTTGGGTCACCATCCACAGTTTAAAAAAAAACTAATAAAGAGAAAAATAAAAAGCTATGAGAGCAAAGCATCTAATTAATTTATTCTTCTTACAGAGAAATATTCATGGGATAGAGAAAGATGAAACAGTATAAAAGGATGAAAAGTTAGAAAGAAGTGAAGATGAGAAATGAGCAACAAGCACTTAGGTTACCTATGAACAGGAGACTCCAGCCTGGTCTGAGAAGACAGCCAGAGGAGGCTTGTTAGAAGAAAGTGGAGCCTAAAGAGAAACTTGAAAGATAAGGAAGCTTTAGGCAGGCTTACTAAGGTAAGATAGGGAGAGAAAGCTCCCAGCAAAAGAAAAAAACCCAAAATTAGGAGAGCTCAGTGCACTGGAGGAACCACAAGAAGACTGGCATGGCTAAAGCATGAAAACAATTATAGGAATTCTGGGACTTTCTTTGGTAATTTCATTTCCTGATCTGACACTAGCTATGGTTTCAAAGATGACAATTCAAAGTGCAGGAATGCCAGAGGGAGGTTTTCTTTGTATCACATAGGAGGGTCCTAGAACACCCAGTAAGGGCCCAAGGCATTGTTTCCACTAGAAACAGAGGAAGATTCAGCTTTCCAAGAAAAAGTCTACTACATAACTTCTAAAACAGCTGTTTCAGCAAAACAACTGTTTCCACAAAACTACAAAGTTCCAGGTTAGGGTTTCTGTTTCCAACAAACCAAAGTGAAATGGAAATACACAAAACTGGCTTTTGAAAAGGCACAAGACTTACAAGAAATCACATCTCCCCCACCTCCACTGCCACTTGCTCTCTTGGCTTCTACTCACTTACCCAGTAATCCTGGCATCAGGATGAGTTTCCATAGGCAAAACATGCTGCACTCAATTTTCAATCTTAGGATAAAAGAAAAAAATCAGAAAATAGTTTCAGGAGCAGTTCATTAATTTAACAAACCAACAATGAGTTCCTCCATAGTCCAGCCTCTGCCTGAGGCTCTAGTATACAGCATTGAACAAGAAAGTCTCCTGCTTACTTACGGTGTGCCTGTGGGGGAGATAGAGAAAAAAAGAAGCAAATAAAACAGCTGATGCTGGTAACTGTCATGATAAAACAAAATAGTGGTGTTGGGTGAATCACTTGGGGGCTGCTTTAGACTAGCTGTAAGAGAAGATTAGGTGAAAGTTGCTTTTCAAAAAAAAATGAGCCCTGACTGGTGTGACTCAGTGAGCTGGCTATTGTCCCCGTCTAGTTGGGGCACATGTCTGGGTTGTAGGTTAGGTCCCCAGGAGAGGCAACTGATTGATGTTTCTCTCTCACAATGATGTTCCTCTCCCTCTCTTTTGCCATCCCTTCCCCTATAAATAAATAAACAAACAAATAAATAAAATCTTTAAGACAAAGAGAGAAAAAAAGCAAATAATTTCAGAATATCCTTGAGATGACAGTTTCCCATAAACAAAAGATTACAGAATTCTTAACCTGAAATTTTTACCTATTCCTCCAACTAAATTAAAACTACTACTTTTAAACACACGAAGAATATTCAGGACATGTGAGAAAGGAAATACACAAATAAGGAGAAATATTTCAACGCAGTTAAGGCATTCACCAAGCTCTATGACACAAAGAAGCCACACAAAAGCTTTTTTCTTTCTTTTCTTTTTTAAAACTTTTTAGGCAGGGCAGCATGGGTAGAATAAGAATTGGGTGAAGTTATCTTTCAAATGCCTATATTATCTCTGTGGTATTAATTCCACTGCATCCTGTTCCTGGAAAAGAAATAGCTGTTTTACACAGTACCTCACAATTTTCTTAATGAAACAGAAGGACACAACTCCAAGGAGTTACAGTTCAATGAGCCTTGCATTCCTATCTACTACTGTGGCTGATCTCAGCCATGATCCCTGTACCCCTAACATCTGGCCACTGGAGGAATTCCACCTCAGAACCTGCTAAGAGGAAGGTCTTCTTTTGTGCATTAACATCACAGTATTCTACTCAGCTCTGCTGGGAAGTCCAGCACTTATGGCAGCCATCTAATTTATGAAAAATGATTTCTTAAAAGATTCCTTATCTGTATTCTAATAAGCAAAATCCTCTGGAAAACCAGAGTCAAACTGTTCAAGAAGGTCCTAACCCTGGGTCCCAACTTATGCAGAGAAGTCAGTTGACCTTGCTCAACCTCAGTTTCTCACCTATAACATGGGGATTAATAGTGCAAGAATAAATATGATAATGTAGATAACAGTGCTTTGAAAAACAGAAAGCATAAGATCCTATTATTTCTTTTTTTTTATTGTTGTTCAAGTACAGTTGTCTCCATTTTACCCCACACACCCATCAGTGGAATCACTGGATCAAAAGGCAGTTTCATTTTTAGTTTTCTGAGGAAATTCCATACGGTTTTCCACAGTGGCTGCACCAGTCTGCATTCCCACCAACAGTGAACTAGGGTGCCCTTTTCCCCACAACCTTGCCAGCACTTGTTGTTTGTTTATTTGTTTATGATGGCCATTCTTACTAGTGTGAAGTGGTATCTCATTGTTGTTTCAATGTGCATCTCTCTAATGGTAAGTCATGTTAGGCATCCTTTCATCTATCTCTGGACCCTCTGTCTGTCTTCCTTGGAGAATTGTCTGTTCAGGTCCTCTGCCCATTTTTTAATTGGGTTGTTTGTATTCCTGGAGTGGAGTCATGTGAGTTCTTTACATATTTTGGAGATCAAACCTTTGTTGGAGGTATCATTTGCAAATATATTTTCCCATAGAGTTGGTTCCCTTTCCATTTTGCTGATGTTTTCTTTAGCCATGTACATTTTTAATTTGATGTAGTCCCACGTGTTTATTCTTTCCTTTATGTCCCTTGCTCTAGGGGACATCTCAGTGAAAATATTGCTGCGTGGAATATCAGATTTTCCTGCCTATGTTCTTCCATAGGACTTTTATGGTGTTGCCACTTATATTTAAGTCTTTTATCCACCTTGAGTTTATTTTTGTGTATGGTGTAAGTTGGTGATTAAGTTTCATATTTTGATGGTAGCTGTCCAGCTCTCCCAACACCATTTGTTGAAGAGAATACTTTTACTCCATTTTAAGATCTTATTTTTTATAATCTGAAAGTCAGACAGGAAATAGAGTGTATAGCTTTCAGGGTAGATTGTGGATTCAGAGTATCTACCTTTATAAGACTAGCAAATGAATAATCATAATGAACAGGAAAACTTTTAAGTTTCAATTTTTGAATCCCATCACATCAATGTAGATAATTACTATACTAACTCAGATGTACCAAAAGTAACATTAAGTTCCCCAAGTATATCTAATGAAAATACAGAACTCTCCAAGATAGCCACAGCCCTATTGCTTCTCCAGGATGCCCACCTCACCCAGTACTTACATGGGTGAGCATGATAAAGGGCTCACTTTATAATATGTCATAACTTTAATGCATCATATCAGGGACCCCTAAGATCCCTGGCAAGTTTTGGATGAATTCTTCTCCAGTGAGTTGGTTGGGCTCCCTCCTCTGACCAGCAAACAGCTCTTGTACATTTCCCAAAGCAGTGCACCATTTGCATGGAGAAGTAATAATTGATTTACATGTCTAACATCAAATCACATTAAGTCTACATTTTTGAGGGCATAACCATACATGTCTTACTTATGAGTGTCCCATGCCTGTGCAACAGTACTAGTCAAGTACCCAGCATATACTGGGTAATTGATGATAGCTGCCAATATGACCATCGAATTAAAATCAACTTAGATATCCTGCAACTGAACCACTCTATTCTAAGAGGAAGCCAGCCACCCCCAAAGACCCTGAATTTGATTACTAAACTCGAAGTTGCTCAGAGCCACACCCAAACTATTTTTCAAATTCTAACAATTCGCAAACAATATGATGAATAAAAGATACCCATTTTCAGTTCTAAGTACAAAACACTGCATTAGAACTGTATAAATGAATAGTGAAGCAATGATTTAACAAACAAAAAAGAATAAATCGAATTTTTAAAAAAATTATCTTCCCTAGTTCAGACCTTCCAGTAACTAATTCTTTGATCTTCGGGAAATCACTCAATCTACCTGGAGACTGGGAGACTCCCTAACATTAAAGGATCAGACTTTTTTTTAATCCCCCTAGTTAATATGTCACCACATTAGAAATCAGTAGTTCATAGGTAATAAACCAGAGAAGGTTATACACCAGGTATTGTCTGAGCACTTTACACATTAACCCATTTAATTCTCACAACAACCCCATGAGGTTTTACAGATAAGGAAACTAAGGCACAAACTGGTGAGTGACTTGCCTAATAACACACACCAAGTGGCAGAGCCATGATTCAAACCCAGGCATTCTGGATCAGAGCCTTTCTCCTTAGTACTTTGTATTGTGCCTCCATGTTTGTGATAGTAACCAACTTTTAGGGCAAAGCTTCCCTGAACTTCATTTGTCAAAACAAGATTAATCTGCTCCCCAATTAAAATGCTCTTCACATCCCCTTCACCTAGTTAACTCCAGTTCATCTTTCAGGTCTCAAGTTAAACTTCTTCTGAACCCCCTTCCTGGGCCAGATACTGAGGCACATGTTCTAATAATACTATTGATCTTTTCTTTAGGGTTTGTCACAATTTCTAATTGTCCATTTATTTGTGTGCTTGTATAAGTCTTGCTCTCCCCATCCTCACCCCTCCAATACAACAAGCTCCATGAAGCCAAGAACTGTGTGATGTGCTACTACATAGTGCCAGCATAGAGTAAGGCCCAGGGTGAAAGCCAGTGACCACCTGTCCCATGAGTTAATAACAGGGGTCAGAACACTCTAGTCAAGTTTCAATGTCCTAGTTAGTAGCAATTACTCAGAATTCCTGATCATATACATACCTAGTAACCAAATTGTGAATAGTCACACACATATGTATATGATAGAAATTTCTGAATATACATATGGGTATATATAAATTCTGACATACATCTAAATAATAAAATTCTGCATTTTATATATAATACAGTTGACCCTTAATGTGCAGGCTAAGGGTGCTGACCCCACACAGTCGGAAATCACAAATATAACTTTTAACTCCCCCAAACTTAACTACTAATAGCCTACTACTGACCACAACTTTACCAATAACATAAACAGTTAATTACCACATATTTTGTATGTTATATGTTTTATATACTGTATTCTTACCATAAAGTAAGCTAGAAAGAGAAAATGCCATTAAAAAATCAGAATGAAGAGCCCTGGCTGGTGTGGCTCAGTGGACTGAGCACTGAACTGCAAAGCAAAGGGTCACCTGTTCAATTCCCAGTCAGGACACATGCCTGGGTTGCAGGCCAGGTCCCCAGTTAGCGGATGTGTGAGGGGCAACCACACATTGATGTCTCTCTCCTTGTCTTTCTTTCTCCCTTCCCCTCTATCCAAGAATAAATAAAATCTTTTCAAAAAATCACAACAGAAACTACATTTATAGTACTATACATATTTATTGAAAAAAATCTACATATAAGTGGACTCACACAGTTCAAAACCATGTTATTCAAGGGTCAACTGTATTTATATACATCAGGTCCTAAAATAACCTCATTTTTTCAACATCATTTCATTATAACAATGATAAGAAAAAACTTGATTGCCAGCCAGGGTCACTGTCTGCTTACACACTCCCCACCATGTCTACGTGGGAGTCTGGTTTCCTCCTATATCCCAAAGATGTGCATGTTAGGTTAACTAGTGTGAGCAAATTGCCCCAGGCTGAGTGAGTGTGGGGGTGTGAATGGCTCTGTGATAGAAGGGTGTCCTGTCCAGGATGAGGTCCTGCCTTGCCATCTGAGCTGCAGGATAGACTCTTGCCACCTGCGACCACAAAGTGGAAAAAGTGGGTTAGAAAGTAATTATCTTACTAGTTTTCATTAATCTTCCCTAACTGTATGTATAGCTCACTTTTATTTTAGTGTTTAATATTAGAAGTGTTTGGAGTCTTTATTTATAAATTTAGTGACACTTTTGTGACTAGAAATATGCTGTAAGAACTTAACTCTTGTTTAAATGAGTCTATGGTAAAACCAGTTTCGGTATACACTGATTCCTTTAAAGCACGGGTGTCCAACTCATTTTCACCAGAGGACACAGCAGCCTCGTGGTTTCCTTCAAAAGGCCAAATGTAATTTCAACTCCTGAACAGTTAAGGAGTAGTTACATTTATACAGTCCTAAAATTACATTCAGCCCTTTGAAGGCAACCACGAGGCTGATGAGGCCTCTGGTGAAAATGAGTTGGACAGCCCTGCTTTAATGTCAGTTTTGAAGAACTTATTGACAATATTAAGGACATACAGTATATAAAACAAATTTCAGTCTTTAAAAATCCACCAAAGCCTTCAGATGCACCTTAAAACACCTTAATAATAATAGGCTCCATTTGAATTCTCAATTTCTACTCTGCTTACTTCTCCAGACACTAATTTATCTTCTCGGCAGATATTCTTGAGATAATCCTACATAGTAAGTTATCTCATATCTTGGCTAAATGTTTTGACTGAGCTCATGGCTCTTTCACTATATATTACCTAGCGAATATCTTCTATCACTCCTGGGGAGTTGTAACTGTAAGGATCTGCTTTCCGATTATTAATTGTGTAGGGGAATTTTTATCTTTTACACAATTATGACAGAAAAAAATCTTTAGATAAGAGACTCATAACAATGAGATTACCACACAGTATGTGAAAACAACCCCCACATATTACAATATTACAAGACAAAATAGGGAGAGGTGCTGTCTCAAAGTGTTTGCCCCTAGTAAGGAAAACCAACCACCAAGCAAACACAATGGCACACCCTTCCCTTACTCACACAGCCAGCTCCACCTGCAATTCTATGTTCCCTCATTTTACACATGGCTGTGCACCTCTGGGGTCTCAGATGTTTTTAGGTATGTGAGTCTACATAACCATTCTGAGGAATGAACCTCTTAAAATATGTCCTTGTTTTTCCTTCCAAGACCATTTAACACAGACTGATAGGATACAAAGCTTCTTGTAACACAGTCTAGGTTACATCAGTTAACCCTCTACTAAAAGTGAGACAGGATAATAAGAAGCTAGGAATAGCCCTGGGCAAATGGAATAGGGAAACTGAGACAAGAAAACCAAACAAGGCCAAACAGTTTGAGCAACTTACAGCCAGCTAGTGAATCTCAAGACCTTATCTCCCCAACCAAAGACACTTGAGATGAAATGGTTTATACCTCTCCTTGCTAATAAGAGATACATAGCTGAAATCATCCTGGACTGGGAGATAGGTAACAAAAGCCCAGTTAGTGCCATTTGTGCCAGCCAAACCCAAGGACAGGTGAAGTCAAGGGAACAAATAACAACAACAACAAAAACAATCAGAGCCAGATAGACCCAAGATAAGAGCAAAGTAGTGATAGTGACCAGAGAATAATTGCAAACTCCCCTATACACTCATTCTGATAAATCAACATATTGAAGAACACACCTGGAAAACTAATGAATATTCTGTTAAGACCCTCTCCTGAGATGTCCCCTAGGATTCCAGCCCTATAGAAAGATAAAAACCCTTCAAAGACTCCATGTGGACTCTCTCTGGAGAACATCCATGCCTTTTCTTGGGCACCAACATTTTACTCACTTTCTCCTGAACTCTAAGGGTCCCCACAAAACTTGCAACCAGGGGAGCAGCAGGCAGTGGCAGCTCATTCTAGGCTAAACCTCTGAATTTGTCTCCAAGGCTCCTTTTTGTCTGACTTTTCAATGAGCTAATAGCAGCCCCACCTTGGCTCACTTCTTTCCCATAACGTTTCTAGGGAGCCAAAGCAGAGCACAGCCTAGACTCTCTCCTACTTCTTCTTCTACCCTAAGTCCTTCCTTTGTTTCACCACATCTAGCCTGACTAAACATACTCTCAAAACCACCTGGAGTCAGGTTTTGAAATCTTTCCTGCATGAAGTCAAGAACACACACCCTACAGGCTGGCCTGAAGCCTGAGCCCTACCCCATAACAGAAGGGGACCTTGGAAGTCATTACTTCTGTTTGCACCTTCTGACCAGGTTACCTAAACCACACTACATCAGTCCTTCCTGGGATCAGGGCTAGACAAAGGGTGTGACAAGTACGGACAATAGCCCAGCTCTCTTGTGAGGTTTCAAGTCCTGACTTCTTAAGGTTAAATATTAGTCTGCTGAGAACTGAGAGAAGAGAAATAGTGAAGGAAGGGTCTTGCCATGAGCTCTACCTAAAGCCACAGGTTTGTGGTTTTCAGCCTCAAGCTGGACTTAAAAGCTAAAGCCTTACCATCATTTACTCTTTTATTAAGAGAAAACCTTATTCCTCTTTTCTCTGAGGATCTTAACATAAGCAACTCTACACTATAGAAGGGTAAATGGCACTCACCCACTTGACTAGCTTACACAGTCCTTCCTTGAGAGTTCTGATTGTGGCCTCACAACCCAAAAGAACTACCATTAAAACCTCCAGAACCTTCTTCTGAGAGAGAAAAGTTCAACTCACTGCTTAAGAAATACAAAGCGACTGCTTACCCAAGATGAGGAGCACCCAGCAGCAGCAACACACTGATCTCTACCACAACTGCGGTTCTCCACTCTGACTGAAGAGACGCTGCCAGCACAGAAAGTCAGGCTCAGAGAAACCAAATGCATGAGTCCTGAGGCGGCTGCAGAAACACAGACAGGAACCTCTGAATGTAGGTTCTCATTTCAGTCTTCTGGCTCATTACCCAATTTGTATTTGTACTTTCAATGTAAAAAGAGGTAATAAATTCAACCTACTGAGGAGAAGTTCATATTTCTGACCTCTGCAAGTGTTCCTTCCCCTGCAAGATTACCAGCTCTCTAAAAGTGGAATCTTGGGTAGCAATGGGCAAACATTTGCTTAGAAAGAAATCAACTTTGGGCAAACAAAATACAATGAATTTACGATAAACACAAAACATTATGCCTTTTTAAAATATAGCAACCTCTCTTATTTTTCTCTCTCAACACAGAGGTTGTGATAGAGGCAGGCAATCCCCCAATCCCTGCTTCCAAGCTATGCCTGCTCAGTCCTCCAACTCACCACCTAGACATGTCATTTTCCTCTGACCTTGTGATATCAATTATTTCCAGAAAACAGACAGCATTTCATTCCCCCCTGAGAATCCCTTGGGTGACTTGGACATTTTAGATGAGAACTCAAGGCTTCTTCACTTCAAGGTATCTTTTGCTTTTAAGTCACCACTTCAAAATAAGTGTTCTCAATGTATACCCCTTCCGCCTTGGCTGGACTGGCTTGACCTACACATGTGCACATTTGCAACTTGTCCTGTATCATTTGAAAAGTTGTTGAATACTTGCTCTTTTCAAAGACTATGCTCCATGGTTCTTGAGAAGTCATGTCCTGGTAATCAGCAGTTTACCTAAATATACCCACCATGGCCTATTTCAAGCTACCAGCAATGTAGCAATGAAGAATTGAAAAATTCCTAAAAACTTAACAATTGGCTCTTGCTATGTGAGCTGGATCCAGCACACCACTGAATCTATGCACATTCTCAGTGAGGTGCAGCTCAGAGATGAATGGGTTGCCTTGGTGCTGAAAACCACAAACCTGCCCCTCTTACATATGACAGCTCTCATATGTAGACGTACACTAGAAAGTGCAAAGAAGTTTAGTAAGTATGATGTGGTAAAGAGATCAAACGTGACAATGTCTGTACACATGGCCCAGTAGGTACATGTCTTCCTACCTAAAAACAAAAAATAATAAAATATAGCAAAATGCAGCAATTAACAGTCAAACAGTATAGCACTGGGGTCAAAGGCATGGAGTTACCTCTCCTGACAGCCAAGTTTTGAGATGTGCAATTAAATGGTAGTCTTGATTCACTCCTTGTGGATCTTTTTAAAGCTTCCCTTTGGAACCATAACAGAGTGGCAAATCAGAATATTCAGATACAGGATCTGGCCTCCAGTATTTAAGGCAGACTCATGCAACATTATCCCTTGAAGCATCAGTACCTAATTTGGGAGCTGCAGAGAACTAAGCTGTTCCCCAAGAAGCCTAAAGCAACAAGCCACATGGGAAACACCAAGCATTCTGTAAGTTCACATTTGGAAACAGAATTAAGAGTCAGATGCATAAAACTCATAAAGTAATATAACCAGAAATAAATACTTGAGCAGCCAAAGAAAAATTCTGAAAGGCTTTTAACCCCTCCTGAAGACTTCAAAATTAAATTCCTTTTCTAGACAAGACTAGTCTCCATACAATGTGATAAAAACTCACAGAACACCAAAAAGATAAAGAATAGCACCTAGAATATATTAGAACAGAGGAACAAAAACACTATCTTTCTTCCTTCCTTAAAGAAACCAGGTGTTCAAACACTGCCTTGTTCTCCTTTGAAGAAGAAAAGCTATAACCCAGACCTCAAAATAAGAAATGAAGAAGGAAACTGATAGCAGCCTTATGACTGTGAACACAAACCCATGCAGCTGACTTAATTACCAATGTACTCTCTTCCTCTAAAGGACTCTGTTGTTCATTCATTTCAAATGCAAGGAACTGCTTCAAATCATGATCAAAGCTACAAAACAATAAAACTAAGGATTCATATAGCACCATTTGCCTAAAGTGAAAACATATCACACAGGATTAATCCTGAAAACATGGCTGAGAAAAAATTACAAGAAAATCTAGTTAAAACTATTTCCTCATTTAATGGGATGTGGCTTTAACTGGGTTCCCAGAACATCATCTCTATCAGAGAATGAGGACCTACAAAAAGTGTGCCTCACAATTACATCAGTATCTTCAAATCCTCTATAACCTAAATTATTTACTCTTATTGCTCAAACTGTTTTTCTCTCTCTGTTGAGGTGCCAGACTGGCCCACTACATTGGCCCCAGACAACCACATACTTAACAAGTACTCCTACACTGTGAGGTTTAACCACTGGAAATGTAAACTGCTAATAATATCCTGTTGCTACTACTTTCTTACATGAGCATAGGTAAATCATAGTGTCTATTAATTAGCCAGACTCTAATCTATGGACGAGGTTAACAAAAGAGGCCAGGCCAAATCTATGAGACATAGCTAACAAACCAAATTATTAAAAATAGATTTGGCAAAGAATATAAAAGTGATATTTAATAACATATACAGTGTATAATGTATATACAATGGCAACCTGCTGAGCCACCTAATGAAGAGTATGGGAAGGGACTATCCTGATGAAAAAACAAAGAAGGGATAATTTTTGTCTCTCATAATGAGAAGAGAACTCTATCACTCTATCACAGAGGACTATGCTGTCAGTCCTTCCTGACATGTCATAGATATTTCTTAATGGCTTACAGAATTCTTACGTAAATTAAAGTGTAAAATAGGCTGCTGTAGGAAAAGGAAGTTGATAAGGGTGAGAGAGATCAGAAGGGAGAAGTATAGGTTATGACATCACTTCCTTATCTCAAATATTATATAAAAAGTTTATAAATACCTCAATTCACTCATATTTGGTTTGTTTTAGAAATCAAAAAAACATTTTCAAGATAACACAGGTTAAAAGAGTATTTTCTTATAAATAACCAGTAGAATAGTCTATACAGTCCCACAAAATCTTTTGGAGAGTTTTTCTTGCCTCTGATTTTAAATGTCAAGAAGGAAACCAACTCTAACAAAGTAAAATAACAAGTTGTACCTGGCAAGAAAAAAGAAAGGACTCTCTCTACCTCATCGTTCATTTACTTGATTATAAACTGATGACACTTTAAAAACCCACTCAAAGCAATGACTCCTGTGCCTATCAACTCTATGGAAATTAATGTTATATGCTCCAAGTCACCCAAACATAATTGATGATAAGATAATTAAACCAATTAGTAATATGCTACATGCTAACTCACAGTTGAAAATGTTCAGGGAGCAAAAAAAAAAAAACCAAACATTTTGTCTGGCAGCATATCAGGAAGCTACAAGTTTCATTTCATTTTTTTAAAAATTTGGTATCAGCAGTGTGGCCAACATTTAGGATTCTTCCTCAAATAACTGGAATAAAACATGTAATACATTCAAGAGCAAAGGGAAAATAAAAAACATTTTTGTGTTCAGGAGAAGAATTCCTTCATTCAATTAGAGTATGTTATTAAAAGGGGTAGTTATGAGTCTCTTCTGAAAGTTTCCAGACAGTTTATAAATACAAAAAGAACATTTCTTCAATAAATAAATGGTTCCTAAAGTCTTGACTGATGAATGTGAGAATCTCCCATCGCTACTCTCCAGGCCAGCTCCACTTCTCTGAGAGGCTTTAGCTGACAGTGGAATGGGATATTTTCGGTTATTAGGTGATTCTTCTCATATCATGCAGACTTTCATCAATATGTCTCTTCATAGTCTGAATCCTGGATAGGAAAGAACAGTAGTTGTGGTATGTATGTGAAGTATAATACAACAGCCAGAATTTAGCCAAAGGCCACATATCAGGATCTCACAAATAGAACCTAGTTTGGGGCAATATCAACAGTGAGGTGGCAATGACTCAGTACACCTAAATTCCCATGAAGCATCCCAGGGCCTCAATATAATTGGTGGCTATTGGGTGAATTTCTGCTTTGAAACCCTAAGCATTCCCTTTTCCTTGGTGAATATTTTTTAAAACCTGAACACTCATTAAAAGGTGCCTGTCTACTGCAGAATGTGTAGAATTGTAGCTTAGAGTTTAGGCTAGGAGTCAGTCTACCTCTGAGTTTTAATCCCTTGCTAGCTGTGTGACCCTGAGTAAAATTATTTAACTTCTCTAAGCCTCAGTTTCCTCATCTGTAAAATGAGGATAATAAAAATATTAATACAACATAGAGCAGCTATGAGAATTAAATGAGACAATGTATGTAAATCACTTAATACTGTGCCTGGTTCTTTGTAAGCAGTCATTCAAGATTAGCTACTCTCACCATTATTTTTATTATTCAAACTTGTACTCATTGCTTCAAGCCTCAAGTGGGCCATTACCACTGCCTGGCATACCACATTTCTCTAGTCCATTGATTCTCTTACACTCCTAGATGACTATTTCATACCTTTCCCACCTTCCCCACCTCCAAAATCTTCTCACTTCACTCTCAGCTGATGATCTTGCTTGCTCCCATGATGGAAATAGAAAAGCAGTCAATAGTGAACTTCCAAAAACTCCCATCATCATATTTACTTACTTATCTACATCTGGACCCATCTACTTGGCCTTCCTTCCTTACTCTTCTTTTGGATACACTCTCCCAGACCTTATGTAAGGCCAACATCTTCACTTTTGTACTAGATCCTAGAGTCACTCCAGCAATCCTCACCTCTCTCTTCTCCAGTATCTATTTTTTCTTCTCTACTGGCTCATCTACTATCACATACAAGTGTGCTATTACTTCTCCCATCTTAAATAGAAAAGCAATTCTTGACATACACTTCCCTCTGCCTATTGCCCTATTTCTATGCATCCCTCCACAGAAAAAAACTCCTTGTAAGAGTTGTTTATACCCACTGTCTCCAGCAAATATCTTTGTATTCTTTCTTAACTTTACCCTGGTTCAGCTTTCATTCCACTGAAGCTGCTTTGCCAAAGTCACCAGTAACCTCCACATTATCATATTATCCAATAATCAATGCTCATTTTACTCAACCTGACCCAGCAACAATTGGCATGCTCATTCTCTCTTCTCTTTTGCAAACACTTTCTTCACTTGGCTCCCAAGATACCAAACTCTCCTGGTTTTCCGCCTACCTTACTGGACATTCCTTTTTAGCCTCCTTTGCTAATTCCTCATCTCCCCAATCTATCAACCATGGAGAACTCCAGGACTCAGTCCTTTGACTCCTCTCTATCTATACTCATTTCCCTGGTAGAAATGGCTCTACCAGTCCTTATCTGCTAATGATGCCTAAATTTATATTGCCAGTCTAGACCTCTCTTCTGAACTCTACACCTATATAACCAATTGCCTACTCCAATCTCCACTTGGGTGTTTAACAAGTATTTCAAACTTGATATACACACTCAGCTCCTAATCTTCCTCCAAAAACCTGTTGTACCCACAGACTTGTTACATGTTAGAAAACAGCAACCCTATTCTAGCAACTAGTTGTTCCTCTCATTCTTTCACATTTACATGCAACCTACCAGTAAACCCTCTGGCTTTACCTTTAAACTATAAGAATATAACTACTTCTCACCACTTCTACTACCACCACCCTGACCCAAACCAACACTATCCCCTCTCACCTGCATTTTAAAAATATTTTATTTCTTTATTTTTAGACAATAGGGGAAGGGAAGGAGAAAGAGGGGGAGAGAAACATCAATGTGAGGTTGCCTCTCACACAGCCCCCACAGGGGACCTAGCTCACAGCCCAGGTATATGCTCTGACTGGGAATCAAACCACGACCCTTTGGTTGACAGCCTGCGCTCGATCCCCTGAGCTACACCAGCCAGGGCTGTCACCTGCATTTTTGGAGTCTCCTAATTGGGCTCTCTGATTCTGTCAAGGTCCCTTACCACCTATTCTCAATATAGAAGCCAGATGACCCTTTAAAAACATACATCAGTCCAGGAAGCACAGTCCCACACCAAGTCCCAAAGAGGCCCATCACCAAGACATATCATAATTAAAATACAAAAGGTTAAAGACCAAGAGAGAATCTTAAAAGCAGCAAGAGAAAGGAAGTTAGTTATCTATAAGCGAGCTCCCATGAGACTGTCAACTGATTTCTCAACAGAAACGTTGCAGGCCACAGTAACTGGCATGAAATATTCAACATGATGAAGGGCAAGGACCTACGTTCAAGATTACCCAGCAAAGCTGCCACTTAGAGTTGAAGAACATATTAAGAGCTTTCTACAGGAAAAAGCTAAAAGACTTCACCACCAAACCAGTATTATAAAAAATGTAAAGGGTCTTCTTCAAAAAGAAGAAAATAAGATCTAAAACATGAATAATGAAATGGCAATAAATACATATCTATCAACAACTGAATTTTAAAAACAGAGTAAATGAACAAGCAGAACAGAAACAGACTGATAGACAGAGAGAACATTTTGATGGTTTCCAGATGGGAGGAGGCTGGGGAGATGGATGAAAAAAGTGAGGGGATTAAGAAGTACAAATTAGACTTCCACCAAGATGGAGGCATAGGTGGATGTGCCGTGCCTTCTCACACAACCAAGTTTAGAGACAACTAAATATTAGCAACAGAAAACACAGCCAGAACACAGAAAATTGAACTTTTCAGAAGTCTGTTAACAACAAATTCTTCAGCCTGACCGGTAAGGGGCGAAACCAGCGGCTGGTGAAGCGGGATTGCACAGGAGGTCTTGGTCAGCCGGACTCAGGTGCGGAATCCAGACGCACAGAATCCAGGCGCAGGGTTGGACCTAGTGAGCGACCGAGCGAGCCACCAGGCGAGCGACCTCGGGGGAGACAGCAGGGGAGCGGTGCTGCGTGTTGACTGTGGTCGCGCATTTGTGCGCGGGCAGACAGGCGAGGGAGTGGGTGGTTGGACCCGGCCCAGTCCCCGTGGCAAGCGGCAGTAGAGGGCGCCGCCATTTCCCTGCTCTGACCCCACCTCCACATACAGCGTCATAACCCAGCGACTCTGAGTGGCCCAGCCCAGGTGAACCACCTAAGACGTTAATCCTCACCCAGCCCTCAGAAACAGCAGAGGGGGTCGCCATTTCCACGCTCTGACCACGCCCCCACATATAGCGTCACAACCCAGCAACTTGGGAGTCAAAGGCACCGCTTCTCACACTTAAAGGGCCAGAACAGACCAAAAATGTCACAAGATCTCAAAGCCCCAGAGCCTATAAATCTAAGCGATGAAGAAATAGCAAAACTCTCAGACCCACAGTTTAAAACACTGGTCATCAGGATCCTCACAGAACTGGTTGATTTTAGTCACAAATTAGACAAATATATGAAAGCGAAACTAATTGAAATGAATGGAATTGCACAGGACACCAATAGCAATGAAAAGGAAACTGGGACTCAAATCAATGGAGTGGACCAGAAGAAAGCAAATAATGGCCAAACAGAAAAGAGTCAAGAAGCAAGAATTCAAAGAAATGAGGAGAGGCTTAGGAACCTCCAGGACATCTTTAAACGCTCCAACATCCGAATTATAGGGGTACCAGAAGGGGGAAAGGCGCAGCCACCAGTGGAAAACTTATTTGAACAAATAATAAAGGAGAATTTCCCCAATCTGGCAAAGGAAATAGACTTCCAGAAAATCCAGGAAGCTCAGAGAGTCCCAAAGAAGTTGGACCCAAGAAGGAACACACCAAGGCACATCATAATTACATTAGCCAAAATTAAAATGAAGGAGAGAATCCTAGAAGCAGCAAGAGATAAGGGGACTGTCACCTACAAAGGAGTCCCCATCAGACTGTCAGCGGATTTCTCAAAAGAGACCTTACAGGCAAGAAGGGGCTGGAAAGAGGTATTCCAAGTCATGAAATCCAAAGACCTACAACCAAGATTGCTCTATCCAGCAAAACTTTCATTTAGAATGGAAGGACAGATAAGGTGCTTCTCAGATAAGATCAAATTCAAGGACTTCATCATCACCAAGCCCTTATTATATGAAATGTTAAAGGGACTTATCTAAGAAAAACAAGTTAAAGAAACATGAACAGTGAAAGGACAACAAACTCACAGTTATTAACAACCACACCTAAAACAAAAGCAAACTAAAAGGACAGCTAGATCAGGAGTGGAAACATAGAAATGAAGATCTCAAGGAGGGTTAGCAACAGGGGAGTGGGAGGAGGAGAAGGGGGGAGAAGGTACAGAAAATAAGTAGCATAGACAGTAGATAGAAAATAGATGGGGGGGGGGCAAGAATAGCATGGGAAATATAGAATCTAAAGGAATTGAGATACATGGTCATAAACTAAAGGGGGGGTAATGGTGGGGATGGGGGGTAGGGTGGAGGGGAATGAAGGGGGGAATAGAACAACTGTAACAGCATAATCAATAAAAAAATTAAAAAATAAAAAATTTAAAAAAAAAAGAAGTACAAATTAGTTGTTATAGAACAGTCATGGGGATGTAAAGTACAGCATAGGGAATGTAGTCAATAATATTGTACTAATTATGTATCATGTCAGATGGGTACTAGATTTATCAGGGGGATCACTTAGTAAGTTATATAAATGTCGAATCACTGGGGTATACACCAGAAAGTAATATAATATTGCATGTTGACTGTCATTGAACAACAAAAAATTATTTAAAGTAAAAAAAAAGTTCTTTGACAGCAGATATTTTTGTCCATTTTGTTCACTGCTATTTTCTAGCTACCTAGAGTCATATCTGGCACATGTCAAAAGCTCCATGAATAACTTATCAAAATATTCAAACTCTAAAGGGTTGGTATTAGATCCTCTCCACTGGCACTTTCCCTCATCTTACCTATTACACTCAAGTACCAGAAAAAGAGGAATAAAGAACACTGCAATAAGTAATTAGGCTGTGGTCATCTGGCTAAGTGCTAAGCTTGGCAATAGTAAGTACAAAAAGGGCTCAGGTTTAAACCATAAAATGACATGTATGCTTCATATTAGATCATATGTTACTTTTTAACTGTTTTCAACTAGACCACATAAGAGAGAGTCTTTCTTTTTCCTAGGTTCCTGGGATAGCCACACAAACCTATCAGTCACAGAAAGTGCTTGAAAGGAGAGAAATGGCAGCCTTTTGAAATTCAAATAAAAATTCAGGCCTTCCTACCTGAGTATTTCTTATTGACAAAGCCATCAAGCCACCTAAAAGGTTATATCACTATAATTCCATGGGGGGGAAAATAACTGAGGCTCTGCAGAAAAGTTCAATTCAGGGCTCTGGGTCCAGCCAGTCGAAGTCTCCTAGCATGACTTCAGTGGCAGAGGACATTCCACTTTCAGTATGTTCTCTGTCAATCAGCAGAGAAAGCTCTACACTTTCCCCTTCTCTAATCCAAAGACACCCCTCTTTGCCCATGAGAGAGAAAACAAAATAACAATTAGAGTTTGGGGGTAGGGGCCTCCCTGAAACCAAAATGCTTTGGAGGAAGACCTTGACTGATATGCTTTGGGCCTACTGGCATACCCTCTGCTTCCTCTAAGGGCAAAGGAAAAGAAGTAAGCAAAAGAGTGAAACATGAACAGGGGACTGAAGAAATGGCATGAGCTTACCAAGCACTCAGCACAACGGACACAAAGCCTTGACATGCAGTCACCTTCCTCCTCTTGGTCAGTGCTGTAAAAAGGACAAACCAAATCAGAACAATCACTAGGTCAGTGTATTACAGCAATTAAGAGCACAGGCATTAAAGTCAGACAGGTCTGGTTTTAAATTCCAGTTCTGCCACTTATTATCAGGGTAACTGGGCAAATTACTTAAGTTCCAGGAGCCTGCTTCCCCTATAAAATGTACATATTACCATCCACGGTTAGGAGTAAAGAAAAATAAACACATGCAAAACACATACCACACTGCCTGGCACATAGCAAGTGCTCAATAAATAGGACCTAGTCTCAGTCATTCATTTAGAAATATACTGAGCACCACACATGTCTGAGGCACTGCGCTAGGCTGGGGATAAAAAGTTCATAGTCTATTGGGGGTGAGAGACCTATTGAAACTTAACAAGTACATTATTATATAATACAATAAGATAAATGTTTTAATGAAGTTAAGGTCAAACTTCTCTGGCAGCAAAGAGGAGGGAGTGACTAGTTCTCCTTGCAGGACCCAGGAAAACTCAAAAGAAAGGGACATTTCAGCTGGGTCTTACATGATAAGGAACAGCATACCAGCAAGGCAAAAAGGGGAAAGAAGGAGGGGATTCTAGGTGAGAGAGAAGCGTTCCAGGTGGAGAGGGGATGGAGTATGACCTGAATGAGTATAGTATGTAGAGAAGAAAATAAGCTCCCTGTAGCTGCAATATGGATCAAATGAGAAGAAATGGTAGGAAACAACATGACTTGTTGGAATTTCCTATCAATTTTGAAGGAATGAGATATACACATCAGATTTTATATTCAGAACCAAAGAATCATAAAGTCTGATTTCCAAAGTAGGACCATTCTATTAACCCTTCCATCTCTCTTCAAATTAATATCCACAGGTTTCACTTTCAGCCTTCCTTGTAGTACTGCTCAGCAGAACTCTTCTCTTCAGAAGGAAGTTTCAGCCCTGGTCAGTGTAGCTCACTTGGTTGAGCATCATCTGGTAACCAAAAGGTTGCAGGTTCAATTCCCAGCCAGGGCACATACCTAGGTTGTGGGTTTGATCTGTCCTGGCACATATGATTCTTAGTCTGGGCAAGTGCAATCCCCAGTCATGGCATATACAGGAGGCAACCAATCAATGCATCTCTCTCACATCCATGTTTCTCTCTCTCCCTTCCTTCGCTCCCTCCCTCTGTCCCTTCCTTTGTCCCTTCCTTTCTCTCTGAAAGCAATGTAAGAAATGTCCTCAGGTAAGGATTAAAAAAATTTTTTTTAATAAAAAGGAGCCCTGGCTGGTGTGGTTCAGTAGATTGAGTATAAGCCTGTAAACCAAAGAGTCACCAGTTCAATTCCCAGTCAGGGCACATGCCTAGGTTTTGAGCCAGGTCCCCAGTTGGGGGCATGTAAGAGGCAACCACACATTGATGTTTCTCTCCCTCTCTTTCTCCCCTCCTTCCATCTCTCTAAAAGTAAATAAATAAAATACTAAAAACAAAAACAAAAAGGAAATTTCAACAGGAGAACTAGTCTCAGCCTGGAAGAAAGGAAGGCATGGGTGCAGTGGCCTTGGTATTGTACCATCCACAAAGCAGGGATCTGAAGGGGAATTGGATTTACTGGACTTACTCATCTGAAACCTCAATAGATGACTTCTTAAAGCCTGATTTGTTCCTTTTCTTCAGTCTTGCAGACTTTCTCCCCATTCGCACCAGCAGCAGAACAACCACCACAGTTGAGGGAATGAAGACAAGAATGGAAAGAAGTGCCACAGAGGAGAGCATGGTGCCAAAACCTAGAAAAGGAAAAGAGAAGGTAAAAGAGAGGGACATGCAGAAATGTTTTCTTGGATATGAGATAGGTTTTACTTTCACCCTTGCATTTCCTCTCATTACAAAAGGTATAAATCGCCTCTTCAGCAAATGGTGTTGGGAGAACTGGACAGCTATGTGCAAAAAAATGAAACTTGAGGACCAACTTACACCATACACCAAAATAAATTCAAGGTGGATAAAACACTTAAATATAAGCCGTGACACCATTAAAGTCCTAGAGGAGAACATTGGCAAGAAAATCTCAGATATTCCACACAGCAACATTTTTACAGATATGTCCCCTAGAGCAAGGAATATAAAGGAAAGAATAAACAAATGGGATTTCATCAAAATAAAAAGCTTCTGCAGGGCTAAAGAAAACAGTATTAAATTAAAAAGACAACCAACTGTATGGGAAAACATATTTGCCAATGATACCTCAGACAAAGGTTTAATCTCCAAAATATACAAAGAACTTCTATGACTCCACTCTAGGAAGACACTGAACCCAATTAAAAAATGGGAAAAGGACTTGAATAGACATTTCTCTAAAGAGGACATACAGAATATCCAGAGACACATGAAGAGATGCTTAATATCATTAGCTATCAGAGAGATGCAAATTAAAACCACAATGGGATACCACTTTACACCAGTCAGGATGGCTATAATAAACAAAGCAACAAACAACAAATGTTGGAGAGGTTGTGGGGAAAAGGGGACCTTAGTTCACTGTTGGTGGGATTGCAGACTGGTACAACCATTATGGAAAACAGTATGGAATTTTCTCAGAAAAATAAAAATCGACCTGCCTTTTGACCCAGCAATTCCACTGCTAGGATTATACCCCAAGAATCCTAAAACATCAATTTCAAAGAACCTATGCACCACAATGTTCATAGCAGCACAATTTACAATAGCCAAGAGTTGGAAGCAACCTAGGTGCCCATCAGTAAACGAATGGATCAAAAAATTGTGGTACATATACACAATGGAATTCTATGCTGCAGAGAGAAAGAAGGAGCTACTACCCTTTGCAACAACATGGATGGAACTGGAAAGCATTATGCTGAGTGAAATAGGTCAGGCATTGAAAGACAAATACCATATGATCTCACCTTTGACAGGAAGCTAAAGAATAAAACAAACAAGCAAACAGAATAAAAACAAAGACACTGAAATAGAGAACAAGTGGGCAGCGACCAGAGGAGAGAGGGAAGGGAATTTAAGGGGAAAAAGGGGGAGGGATTTTGAGAAACAAGCATGAAAGACACAGGGATGAGGACTGGGGGAGGGGAAATTGGAGGGAGGGGGGAGACAGGGCAGGGGGGGATGGGAGAAAAAGATAAAAAAATGTACTTGAAAAGTAACTAAATAAAATATATTATAAAAAAAAAGGTATAAATCGGATGTAGAAAATATAGAAAAAACTAATAAAAATTTACCCATAATCCTACTACCTAGGACTGACACATTACTATCTACCTATTCAATTGTCTTTCTAAGAATATGTGAATATGGGTCTCTATATAGGGAGGACAGTATATATTTTAAAACTATGAATCATATTTTATATATTATTCCTAACCTCCTGTTTTACTTAATATATAATAAGTATTTTCCATGTCATCAAAAGTTCCTTCCAGAGGTGATTTTTTAAAAGTCTGCATAGTATTCTACCATATTGAGTAATTTAATGACTCAGTCCCCTAATGCTGAACATTCAAATTACTTCCAATTCTTTAAATTTATGAGTTATATTATGATGATCATCCTTGTGCATAAGTCTTAATGCTTAGCTCTCTTTCTTTAAGATAAAGTTTTTAAGTAGAATTCTAAATTAAAGGGTATATATTTTTAAGGTATCTATTCATATGACCAAGGGTCTTTCAGAAAAAAACTGTATTAGTTCCTACTCCCCCCACCAGTATGAATGTGTTCATGTTTTTGAAACTTATAGGTTATTATCTTTAAAAAAACCATAATGTATCCCTAAGTTTTTGGTTCAAATCCAACTAAGCACTAGAATGTTCAAAAGTCACCAGGGAATAATGTAGAAAATAAAAATTAGTCCTTAACCCACTCTCCTGCAACTTCATACTAAAAGGAAAGTGCTGGTCTTTGCAAAATCAAGGAAATGTGCTGCCTCTATCACTGGAGTGGTAGGTACCCTTTCAAGACACAGGCAAGAACACTATCTCATAACTAAGGCATGAACATACTAGGGAAACCAGAATGTCTCCTTTATGGCAGAGACAACAACCCTCATTTATTACAGGATTTGTCACACATCCCACACACCTCCGGTCACATGAAGTCTTAACAAAAAAGATGGTGGGGGAGATGAAGGAATTATGACAGTATTTGAAGAAAAACTTCAGCTTGCAAAATGAAGATTAAAAATTTCATCCCAATAGAGGGACTTCTGGTTAAAATGGAAGCATAGGTAGATATGCTTTACTTCCTCACATAACCTAAAGAAGGATAACAACCAATTTAAAAACAAAAACAACCAGAACTTCCAGAAAATCAAAATGTATGGAAGTCCAACAACCAAGGAGGTAAAGAAGAAACATTCATCCAGAATGGCAGGAGGGGCAGAGATGGGCAATTGATGCAGACAGGAAATGCGGCAAGGCGGTGGCTGGCAAACTGGAGGTCCCACATTCGCATGTGGATAAACCAGGAGAAACAAGTGGGGAGCAAGTGGGGAACACACTGCGCAACACAGGGACCCAGTGTAGGAAACTAAAGCTTCAAGACCACTGGCTGTAAAAACCTATGGGGGTAAAGGTGGGAGAAACTCCTAGTCTCACAGGAGTCCAATGGAGAGGCCCATACAGTCCGAGAATGTACACAGGCTAAGTCACCCAGGAATCAGCACCAGAAGGGCCTAATTCACTTGCACATAGTAGGGGAAATGACTGAAAGCAGGGCAAGAGCTAAGCAAATGTCATTGTTCCCTCTCTGAACCCTCCCCCACATACGGTGTCACAATGTAGCAAAGTAGGTAGACCTGCCTTACCTAAGGCTCCACCCCTTATAATGTAACAGGTATGCCAAGACAAGGAAATAGGGTCCAAATGAAAGAATAGATCAAAACTCCAGAAAAGGAACTAAGCGATGAAGAGACTGCCAACCTATCCGAAGCAGAGTTCAAAACACTGGTAATCAGGATGCTTGCAGAATTGGTTGAGTAAGAACACAAAATAAAGGAAGAAGTGAAGGTTATGCAAAGTGAAATACAGAGAAATATACAGGGAACCAACAGTGCCCTGTATCATTCAAATCAATGACTTGGAGCAGAAGAAATAAACATCCCACTGAAACAGAATGAAGAAACAAGAATTCAAAAAAATAAGGAGAAGCTTAGGAACCTTTGGGACAACTTTAAACATTCCAACATCCAAATCATAGGGATGCCAGATGGAGAAGAGGAAGAGCAATAAATTAAAAACTATTTGAGAGAAATAATGAGCCCCTGGCTGGTGTAGCTCAGTGGATTGAGTGCCAGCCTATGAAGGGTCACTGGTTCAACTCCCACTTAGGACACATGCCTGGGTTGCAGGCTGGGTCCCCAGTTGGGGGTGTACAAGAGCAACCACACATTGATGTTTGTCTCCCTTTCTCTCTCCCTTCCCCTCTCTCTAAAAATAAATAAATATTTTTTAAAAAATACTTAAAAAAATAATGAAAGAAAACTTCCCCAATCTAATGAAGTAGATAGTCATGCAAGTTCAGGAAGCTTAGAGACTTCCAAACAAGTTGGACCCAAGGAGGAACACACCAAGGCACATCATAGTTACATCACCCAAGATGAAAGATGAGATGATCTTAAAAGCAGCAAGAGAAAAGGAGAGATGGACCTACAGGGAGATCCCATAAGACTGTCAGCTATTTCTCAAAAGAAACCTTGCAGACAAGAAGGGGCTAGAAAGAAGTATTCAAAGTCATGAAAAGCAAGAACCTATATCCAAGATGATTCTACCTAGAAAAACTATCATTCAGAATGGAAGGGCAGATAAAGTGCTTCCCAGATAAGGTCAAGTTAAAGCAGTTCATTATCACCAAGCCCTTAGTATATGAAATGTTAAAGGAATTTATCTAAAAAAAGAAAAGAAGATCAAAACTATGAAAAATAAAATGACAATAAACTCACAACTATCAACAACTGAACCTAAAAAAAAAACTAGAACAGAAATGGAGAGTTATCTAAGTGGAAGGAGAAGGGGAGAATGGGGGTAAAGGTACAGAGAATAAGAAGCATAATTGATAGGTAGAAAATAGACAGAAGGAGGTTAAGAATAATATGGGAAATGGAGAAGCCATGTAAGACCTATGGACTAAGGACGGTGGAAGACTGGTGGAGGGGGATAAAGGGGAGAAAAAATGGGACAACTGTAATAGTATAATCAATAAAATATACTTTAAAAAATCATCCTAGGACTTCCGCCAAGATGGAGGCATAGGTGGAGACACCGTGCTTTCTCACACAACCAAGTTTAGAGACAACAAAATATTAGCAACAGAAAACAGCCAGAACACAGAAAATTGAACTTTTCGGAAGTCCGATAACAACGAATTCTTCAGCCTGACCAGTAAGAGGGGTTAAACCAGCAGCTGGCGGAGCGGGGTTGCACAGGAAAACTCGGTCAGTCAGACTCAGGCGCGCGGATCCCAGGCGTGGAGTTGCAAAGGGCCGACCCAGTAAGTGACCTAGTGAGCGCAACACAGTGAGCGACCGGCAGATCCGGCGAGGGTGAAGGGCGGCGGGTTCACTGTGCTGGCGCATTCCTGTGCAGATAGACCAGCGAGGGAGAGGGCAGTGATACAGACCGAGCGGGTCCCAGCGATGGGAGGCAGCAGAGACGGCCGCCATTTCCTGGCTCTGACCCCACCCCCACATACAGCGTCACAATCCACCAACCTGAGCAACCCTACCCTGGTGAACACCTAAGGCTTCGCTCCTCACCCAGCAGTGGGAAGCAGGAGAGGGGGACGCCATTTCCCCACTCTGACCCCGCCACCACATGCAGCATCACAACCCAGCAACCCCGCCCCTAAGGCTCAACTCTTCATACTTAATGGGCACGAACAGACCAAAAATGGCTCATAAAGATCTCAAAGCCCCAGAGCCCATAAATCTAAGTGATGAAGAAATAGCCAAACTTTCAGATGCACAGTTCAAAACACTGGTGATCAGGATCCTCACAGAACTGGTTGATTTTAGTCACAAATTAGAGGAACAAATGAAGGCTAAACTAAGTGAAATGAAGGGAAATGCACAGGAAACCAATAGTAATGGAAAGGAAACTGGGACTCAAGTCAAAGGAGTGGACCAGAAGGAGGATAAAAATGACCAACCAGAAAAGAATGAAGAAACAAGAATTCAGAAAAATGAGGAGAGACTTAGGAACCTCCAGGACATCTTTAAACGCTCCAACATCCGAATTATAGGGGTACCAGAAGGGGAAGAGGAACAGCCATGAGTGGAAAACTTGTTTGAACAAATAATAAAGGAGAACTTACCCAATCTGGAAAAGGAAATAGACTTTCAGGAAATCTAGGAAGCTCAGAGAGTCCCAAAGAAGTTGGACCCAAGAAGAAACACACCAAGGCACATCATAATTATATTAGCCAAGATTAAAATGAAGGAGAGAATCCTAGAAGCAGCAAGAGCTAAGGGGACAGTCACCTACAAAGGAATTCCCATCAGATTGTCAGCTGATTTCTCAAAAGAGACCTTACAGGCAAGAAGGGGCTGGAAAGAGGTATTCCAAGTCATGAAATCCAAAGACCTACATCCAAGATTGCTCTATCCGGCAAAACTTTCATTTAGAATGGAAAGGTCAATAAAGTGCTTCTCAGATAAGATCAAATTCAAGGAGTTCATCATCACCAAGTCCTTATTATATGAAATGTTAAAGGGACTTATCTAAGAAAAAGAAGATAAAAAAGATGAACAGTGAAAGGACAGCAAACGTAGTTATTAACAACCACATCTAAAACAAAAGCAAGCTAAAAGGACAGCTAGATCAGGAGCAGAACCATAGAAATGAAGATCTCATGGAGGGTTAGCAACAGGGGAGTGGGAGGAGAAGGTACAGAAAATAAGTAGCATAGACGGTAGGTAGAAAATAGATAGGGGGAGGCAAGAATAGTATGGGAAATATAGAATCCAAAGAACTTGAGACACATGGTCATAAACTAAAGGGGGGGAATTGTAGGGGTGGGGGGGTGCAGGATGGAGGAAATGAAGGGGGGAATAGAACAACTATAATGGCATAATCAATAAAATAAAAATTAAAAAACAATCATCCTAATAGACAATTCAGGATGGCAGAATGCTCCAAAGACCGACTGCATTACAAAGATAGGTAGCTTTGCTTGTCTTTGGTTTGCCCAAAGAGCACCACAGTAGTCACTAGGTATACTGCAGAAGAAGATTAGCGACAGTTAGCTTACCCCTTTCTGTGACTATTAGCTCTGTCATGGGAATGTTATGGTGCACATCTGGGGGATTCTTCACAGCACAGCTGAATGTCCCATTGTCCTTCATGGTAGGGTTGTTTATGCTTATGGATGCATCCCCTTTGTATACATCTCCAATCCAGGAAATTCGATCTCGAAATGTGCCTGCTGTGGTTGGGTACTGGAAGGACTGATAATGAAAAATCTAAGAAAGCAACACCATGAGAAAAAAAAGTTAATTTGGAAAATGCAATAAAGATATAAAGCTTGGTAAGTCTAAAATAAAATAAAAATGTATAATGAGTTTTCTCAGTTGGGCATTTTTTTATGCTTTGTTCACCTCCATCCTGTAGGTTAAAACACGGGTTAATGAAACATCAGAAAAAGGCCTGTTGAAAGAATCTTGGTATCCTAACTCTCAAACCTCTTCTAAATTCTCCCTACAGTCTTAAAGCAGTAGTTCTCAGCCAGGGGCAATTTTGCCCTCCAGGGAACATTTGGCAATATCCACTGATAGTTTTTGTTGTCACAGTTGAGGGGAATACTATTGGCACCTAGTGGATACAATACAGGAATATTACTAAAAACCCCAAAATGCATAGAATAGCTCCCACAACAAAGAATTATCCAGCTTAAAATGTCAACAGTGACAAAATTAGAAACCCTATTCCAAAGCAGCATCTATTATAATACTGTATGGTTTGCAAATGACTTCTATGCATTTGCTATTTGAGCCTTATAACAACTATACACAGGGCAAGTATAATTATTTCATATTTATAGAAAGAGGTACAATGCCAAAAAAAAAAAAAAAAAGAAAGAAAACAACTGAGTTACTAAAGGTACAGAGCTAATAAATGGGAAAGGGGAGATTTTTGTATTTTCTCAAAATCACCAGGAAGGTATAATATAATCAAGTCTCTCTCAAGCTATCTATCTTGACAATTAATAAAAATCCCAAGTCAGAAGCATGATCAGTATTCAGTGAATGTACTCTGAATTAAAACACTGCTTCAGGTAAGTGATCAAACACTTTATCACCAAAAGCACTTACTGGGATTTTATCTGGTTGCAGGCCCAGCAGGCACAACGCAATATGATCAATCTCTCTCTCTCTAATGCAAGAGTCAAGGCTTTCCTCTTTATTTGTTTACTTGCTACCTCCCCATTTAGGAACAATTGCCCAATTTTAAAGAGCAACTTCCCAAAGAAGATGCTGAATCACTTCCTATTGGTTCATTTGTTCATGTATTCATTCAACAAATATTTACTACACACCTATTATATGCTAGGCACTGTGTTAAGCAAAAGGATATAGTGAGAGCCAAATGAGCACATTCCCTGCTCTCATGGAATTTATAGTCTAGTGGGAAATACAGATGTTAAGAAATAATATGTGCAATATGTGTTCCAAAAAGGGAGGTAAAGAAGGCCTACTGCTGATTATTAGCATCAACATGACAGGGTTTGAAATTCCTTAATGACAAAACAAGGCTGGCTGTGTATCTTGAGATGAATCTAACTTTTAACTCCAAGTTAGTAATACTCAAATCCTTGCTGACTGATTACTCTGATAGAACCCTGACTAACCACATAACTGCAACATCATGTTACAGAACATTAAAGGGCCACTAATTCCAACTTGGGTGAGCCGACTTTCTGACCAGCCTACCAGAGACTAGCACCATATGAGAACAGCCTACTGTTTGCATTTAAGGCTTCTGACCCAAGAAAACCCCCATTGCTTTTTCTGTCCTATATATTTTTTTAAAGATTTTATTTTTAGAGAGAAGGGAAGGGAGGAAAAAAGAGAGGGAGAGGAACATTGATGTGAGAAAGAAACATCAGTAGGTTGCCTCTCACATGCCCCCAACCAGGACCTGACCTGCAACCTAGCCATGTCTCTGGTTGGGAATCGAACCAGCAACCTTTCAGTTTGTGGTACAATGCCCAACCCACGGAGCCACACCAGTCAGGGCTCCAACTCTGGCCAAGGAGACAGAACTAAATGAGGCCAGTCATAGCTCCCGATCACTCAAAATAAAGCAAACTATTTTAAGTCTAAAAAAAGAGGACCATGCACACAGCCTAGCTTCCTTCACTGGAGTCACCTACCTAACCCCAAGCTACATGACATTCAATAAGACTCCTAAAAAAATTCAAAGCTATACATTAAAATTAAGCCAAAAGTTTTTTCAATGAAGTAAACAGGAAAAACAAATTAAAGATACTTTCAAAAATCCAATTTCATATTCAGCTTTGACATCCACATTCTTGAGAGTATCTACCCCAAACTAGGGTAATGCTGAAAGCATCAAGAGAAAGGGTCTTTTTTTTTAATAGCACTGTAATCTTCAATCAGACATCCACAAAGGGATCTGAATCATAAATTGTTTTATATGTGTGACTGAAGTGTATCACTTCTAATAGTGCAAGACCATCTGTCACCAACAGCATCTGTCATCAACATCGGGTGCCACTATTTCCTTCCGAGAGTACTACAAAAATCAATGCAGACATTTACACAATGGGAAAAGAATGCAAGATAAATCTACAGAGTATAGATACTAAGGCAGACACACCGCTGAGCCAACTTCATATGACAGTAAATGAGCAACTTTGAAAGAAAGGATGACTAGAACTGGGACCTATAGGATTTTTCTATTCAACAGTCCTGGAGGTACCATTTCTTAGTACATGGAATCTGAAAATGATATTATGAAGCCAGGAAAAAAGAAACAACAAAGGGGAAACAAAATGAAACTACATTTCCTCTGAATTTCTGACAATTTTTTTCCAATAGCTTACTCGCAAAACTCTTACAGAAAAGAATAAAAAGCTATATGTGACCACACGGGTGTCATGTAGGGCAGCAGCTCATCTCCTACTGAAATAAAAGCTCATCTTCTAATCTAAGATAAGAAGGCCTAAAGAGTGCCTGGGACTTGGAATAAAAAGATTCCTAAGCTCTTGACCAGAGAAGACTCAAAGAAAATTTTTGAAGTATACACTTACTGATTCTGTGCGACTGCTGCTGGGAGGTCGGTATGTCCAATCTATGGTGAGTTTGTCAGTGACAGATGAAGTTGACTTGAAAATGCATTTCAACTTGACCTTTTCTCCAACATAACCCCGAACACGGGCATCCACTTTTATCTCCAAGGAAAGGGCAGTGTGAACACCTAATCAAAGAAAGCTCAAATGTTTAAAGTGTTTTTATTTGGGTAGTAGAAATATACATGACTAAAGAACATAAAGATACTATTTATCATTTTTAGGGCTCTCACAGAAACCATAGTGATAAATATCTTCTCATGCAAGTCCAAAAGTATAAGGAGTGGATATCTGCATTAATCAAGGACAGTATTTTTGTCATTTTACAATATTAAATCATAGAATGGATTCTTGGGTAAAATTTAAAAGTGGTTCCACCAGCATTTTTCCAAATACAGACTTTTGGTTAAATTACATTCACACAAGTGGGTCAGCCCACAGCAGGCTAAAAGAAAACATCACCCACTCCCCTAACACACACATTCATTCATTCATTCTCTCTCTCCCCCCCCCCCAGGATGTTAGCTATTGTGGTCTAAAGGACTTACCCCAACTACAGCATGGCTGTAACCTGAAGCTACTCTGACTTCAACCACCAGCCAAATGAGAATAGAAAGTAAGAACAGAATTTTTTTCCTAAGAATTTTGTCAAACTGCCGTAAGGTTCTATCTAGTTGTGTTTTTATTTTTCCTTTCTTTCTTTTCTGTTTAATATATTTTATTAATTATGCCATTACAGTTGTCCCACTTCCCCATTTCATTCCCCTCTACCCTGCATACCCCTCCTCCACTATTCCCCCTTTAGTTTATGTCCATGTGTCTCAAGTTCTTTAGATTCAATATTTCCCCCACTAGTCTTGCCCTCCCCCCTATTTTCTACCTACCATTCATGCTCCTTATTCTCTGCACCTTCTCCCCCCTTCTCCTTCTCCCACTCCCCTGTTGCTAACCCTCCATGTGATATTCATTTCTATGGTTCTGCTCCTGATCTAGCTGTCCTCTTAGATTGCTTTTGTTTTAGGTGTGATTGTTAATAACTGTGAGTTTGCTGTCCTTTCACTGTTCATCTTTTTTATCTTCTTTTTCTTAGGTAAGTCCCTTTAACATTTCATATAATAAGGGCTTGGTGATGATGAACTCCTTGAATTTGACCTTATCTGAGAAGCATTTTATCTGCCCTTCCATTCTAAATGAAAGCTTTGCCAGATAGAGCAATCTTGGGTGTAGGTCTTTGGATTTCATGACTTGGAATACTTCTTTCCAGCCCCTTCTTGCCTATAAGGTCTCTTTTGAGAAATCAGCTGACAGTCTGATGGGAAGTCCTTTGCAGGTGACTGTCCCCTTAGCTCTTGCTGCTTCTAGGATTCTCTCCATTTTAATCTTGGCTAATATAATTATGATGTGCCTTGGTGTGTTTCTTCTTTGGAACTCTCTGAGCTTCCTGGACTTCCTGGAAGTCTATTTCCTTTGCCAGATTAAGGAAGCTCTCCTTCATTATTTGTTCAAATAAGTTTTCCACTTGTCGATCTTCCTCTTCTCCTTCTGGTACCCCTATAATTCGGATGTTGAAGCATTTAAAGATGTCCTGGAGGTTCCTAAGCCTCTCCTCATTTTTCTGAATTCTTGTTTCTTCATTCTTTTCTGTTTGGTCATTTTTTTCTTCCTTCTGGTCCACTCCCTTGATTTGAGTCCCAGTTTTCTTTCCATCACTATTGGTTTCCTGTACATTTCCCTTCATTTCACTTAGTTTAGCCTTCATTTGTTCCTCTAATTTGTGACTAAAATCAACCAGTTCTGTGAGCATCCTGATCACCAGTGTTTTGAACTGTGTATCTGTTAGGATGGCTATTTCTTGGTCACTTAGATTTACTGGCTCTGGGGCTTTGAGATGTTTTGAGCCATAATGTTTTGGTCTGTTGGTGCCTGTTAGGTATGAGGAGCAGAACCTTAGGTGTTCACCAGGGTGGGGCAACCCAGGTTGCTGGGTTGTGATGCTGTATGTGGGGGTGGGGTGAGAGGGGTAATAGTGGTCCCCTCTGCTGCTTTCTGCAAGCCACTGGGGCCTGTGCAGTCTCTCTCACTGCTTGCTCCTTTGCTGGTTTATCTGCATGCAGATGTGTGACTGCGGTCAGCCAGCCGCCCTGCTCCCTCACTAGGTTCGCCCATTGCCACCCCACTGCTGGGATCTGCCAACTGCTACTTGCGCACCTGGGTCGGTCTGGCCGATTTTTGCAGCGTGATCCCGCTCCACCAGCCACTGGCTCTGCCCCCTTACCGGTCTGGCTGAACGGTTTGTTGTTGTCGGACTTCTGTACAGTTCAATTTTCTGTGTTTTGGTTGCATTTTTGTTACTAAAACTTTGTTGTCTTTAAACCTGGTTATGTGAGGAAGCACAATGTTTCCACCTACGCTTCCATCTTGGTCAGAAGGCCCCTGGTTTTTCCTTTCTTAAAGCTGGTTAGTGAATCATATATCCATTAAAAGTAAATCATGGGGAGGAAAAGAGAACAACTTAATCCATTTTAAATGTGAAAGTGAGATATGAATTTTTAAATCTCCAGAAACTTACTCTTTCCAACTTTGACACTCTACTACCCCAAGAGTTGACATATAATCAACTTTGACACTCTACTACCCCAAAAGAGTTGGCATCTCCCTCTGACCAATCCCCTCTGTTTTCAGAGAACAGTGAGCAGACATTTCTCTCCCATAGAGAGCCTTTTTTTTACGGAAGTAAGCCACTGGCCACTTTGTTTTTCCTGCTTCCTTCTCTATGGCAATAAGCCATGATTGTTTCTGCGGGCCAAAGGCAAACAGAACAGCAAACTCACACACTGTCCTAAGCACCAGAAGTTCCTTTGGTAGAGGCAGAATGCATATCCCAGCCCTATCACTTGCTGGCTCTGTGATCTTAGTAAGTTACTTTACTTCTTCAGTTTCTCTCTCTGGTGGGAATGATAATAATAGCACTTATCTTAGAAGTTCACTGTGAGGAATAAATGAGTTAAAATGTTTACAAGACTGAGAAGCCAAACTAACCCACAGAGAAGGTTCAATGCATGTTAGCTTCATCATCGTTATTGCCACATCTTCAGTTCTGCCTACATTCTTTCAACCTTTCCTAATACAGATACAGTTATGAGTCATCTATTCCACCGCCTTTATTTCTGCTGCTTTTAATCATTTTTCTTGCTCCCCTCCAGACAATCTAGTCTGTTCACATTCTTCTTAAAGGAGGAGACCAAGACTGCCCTCACAACTCTAATAAGAATCTGACCCATCCCAAAGATAATTACTTCTGACTCATTCATAGCATCCTCTCTGACTCTGACAGAATAAATTTGTCATTCCTTTATGCCTTCGTGAATGCTGTACCTTTCCCTGAAAAGCCTTCAAATCTCAGTCCCTACTCTCTCCTGAACTACCTTACTTATCACCCAAGATCCAGTTCTGAAAAATGGAAGGTGAACATGAATGGGTAAACTACTTTCTCCCCATAACCTTTATTCTAAAAAATAAGCATAGCAGAGAGATTTTAAAGTATGGGTTTAGAATTAGACAGACCTGGACTTCAATTTCTAGCTCAGCTACTTTATAGCTGTTACACTCTGATCACAATTACTTAATCTGTTCAAACTTCTATTTCCTCACTTGGTAAATGGGAATTATAACAAGACCTACTTCACTGGATCACTGTGAGGATCTAATAGATTAAATAACCACAAAATGCTTAGCATAGCACCTGGAATAGAAACTTTCAATAAATGTTAGCTATTATTATTAAAGTAAATAACACAAACATTCAAAAACTTTCAATAATTCTCTATTGGGCTATAGAATAAAATACAAATAGTGACAGTCTGCCTCAAACACTTGCTTCTCCACCCACCTACCAATCCCATTCCCTTCACCATTTCCTGAATGTCCTGCCATTTCCTAAATTTACTATGTCCTTTTACATTACTGTGCCTTTCTTTGAATGTGTCTTCGTCTGGAAGGATCTCCCCACCTCTACCAGTCCTGTCTGGGTTGTTTCCCCCACACACCATCCCCCAATGCTCACATACTTTCAAAACCCAGCTCAAATATCAGCCCCCTTGTGATGTATGCCCAAATACCCTGATGTGGTTCATTGTTCTTTCTTCAATGTTCTCATAGCCTTTAGAATATAATGATACTCAAGTACTTATGTCACCGATTATATTCACTTTCAAAAGATGATTTCCTCCATTAACATACCACTTTGAGGGCAGTTCAGATGGAAGGAAGCAGGCAGAGAAGGGCTGAGAGAGAGAAGTGGACAGGTCACCAAAAAGTGTAGGAATAAAGCATGCTCACTGGTCACCCACTGTCTTCCTATCCCCCTTTTACCATATTTTCAACATTCTTAAGTTCTCTACAGTCCTAGATGACCATGCCTACCTAGACTGTGACTGTTGTACACTGAAAGAGAAAAGTCACACAACTGCACAGATAGTTACCATAACAAATTTGTGAATTCCACCCACAGCTGAGCCTTTAATGACACTGATGGCCTTCCAACCAGGCTTGGTCAGCTCCTCTGATTCCTCAAACTCTCCCATTCTCTTTTATCCTCTGTGTACCTACAAATCCCTTATTCTCAGAAAATTTCTCCTCTTACTTCTTCAAGAAACTTGAGGCCATACAAACTGCCCAGCCACACACCTTCCTGTATCTGCATTCATCCTAACTTCCAACCTCAAAGAGTGTGGTGTCCCTTTTTCTATGCAAGGTCAATTCCTCTGCTCTAGGGAAGACAATTAGGAGGAGTCAAGAGTAAATATGATTACTTAGAAGGCCATTACAATAGTCAAGAAAAGAAATAGGGGAGCATGAATGAAGTTGGAGAAAGTGAAGATGGAGAGAACTAGGGAGACAATACTTACAAAGTAAAATTAACAAGAATTGGTGACAGATCAGATGTGGAATGTTAGAGAAAGAGAAGTATCATGGATAACTCCCAGGTTCCTGACTTGGTGATACCATTCACTGACCCACACAGGGAAGACTAGAAAAGTACCAAGCTTGGCAGAAAAGAATATGAGTTTTACTTTGAATAAGTTTAAGGAGCCTTTGAGATACACAAGGGATGATGTCAAGGGGATAGTTGGTTTAGGGCAGGGTCAGCGAAGTATGGCTCATAAGTCAAATCTAGCCCACATCTACACAAAGTTTTTTGTTGGGGTTTTTTTGGGGGGCGGGGTTTTTTAGAGAGCGAGGAAGGGCAAGAGAGATATATCAGTGTGAAAATATCAACTGGTTGTCTCCCATATATGCCCCAAGCAGGGATCAAACCCACAAGCTAAGCATGTGCCCTGACCAGGAATTGAACCCATGACCTTTTGGTATATGGGATGATGCTTCAGCCACTGAGCCACACTGGCCAGAGCTACAAAGAGTTTTATTAGAATACAGCCATGTTGACTCATTGATATATTGTCTTGGATGTTTTGTGATAATCCAGCAGAGTTGAATAGCTGCAAAAGACCATGTGGCCCACAAAGCCTAAAATATTCTTTGGAACTTTACCAAGTTTACCTACTTTGATTTAGAGCAGATATGGCAAACAACTCCACACACACACACACACACTCCACATCTCTCACAGTTTCTATCAAATCTCTATGTGTCCTCCTTTCCTACCTATCCCTTAAACACTGGCATGCCTCAAAGTTCCATCCTTAGCCTATGGTCCTTCATTTAACACATTCTCTGTGGACAATCCTAACCACTTTTATAGATTTAACAACTGTTAATAGGCTAATGATTCTCCAATCTATATTACTAGCCATCACTGTCCCTGAGTGTCCAAATATTAGTAGATATATCCTTGAGTATCCCCACCATAAGATCTCACATTGAATGTAGTGAACTTTTACTTGTTGCCTGCCCTATCCATTCCCCTCCCCTCCTCTCCTAACTATACACAGCTTTTCTTTGGATACCCACCATTCCCAATGTAGCCCATGAGCTTGGGGGAAGATGCATCTATCAGACAGACCCCACGCAAAAAATAGAAGGCACAACCAACTGAGATTTTGAAAAGTGTATGGACAACTTTTCAAAGGAACTTTTCTCAGGGTCAAGTAAGCCAATGAAGGCATAAGGCCTTTGCCACCCCCAAGCCTGAAGTAACAAAAGAAGTGGTGTTACCAGAGATGGAGATACTGCCACCTGATAGCAGCGGTAGTCGTAGAGGGACACAGCCACTAAACTAGACTACACTACTAATCAACACATCAGGATGTTGGCTCCCCTTGGGGAAGAAGGGATAATGACTGGAAGGAATCACAAGGAAGGCTTCTGGAGTAACAGCAATATTCTATATTCTGATTTGGGTGCCAGTTACCCAGGTGTGTCAAGTTTCTGATAATTCATTGAGCTGTACCCTCATGATATGTGTACATATTATACTAAAACTGAAAGTTTTAAAATCAAGGGATGTAAAATAATGTCTCCTTCACTCAAAAAATAAATAATAAAAAATGTTGATTCAATGTTACATTCATTCATAACTTTCTATCTTAGGGATAATCTGCTGATGAATATTTCTTATCATCTGAGTAAAAAAGCATTCTTTCCAGGTAAAAACAGCTAACTACAGAAATACTCATAATTATCAAAATTTTTAATCTGAGAGGAAAACAAGAAAATGACATTTAAACATGGAAGAAATTTTAAAAATGGTAAAACTCCCAATTTTGTACACCAGTTTTCCAAAATAAAAATCTATCAGCCTTTGATTTATGAAATTGTCCATATAGCCCTGGCTCGTGTGGCTCAGTGGATTGAGCACCAGCCTGTGAAACAAAGGGTCATCAGTTCAATTCCCAGTCAGGGCACAGGCTTGGGTTATGGGCCAGGCCCCTGGTGTGGGGCATGCAAGAAGCAATCACACATTGATATTTCTCTTTCTCTTTTCCCCCTCTCCAAAATTAAGTAAATAAAATCATTTTTTAAAAAAAATCACCCACTTATATGAAAAAGGAAAAGTATAAAAGCCTTAGGTGCCTAATCTATTATTTCTAATACTTAGACAACTAATAATAGCAGGACTACATTTATAACATAGGGAAAAGGCAAGCAAGCTAATAATTTAATGGGTCCTATCTTTGAAGAAGAAAGACAAACACTGGAATGAAACAAAGGTATCACCTAACAGATTAAAAATCAACAACCCCCCAAAAAAGGACTAACCTTGAAAACATGGTAATTGAAAGAAGCTAGTCACAAACCACCATCCCCCACATATTATAGGATTTCACTTATATGAAATGTCCAGAATAGACAAATCCATTACAATAGAAAGTAGACTGATATATGCCAAGAGCTGGGGGAAGGAAGGAATGGGGAGCAGCTGTTAATAGGTTTGGAGTTTCTCTTTGGGGTGATGAAAATGATCCCAAATTGATTGTGGTAATGACTGCACAACTCTGAATATACTAAAAAGCACTGAAGTATACACTTTAAATGAATAAATTGGATTGAATGTGAATTATATCTCAAAAAAACATTTTTAAAAGGCAAAAAGATAAATCTATTCAACAAGTATACAGATCATAAAATCAACTTTTAATGTTTGAATTATTTGGTCTGCTAGATTTAAAATGAAGCTTAAAAAATCACCTACCATTTCTACATTTTTTTTCTTCAATGGGACAATATTTGAACATTGCTGTTGGGGGTGGGGTGGGGGTCTGGGATTATTTGGAGTAACAGTAGGTCAACCTAATTATTCCACTGCAAAATAATTTAGCTGAAAAACTGGACACTTATAATTACATAGGCAGCTAGGAAGAAATCAGGAAATGTGCTGGCAGCATGAATATTACACATCAGACAAATAAAAACTTCCCCACCTTACCTGCTGAGGTTTGTCTTTATGTTAAAGGTACCCTTCAGAAATTCTCACTATCCACAGGGAAATTTTAAGATGTTAACAAGTCATTCTAATGCTAGCCCTATTAACACATGATTTCCCAGGAAGACACACAACACATTTTTTAAAAATCCAACAAATAACTGCACCCTAAAATGAAGGTAATTAGTCTCAATTGAAACAATGCAATCTGAAACTGCATGAAAGCAAAACTTATCCAAATTTTAACAGTATGTCATAGTGTGAATTATACTTTTTATATTAGTATACATTAAAATTTTAAAAGAATTTATGTGCCCTTTATTGTATTTTTTAAATGTTGCTATTAAAATGCAAAGAAGTTGCTTTTTCAATAAAATGCTTCTCTATTATAACCAAGTTACAGCATACCTTTCATGTAATACACGTTTTTACTTCACAAGCCCTGATAATCACCTACCAAAAATAAAATTACCAAATAATAATTTGGTAATATTAAATAAATAAACCAAAAAATAATCATGTTTCTTTTTCCCAAAATACTGGACAAACTAATGAACACTAGAATTGCCCTTTCCGAATCATAACATACAGACAACACAGGGTACACTCAAAACTAGAGCCCTCCATGGTTCTATCAAGTCGCGCCATCACCATAACACAATGCAGTCACGCGAGGCAGTCGAGATCACAGGGGCTCAGGAAAGTACTCGCAAGCTACCGACACCACTAAGAAAACATCCTCCCCACACCTTCCCGCTTCCTTCCCCGAAGCATTGTGGGGGCTTTCCGGGACTGCCCCCCACCCGGAAGCGGAATAGCGACCATCTTCCCTACCCCCACCCCCGGCCGGAAGTGGGGCAGAGCAACCCGTCACACTCACCCTGGAAGAAGAGGACGCCCACCAGTGAAAGCAGAGTGCAGCCACGACCTCGTGCACCTCCGTGCTGTCGCATCTTGACTGCTCTTCAGATGCTTGCACACCACCTTGTTTTCGCTCCCAGTAACGACGCAGGTAACAGCGGAAGTGACGTAAAACAGGTGGCAGCGGAAACCCTTAAAATGGCGATTCAAAGTTGCCATGGGAACAGGGGGTGTGTTTTGTTGTTATTGTTGTTTTGTTTTGTTTTGTTTTGTTTTTCCAGAACCACATCTGACTTTTTCACTGACCCGTGATGTTTTAATTCTCAAGTAGGAATTTATTCTCTTTTGCTTGGAGATGAGATAGGCTACAGACTTGGGGAAATTTACTATTTAATTTTATGGAATCCTGCGGACAAAATAGTCTTATTCTCTGACTCTATTCCAGGAAGTTTTGGCGTTTTGTTTTGTTTATTTTTACTGCCTTCAGATTATTTTATTTGAATGCTCCCAGAATTTAGAATTCAAAATTTAGATTTTCTATAAATTTAGAGTTCAAAAGGACCCAGGAAATAATACAGGATATGTATTAGGCCTTTGTGATGAATTTGAGCCTTAAGTCTCCATGTGATTTTCTTCTATAGCTCTTACATATTCCTGCTTAGCACCTACCTGAATTGGTTGTTTATTAAATTGCTGTTGACAGTGGCAATGATATAATCATTACAGCATGTAATAGAGGGGAAAGGAAACTGGTATTTGTATAGCATTTACTTGGAAAACTGAGAAAGTAATGTTTTCACGGTGGTTGAAATTAAGAGATGGTGTCATGCTTCTGAAAAAGAAACGGAATGATACCCTGCTTTAATTATTATTGAACCAGGAATCTCTCTGTTTAGTGAAAGTAGGAGGGAAACTAAATTCTGCTTCAGCTTTTGGGAAAATTATAATTTGCTATTTTTCAATTCTCATTCCTTTACTAGATTTGAAAGCAGGTAGTTTTCACCATTAAGAAGGTATTATGAGTACCAAATGGAATAGATGATACTGTTCCTTTGAAAGAATCCCCAACTAAGTAGTATGTTGTTCCAGATTCTGAGTTATCCAAAGCAATGTGAAAGTTCTGTGAAACTGTATAGGTTTATTTATCCAGTAGAAATTAATTCTTAAATAAATTGTAAAACTTTATTGACTTCCAGGCTGCTGGTAAGAAAAGTTTTTGGTGATGATAAAAATACATGCCTATTCATTTTCTGTTACCTGCTATGTAAAACTTAGATTTGTAGATAAAGCAAATTTTATAACTGTTAATTTTTTTATTGCTAAAGGTATTTACATAAATGCTTAAGGCACACTAAAATTATAAATTACAGCTCTGGCTGGTATGGCTCAGTGGGTTGAGTGTTGGCGTATAAATCAAAGGGTCACTGGTTCTATTCCTGGCCACTGTACATGCTTGGGTTGTGGGCCAGGTCCCCAGTAGGAGGCCAGTGAGCGGCAACCACATACTGATGTTTCTCTTCCTTTCTCCCTCCCTTCCCCTCTCTAAAAATAAATAATTTTTTTTCAAAAATTAAAATAAAATTGTAAATTACACTAGAGAATTTCTCTTTAGGAAGAAGAGAAGAGCCATTGAACAAAAGAGCCATTATTAATCCTTGAGTATTTAGCAAAGACACAGCTATTAAGTTTTGCTGGAAAGACATTCCATGACTTTTTAACTGCTTCTTCACTATACTTATGGAACATTATCCAAGCCATCTGTTTGAAGAAACAACCAGTTTTTATATTTCGTAAGGGTAAATTATGGAGAAAAATAGAAAATGTGAATGGAAAGTAATATACACCTGAAATCTATTTTTTTGTTTTAAAACTGGGTATTAAAACTTTATTTCTTTAAACAGTGTAATAGGCAAAACAATGTATTTGAGAATTAAGATTTGTCTGTTAATTATTCCAATTTTTTAAATTACCAGAAAAAATGTCAAAGTTCTGCATCTTTAAATTTGAAAATTCCAGTTTGTAAAAAGATACATTTTCAGCTCAGTCAATGAAAGCTGAGAATATCATGTAAAGATTTTTGGGAGGCCTAGACTTTTAGATGTTTTCTGTCTTTTGAATAAATTCTGGTATAGCTTATGTTTGAAAACAAACCAGGAAACTAGACCCTTTTTAAAAATATATATATTTTAATGATTATGCCATTACAGTTGGCCCATTTCCCCACCTCATTCCCCTCCACCCTGCACACTCACTTCCCCCATTTCCCCTCTTTAGTTCATGTCCATGTGTCACAAGTTCTTTAGATTCAATATTTCCCATATTATTCTTGCCCTCCCCCCTGTCTATTTTCTACCTACCATTCATGCTACTTAGTCTCTGTACCTTCTCTCCCCTTCTCCTCCTCCCACTCCCCTGTTGCTAACCCTCCATGCGATCTCCATGTCTATGATTCCGCTCCTGACCTAGCTGTCCTCTTAGATTGCTTTTGTTTTAGGTGTGATTGTTAATAACTGTGAGTTTGCTGTCCTTTCACTGTTCATCTTTTTATCTTTTTCTTAGGTAAGTCCCTTTAACATTTCATATAATAAGGGCTTGGTGATGATGAACTCCTTGAATTTGACCTTATCTGAGAAGCATTTTATCTGCCCTTCCATTCTAAATGAAAGCTTTGCCAGATAGAGCAATCTTGGGTGTAGGTCTTTGGATTTCATGACTTGGAATACTTCTTTCCAGCCCCTTCTTGCCTATAAGGTCTCTTTTGAGAAATCAGCTGACAGTCTGATGGGAAGTCCTTTGCAGGTGACTGTCCCCTTAGCTCTTGCTGCTTCTAGGATTCTCTCCTTCATTTTAATCTTGGCTAATATAATTATGATGTGCCTTGGTGTGTTCCTCTTTGGGTCCACCTTCTTTGGGACTCTCTGAGCTTCCTGGACTTCCTAGAAGTCTATTTCCTTTGCCAGATTGAGGAAGCTCTCCTTCATTATTTGTTCAAAAAAGTTTTCCACTTGTCGATCTTCCTCTTCTCCTTCTGGCACCCCTCTAATTCGAATGTTGGAGCGTTTAAAGATGTCCTGGAGGTTCCTAAGCCTCTCCTCATTTTTTTGAATTCTTGTTTCTTCATTCTTTTCTGTTTGGTCATTTTTTCTTCCTTCTGGTCCACTCCCTTGATTTGAGTCCCAGTTTTCTTTCCATCACTATTGGTTTCCTGTGCATTTCCCTTCATTTCACTTAGTTCAGCCTTCATTTGTTCCTCTAATTTGTGACTAAAATCAACCAGTTCTGTGAGCATCCTGATCACCAGTATTTTGAACTGTGCATCTGAAAGGTTAACTATCTCTTGGTCGCTTAGATCTATGGGCTCTGGGGCTTTGAGCTGTTCTTGAGCCATAATGTTTTGGTCTGTTTGCACCTGTTATGTATGAAGGGTGGAGCCTTAGGTGTTCACCAGGGCAGGGTGATCCAGTCACTGGGTTATGATGCTGTATGTGGGGACCAGGTCAGAGAGAGACAATGTAGTTTGTTCTTCTCTCTCTTGGATTTTGGTCCTCTCTGCTGCTTCCCGCTAGCAAATTGGGCCCTTCTGGTACTGGTTCCCCGGTGTGTGGGCTCCCAGCACCTCGACCCAGAAAGTTATTCCAATTGGTGCTTTTAGGCTTTAATTCCCATCACTGGGGCCCTGGTTTGCACAGTCTGTCTCACTGCTCACTTCTCTGCCTGGTTTATCTGAGTGTGAATGTGTGACCGCAGTCAGCCAGCTGCCTTGCATCCTTACTGGGTCTGCCTGTTGCCACCCCCACCTGGGATCTGCCAACTGCCATCTGCACACCTGGGTCTGTCTGGCCACTTTTCCCTCTAGGACCCCGCTCCGCCAGTCACTGACTCTGCCCTTCTTACCAGTCTGGCTGAATGGTTCATTGTTGTCAGACTTTCATACAGTTCAATTTTCTGTGTTTTGGTTGTGTTAGGAGGCACAATGTTTCCACTTATATCTCCATCTTGGCCAGAAGTCTCGAAACTAGACCCCTTTTTAAAAAGCTCTTTTCACCCTGTAATGTAGTTCAGTGAATTGAGCTCGGGCCTGTGAGCCAAAGGGTCGCATGTTGGATTCCCAGTCAGGGCCCACGCCTGGGTTGCGAGCCAAGTCCCCAGTAGGGGACGCATGAGAGGCAACCACACATTGATGTTTCTCTCCCTCACTTTCTCCTTCCCTACCCCTCTCTATAAAAATAAATAAATAAATAAATATTTTTGAAAAAACTCTTTTCAGAGCCCACTTACAAAGTTTCCTTTATCTACTAATATAAGGGAAACAAGAATAAAGTTTTTTTTTCAGAGGAGAAGAATAAAGTTCATTTCATTCTGTTAGTTTTGGTATTTCTTTGCCCCATACCAAATTCTCTCCCCAAACAAGCAAATTAAAAAGAAAAAGAAAATAAATTTTAAGCATTTTTTCAATCCTCAGAGCTCTGTATAGCACTGTACAAAATTATTATTATTTAGGGTTGATATTTTTTTACTAGCCCTAGGTTCTTAAAGTCATAAAATACTATTCCAGAATTCTGTTTAAACTGCTTAATGATTCCAGCCTACAAATGAATGAGCATAGACTTGGCTCTTTTGTTATAGATAATGTAAATGGGGCAGGAGGGGAAAAGGGAGGACACAGTAAGCTAAGCAGTCATTCACTGCTCAAAAAAGACCTGCATCGTACAGTACAAAGAAAAAGGTGACAAGCAGTTCATCCCAAGGGTGGCATTTGTCAACCTATTAGCATTTAGGTAACCTCTTGTGAATTACTCTGTGATTTGTACTGGCTCTGTGGTATACCTTAGATCAACTGACAAAAAAGAAAAGAAAATATTATCACCTAGGATACTAAAATTCAATACAACAAGATTTGTCTGAGAGTTAAGGACAGCCGTAAAAATTGAACTGTTACTTTAACAGTTTAAACACAAGATTTTCCGTTAATCACAAACAGCTGGGAGAAATAGCTCACTTTTAATTGAGAGTGTGAGAAGGAAAAAGTAAACGCATTAAATTTAGTAGCAAAAGTGCTGTTCTAAAGAAACTAATATGGAAAAGAAAATGTCATGATAGACAAATTGGCTTTTATCCCATTTGCTGCCAGTATGTGTATATACAAGTCATAATCTACAAAGCAGTATTTAAGGGCAAAAATGTTGCTTTGTAGTATACAAAAGCTAACTTGAAATTATTTGCACTCTAAAATTAAATAAATCCTTAGTAATGGGCCTGGATGTGAGTCTGGTGGCATCTGCTCAAGAGTGGCCCTATGCTGGCTCCAGAGGGATATTGCCTGTCTAGGTGGAAAAGTACTGTAGAGCTGGTTGGAAGACAGGCCACAACTGAAAAAAGACAAAGAAAAGCTTCCATCAACTTCATCTTTTCCCAGGGTTGTGGTTCTTGGAAATCTTCAGCCTCCTGAAATACAAAAGTTTAAATGAATAATGCATCTGGGCAGAGTGCATTAGAAATACCTAGCGTTATGAATTACATACATATCATTAGATCTGTTATTCATTGTGCATGAGAATATTCTTAAACATATTTATTCTCCCCCTAATGTAACTTTTAAAAGAAGTTTCCTGATCCTTATTCTCAGAGTCAGTGTCTTTAATTCATAGTCACTGCATCCACTGTGTGATACTTTGATGATTCATAGCTCATTAATACAAACATTTCTTCTCTCTCCCTCCCTCCCTTCCTTTTATTATAAGCAAAATCAAACATAGAGAAAAGTAGAGAAGGCAGAAATTCACCCATCACATAATTTAAAGTATTTTGCCTCACTTACTATATTTTTGAACTGACAAATGACTGACTTATCCCTAAATACTCCAATATGCATTTAAAAAATAGGAACATTCTTCTGTATAACCACAATATCCTTATTATACCTAATAAAATTCATAATTCCACAATATTATTCATATTCAAACATTTTTCAAGACTTTCCAAGTTATCCCCCCAAATCTTTTTATAACTAGTTTATTCAAACTAGTATTCATTCAGTCAGGGATCACGTGTTGCACTTGATTCTGTTAGTTCATTAAATTCTTTAAACATAAAAGAGCCACTATCTTATTTTTCCATGACCCACATGTTAGAGAATTGCCTTGATTTTAAAAATAAATAGCCCTTGGTAAAATCGCTCTGATACTCAATTTATTTTCATGGGTTTACTATAGAATCATTTCTCTCCATATTCTATTTTATAAATGTTTAAGGTCTTTCACTGGAGTTTTAGGCTATTAAAAGGTGACTTTTTTTGCAAATAATAATAGTGGAGCTATTCTAAAAAATAGAAGAAATCCTGATTATATTAAAAAATTAAATCATCCTACCTTTTAAGCCCAATAAACCCCAAAACTGGAAAAACAAAATTACATACTTCTAAAATTGGATTGAACAAAATTACACACTACTAAAATTGCATTTGTGGTCCCAATAACTAAGTGAGAAGAATTGAAATCCATTCCATATAGTACAACAGTTCTGCCAAAATGTCAGGCACATCTATTAAGTCACTCTTTTAATGCCATGACTTATTTACAATAAAACACAACAAACAGATGTTAATTCTTTTGTTTAAATATATTTCTTTACATGTTGAAAGTTAATTTATTATTCTGGATGAAAAATATAGCCCTCAAAGCCTCATATACTATTAGAATTCTCTCAGTTTTAATGGTCTAGCTTCCTAATAATTTGTACAAATCACTCTCAAAGAGGAAGCCATCCATAATTACTAATAGCCTTTTACTTCCCTGATCCAGCTCCTCAGACTTCATATAGGAAACACCTAACGGTCATATAATCTGGGAAGTCTACATTAGAGATGAGCCAGAAGGCTAGGGAAAGAAATTAATCCTTTTGTGAACCTCACCGTTTAAGAATGTTAGTCTGTATCTTCTAGATAAACAGCAACCTTTTTTTCTTGGTTGAGTCTTTCATCCTCTTTTCTGGAACAACAACAAAAAAAAACCCAGAAACTAATGTTAAGTGAACAGTAGAGGAAACAAGGGAGGTAAATCTTACAAAGCTTCAGGTAAGGTATTTCCCCCCATATTTTGGGAAGAATTACATGTACCTGGGCATAGATCCAAGCTTACAGAGAGCTATATCACTAGTGCCATCTAATTAATAATACTCATGCCTTAACATGACCCCAGGTATCTGAACTCAGACATTTTTCAGAATATTTTTAGAAGAGAGTAGTATATTTTGGGGTCTCCAGGGATTTAAAGCAGGTACCTTAGTTTACCATTAGTATCTTACCTACAATCCTACTCCTCATTTAGAAAAGAAGTTTTGAGAAGAGAAAGGTTGGGGAACTGGGAGAGAGTGGTGAGGGGATTAAGTACAGATTGGCAGTTACAAAATAGTCAAGAGGATATAAAGTGTAGAGACAGTAATACAGTCAATAATATTGTTTTGGCTATGTATATTGCCAGTGGAGTACTGGAAATATCAAAGGGAACAGTGTGTAAAGTATGTGATTGTCTAACCACTATGCTGTATACCTGAAACCAAGACAAAATAATATTGAAAGTAAATTGTAGTTTAAAAATTTTAAAAAGAAAGAAAAAGTTTTGTGTTGATCTATAAGTCATCTTTATTGATTAGGTTCAATTTAGACCAGAACCTCAGAGGGAGGTTCATTAGGCTCCTTAAAATCAGTTCTACTTACTTCAATAAAAATTTCTCAAGGACAACAAATAAATGGTGTTGGGAGCACCAAGAAACTGCAACTTGTGCAAAAGAATAAATTTGGATTCCTACTTTACACCATATACAAAAATTAACTCAAAATAAATCAAAGACCTAAATGTAAGACCTAAAACTGTAAAACTCTTAGAAGAAAAAAACATAGGCATAAATCTCCATGACCTTGGGTTAGGCAATGGTGTCTTAGATGTGACACCAATATTAGAAGCAACAAAAGAAAAAATAGATAAATTGGACTTCATCAACATTTTAAACTTTGATAGTGTCTTGATAGTGTCTAGGACACTATCAAGAAAGTGAAAATACAGCCCACAGAATGGGAGAAAATCATTGTAAATCATATATCTACTAAGGCACTTTTAGATATTCCAAAGTAATTTTTAATTATTTAAAATAATTTAAAATAAACCCAATTTTTAAATAGGCAAAACATTTAAATAGATATATCTCCAAAACGATATACAAATGGTCAATAAACACATGGAAGGATGCTCAACATCATTAGTCATTAGGAAAACACAAATCAAAACCTCAGTGAGAAGACACTGTATACCCACTATGGCTATAATCAGAAGGACGGACAATAACAACTGCTGTCAATGATATGGACAAATGGGAACCATCATACATTCTGGTGGTGATGTAACATGATACAGCTGTTTTGTGAAACAGTCTGGCAATACTTCAAAAAGAACCTCTGCACCCCAGTGTTTATAGCAGCACAATTTACAATAGCCAAGAGCTGGAAGCAACCTAGGTGCCCATCAGTAAATGAATGGATCAAAAAATTGTGGTACAGATACACAATGGAATTCTATGCAGCAGAAAGAAATAAGGAGCGTGGATGGAACTGGAAAGTATTATGCTGAGTGAAATAAGCCAGGTGTTGAAAGACAAATACCATATGATCTCACCTTTAACAGGAAGCTAGCAACAAAACAAACAAGCAAGCAAAATAAAAACAAAGACACTGAAATAGAGAGCAGGGGGATAGTGACTGGAGGGGAGGGAGTTTCAGGGGACAAAGGGGAAGGATTTACAGGAACTAGTATAAAGGGCACATGGACAACAACTAAGGGGGGTGGAAATGGGATGGAGGTGGGGAACACTGGGAGGGTGGGCTGGGATGGGAATAAAAGACAGAAAACTGTACTTGAACAATAATTAAATTTAAAGAATTGTTTAAATACTTCAAAAAGGTAAACATAGAGTTACATATATTCTAGCAATTTCACTTTCAGATATATATATATATACCCAGGAGAATTGAAAACATATGCCTACACAAGAACTTACAGATGTATGCTCACAGCAGCACTAGTCAAAATAGCCAAAAAGTGGGGAAAATCTAAATGTCCATCAATTGAATGAATAAAACAAAATGTGAAATATACATGCAGTAGAATATTATGTAGCCATAAAAAGTAATGAGTACTACTACATGCTATAACATAGATGAACATTGAAAACATTATACTAAGTCAAAGAAGCCAGACAAAAAGGCCAAGTATGGCATGATTCCATTTATACAAAATATCCGGAATAGGCCAATCCATAAAGACACAAAGCAGATTAGTAGTTGTCAGGGTCAGGTAGGAAGGGAAAATACCAAGTGACAGCTAAAGGGTATTCACAAGTTTCTTTTGGGGGTGATGAATGTATTCTGGAACTAGTGGTGACTGAAATATTTAAAAAGTGGATTTTATAGTGTGTAAATTTTATCTCTAAAAAATATTTATTGAGCACCTTATTTCCACAGGGCTAACTTTCCTAGGTACTGACTCATAGTGCCCTTGCTGACTGGTCAGTGGTTTTTAGAAATGTATGTGTTACAATAAAAGTAATGAGTATTCTGCCATGACTGGTGTGGCTCAGTGGATTGGGCATTATCCCACAAATCAAAGGGTCATGGGTTCAATTCCTAGTCTCAGAGCATATGCCTGGGTTGCAGGCCAGTTTCCCGGTTAGGGGCAACTGATCAATGTTTCTCTTCTGCGTCAGTATTTCTCTCCCTTTCTTCCCTCCCTCCTTCCCCCTCTCTGTAAAAATAAAGTAAGTAAGCAGTATTCTAAAAAAGGTTTACATAACAGATTTTTAAAATTTTTTAAATATTTTATTTATTTATTTTTAGAGAGAGGGGAAAGGAAGGAGAAAGAGAGGGGAAGAAACATCAATGTGTGGTTGCCTCTCGCATGCCTCCTACTGGGGACCTGGTCTGCAACCCAGGCATGTGCCCTGAGATTTTTTAAAATTTTTATACCATATTATATTAGTTTCAGGTGTACACCCTAGTGATTAGACATTATATAACTTACTATATGATCATTCCAATAAATCTCGTACTCATCTGATTTAACAGATTTTAATAATCTCAAGTCCTCTATAATAGAGAAAGGCTATAATGAAATCTTCTGTAAAATCAGGAATCCTTTTGTAAAATTACTGATTTACACCCTAATTTATCTATACTTGGAATTTGAATTATTTTATATAAGATTTATTCAAAGGAAAGACTATCCGTTCAACAGTTATTTAGCCTCGCTGTAAAATACCAAGTGTTACCATACAAGGGTATTAAAAGATTTTCCCATAAATTGCACAAATGCAAAATGTGAAATGTTTCAGCGAAACCATCATCACAATTAAGATAATGAACATGTCCAACAACAACACACAGGACTCCTTGTGTCCCTTTAAGACCCTTTCTTCCCAGTCCTTTCTAAACTCGTTTCTCACAATTCACAAGCAGTAGCAAGCACTTCCTAAAATTTTATGTAATATGCTATCTGGGCAGTGGGGACTCTGGCTCTTTAAATTAACTGTGACTATTTTGAGATTAATCCATCTTCTTACACATACCAATAGTATGTTCATTTATATTGTTGGGTGTTATTCCATTGTATGGATATACCACAATTGTTTTTTATCCTTTCAGCTATTAGTGGATATTTAGGTTGTTTCCAGTTTTTGGCTATTACAAATAAAGCTGCTGTGAAGATTTGTGTATATGGTAAAAAAAAGATTTTCCCAGCCTTACGATTTTATCTCCACCACTTTATGAGCTCTGTCAGCCCATCGTTTTTTCCGGAAATGCTGAAAGAGGACCACCACAATTACTATTATGACCATCAGTGCACAGGCGGAGCCAATGGCCAGAGCCAGGAAATACATCTCAGAGAAGCGTACTGTAAGGAGAAAAAAGGTCAAGTTAGGGTTCTATAAAAGAGGAAGATTATGAGAAATCTAAAGATATAATAAGGATGTGTTGTTATCATTAAATGGAATCTCTCTTTCTTCTAACACATTTCCTTGTAAATTCTAGTAGCAATAGGGAGGTCATACAGACTACTTTAGTGGTTCTCAGACTATAGTCCTAGGAGTAGCAGCAACAGAAGTTAGAAACACAAATTATCAGACCCTACCCCAGACCTACTGAATGACAGGTGGGGCTGGCAATTTGTTTTAAATCCTCTAGGCGATTCTGATGCAAGCTAAAATTATGAGAACTACTGGACCAGCTGTGTAAAGTTGTTGCTGACTTAATCAATCCAGTGCCCAAACTCTCCCTAATTATCTTTGCCATTCATTCGGTCATTTATTCAAATTTATTAAGGGCCTACCATGTTCCAGGAACTAATGGAAATATCAAGCCAAAAAAAAGACATTACCTTTAAGGAACTCATACCCACTGGGAAGATGGATGAGTAAGTCAGTAATTACAGCCATCCATCAGAAACGATAGGGATACATTCTGAGAAATGCACTGTTAGGCAATTTTGTCACCGTGCTAACATCATAGAGTGCACTTACACAAACCTAGATAGCAGAGCCTACTACATTCCTTGGCTTGTGGAATAGCCTATTGTTTTTAGGCTACAAACCTCTATAGCACTTCACTGTACTGAATCCTGTAGATAATTATAACATAATGGTCAGTATTTGTGTGTGAAAACATACCTAAACATGCAAAAGGTACAATAAATATATGGTATAAAAGATTAAAAATGGGGATGAAGGCGTAAGTGGAAACACCTTGCGTCCTTGCACAACCAAATCTAAAAACAACAAAGTTTTAACAATAATAAACGCAACCAAACCACACAGAAAATCAACAATAGGGAGTCCAAAAACAACGAAATGCTCAGCTAAACCAGTAAGAGGGGCGAAGCCAGCAGCAGAGCAGGTTGGCCAAAATGATCCTCGACCAGGGTGGTTCGCAGGCAGCCAAGGGCACAAATCCCAGGTGCGGGCTAGCTACAGGCAGACACAGGGAAGAGGTGAGGCTGGCTATCTGCACTCAGTCGAGCATTTGGGTGCAGATATACCAGTGAAGAGGCGAGCAGTGAGACCGCATGGCGCAAGGCAGCGGGCTCCCACATTTCTGCTCAGATAAACAGGTGGGGGCGAGTGGTGGGACGGACTGGGTGAGCAGAGAGGACCACCATTGCTCCCTCTCTGACCCTGCCCCCACATACAGCATCACAAACCAGCGACCTGGGTGGCCCCGCCCTGGTAAACAACTAAGGCTCCGCTCCTCATACCTAACAGGCACAAACAGACAAAAACATGGCTCAAGAACAACTCAGAGCCCCAGAGCCAGTAATTCTAAGTGACCAAGAAATAGCCATCCTAACAGATGCACAGTTCAAAACACTGGTGATCAGGATCCTCGCAGAACTGGTTGATTTTAGTCACAAATTAGAGGAACATATGAAGGCTAAACTAATTGAAATGAATGGAAATGCACAGGAAACCAATAGTGATGGAAAGGAAACTGGGACTCAAATCAAGGGAGTGGACCAGAAGGAAGAAAAAAATGACCAAACAGAAAAGGATGAAGAAACAAGAATTCAAAAAAATGAGGAGAGGCTTAGGAACCTTCAGGACATCTTTAAACATTCCAACATCCGAATTATAGGGGTAACAGAAGGGGAAGAGGAACAGTCACAAGTGGAAACCTTATTTGAACAAATAATAAAAGAGAACTTCCCCAATCTGGCAAAGGAAATAGAATTCCAGGAAATCCAGGAAGCTCAGAGAGTCCCAAAGAAGGTGGACCCAAGAAGGAACACACTAAGGCACATCATCATTACATTAGCCAAGATTAAAATGAAGGAGAGACTCCTAGAAGCAGCAAGAGCTAAGGGGACAGTCACCTACAAAGGAGTTCCCATCAGACTGTCAGCTGATTTCTCAAAAGACACCTTACAGGCCAGAAGGGGCTGGAAAGAAGTATTCTAAGTCATGAAAACCAAAGACCTACATCCAAGATTGATTTATCCAGCAAAGTTTTCATTTAGAATGGAAGGACAAATAAAGTGCTTCTCAGATAAGACCAAATTCAAGGAGTTCATCATCACCAAGCCTTTATTATATGAAATGTTAAAGGGACTTACCTAAGAAAAAAAAGAAGATTAAAAAGATGAACAGTGAAAGGACAGCAAACTCACAGTTATCAACAACCACACCTAAAACAAAAGCAAATTAAGAGGACAACTAGATCAGGAATGAACCATAGAAATGAAGATCACGTGGAGGATTAGCAACAGGGGAGTGGGAGAAGGAGAAGGTACAGAAAATAAGTAGCATAGATGGTAGGTAGAAAATAGATAGGGGGGAGGGTAAGAATAGTAGGGGAAATACAGAATCTAAAGAACTTGAGACACGTGTTTATGAACTAAAGGGGGGGAATGGTGGGGGAGGGGTGTGCAGGGTGGAGGGGAACAGAGGGGGGAAATAGAACAAAATGTGCAATGTGTAATGGCATAATCAATTTTTAAAAAAGGATTAAAAATGGTACACCTGTATGAGGCACTTATCATAAATGGATCTCACAGCACTAGAAGTTGTTCTAGGTGAGTCAGTGAGTGAGTGGTAACACTGATGGCCTAAGACATTACTATATACTACAGTAGACTTTATAAACACCAGACACTTAAACTACTCCTAATTTATTTTAAAATATTTTTCTTCAATAAATTAACCTTAGCCTACTGTAACTTTTTAAATTTATAAACATTTTTATAATAAGACAGCTTAAAACACAGACACATTGTACAGCTGTACAAAAGTACTTTCTGTATATTCTTGTTATCTAAGTGTTTTTCTATTTTTTATTATTATTTTTTTTTACTTTCTAAACTTTTTTGTTAAAAACTAAGACACAAACACACACTAGCCTATGCCTACAGAGTCAGGATTGTCAGTATCACCATTTCCACCTCTACGTCACATCCCACTAGGTCTTCGGGGACAATAAGACACACACAGCTGTCATCTACAACCATGCCTTCTCCTGAACATCTCCTGAAGGACCTGTCTGAGGCTCTTCTTGAGGCTCTTCTTGAGGAGGTATCACTCTTTTCAGAAATATGTCCATGGCAGTTTGCTTGGTTTGTTTTTTTCTCATCATAAATTTGCTTGTATACAGATAATGCACCATGAAGATTCCTCTCTATTAATGAAAACCTTTCAGTGTTGTGGTCCATGTTGTTAAGCTTTTTAAGGAGCTTACTGAGGTCTGCAAAAGCTTCTGCTAAGCCTCCACTGTGACTTTTGTTGAGGGTTCTTATTCTTCTGTAGTTTCCTTTTCTCTTCCCTCCTCTTCAACCATGTGTTGCTGTTCCAGTTCCAACAATGCCTCATTAGTCACTTCCTCCAAAATCACATCTAGGAGCTCCAAAAGTCATCCTTATCCATAATCAGGTTAAAATTGTTTACCATCTCAACCACAGCCTTGTTTTTTTTGCAATCTTTGTGCTATGGTGTGATGATGGCTACAACTTCACTGAGTGATAGCAGTTTTTCAGCTCCATTATAATGTTATAAGACCACCATTGTGTATGTGGTCCATTGTTGATTAAAACATCATTATGTGGCACAGGACTGTATAGTGTAGTGGGTAAATGATGCAAGAGGGAACCCAGAGGTAAAGGTCCCTAAACCTACTAGAATCGTGAAGCCTGGGTCCCCTATCTTTTAGCTTGATTTCTGATTTAAACTTCAATAAACCCTCAGAACCAGGAAAGACAATGGAGAACATCAGTTCAGGGGTTTCCAGCCTAGATACCGTGAAGGAGGGGGGAGAGGAGAACACAAGCCCACAAAATCCATGTCATATTTTCTGTTTGTACATTTTGGGGTGGTAAGGAAGGAGGACTATGGATTTCATTAGATCTCAAAGAGCAGTGATCTCATTATGTTTAAGAACCATGTGTTCTTTTGTGATCTGTTCATTTTTCAGATGAAGAAACTGAGGTCCAAAGGTATGACATTACTTCTTTCAACACTCAGATTACATTTCCAAAGTCACAGCTCTCTGTTGATAGGGCCTTGAAGAATAGTACTAAGAACGAATGCAGAAAATCATACCACTTTAAAGGGTAGTAACATTGTGTGTTGGTTAAGAGCACACACCAGAGAAAGCTAATTTTAAATATCAGCTCCACTGTTTACTAGCTGTATCTTTGGGGTGATAATTAACTTCTCTAAGTGTTAGTTTCCTCAGTGTATAAAATAGAGATAATACCTATTTCTAGCATTCTTATGAAAAATAAAATTATTCATTTAAATTATTCCATGATGTGCCTGCACATAACAAATACTCAATACATAGTAGCTGTTATAATTTTCAATACAATCAAGAGTTTGGGAAATTTTTACATTATGTCATTTTATCCTCACCATATTCCTTGCTATATTATTTTCACTTTACTGAAGGGGGAGAAAAAAGATGTATTTTCAGCTGGTAAATGGTAGCATTTACAAACCCAAACTTACAACTCTGAAGTTTTATGGTCTTTGCTCTTTGTTATCTGGCAGAGCTTCCCAGGTTTTCCTTTATAGACTGTGGGCATAACAATGCATTAGTATGGAGCACAATTCTGGAGTCAAAAGTTGCTTGGATTTGAGTCCTGCGTGACTCCTTTTATCAGCTACATGACTTTGGACAAGTGACTTAACCTCTATTAGCCTCAGTTTCCTTGTTAGTAAAATTGGGAGGTACTAAAAGTACAGTAACCTGACACGATATGTAAAGATTAAATAAGATATGCAAAGCCCCTAACACAACTCAATAAACAACAGCTACCATTATTGGTATCTGCCTCGTAGGGTGGTTAGGAGGATTAAATGAGAGAATAATGTCAAGCACTTTGGACAGTACCTTACAGAGGAGGCACTCAATGAGCACCGTGTAAGTAAATGAGTTAATGAACAGACCTGTTGTTACCCTTTTATCAGAAAGTTGCTTCCACTCCCTTTTACGATCTCAGTGCCATTTTTGTAACAGATTCCCCAGGTCCCTTTGCTTTACTTCCTGTTCCTTTCCACAAACAAAGCCTTTCTCTTTTTACCCTCGGATTCTCCACTTTCCCTCCATGGTTTCCAGATTTGAAGGGTTTAGTCCTCGCTGCTCTTCCAGCCATCACAAAAGATTGCTTCTCTTTTCTACAATCTCTCACACTTCCCAAAACCGTTTCCTCTGCATAACCTACCAGTCTGCACGACGCTGAGCCGGATCTCCCCTATTAGCCCATCAACATCAGGTGGGTTCTTCACCTGGCAGGTATATGTCCCATTGTCATCAAACTGCAGCTTCCAGAGGATGATAGAGACATCATAGCGCTCAGGGTTCCCATCCCAGACTACCCGGTCCTTGAACCTTCCACTCATGGGTTTGAAGGGATCCACATGGTAGTAGAATACCTAGAAAGGAGAATTAGCAACAGGTCTTTTTCAGTGCCTGGGCAATGAAGCGAGAGGGTGGAGGCGGAAACACCAGCAAGCCTCATTGCCCTATCTGTAGCTCTCTGGCAAAAACTTACTTTCCTTTTCACTGGCCTCTCAGTCTCAGTTCTGTCAGTCTCTGTCCCAAGAATTGTTCCCAGCTTTACCCTCTGTTGCTTTAAAAAAATAAAGTGCAGGAAGGGCAAGGAGAAATACACTGGCTTGTTTTCTTAACTGAATATCCCCTAGAAAATGACAATAATCTACTTACAAACTGCTCAGATCCCCCATCTTGGGGACGGAAATTCCAAGTCACTGTCAGAGCATCACCTACAGGAGCAAAGCTGGAAAAAGTGCATTTTAACCGAACATCTGTCCCATTAACAGCCTCCAGCACTCCAGAGGTGTAAATTTCCACAGCTGCTATAGGCCAAAGAGCTGCAATAAAGAAAAGGAAAAGAAGGGTTAATCTGGGGTTGTGTAGAAAGAGAATTGCTGACACAACCAAAGTAAATGTTTAAGTAGGGCATAAAACAACATGAATGACCCAGCTCTCATACTTTCTTTTCACCCAGAGTCTGTATGTCTATACACTACCTTGACCCTCCCTTTCTGTGTAACAACTGAAATACCTCACAGTGAACCTTTTTAGTGCTCTCACTTTCTCCACAGTATGATCCGCTAGCCTTATGGTACCCACTTCAAAACTCTAAACATCAGCAAGTAAAAATTGAAAGCAGAAACAAAAATGTAATCATAACATGAATTACACATGTATACAAGTTAAGCATTCTGTATTGTATGTGTAATGGTCTTTTAGCAGGTAAGTTTTCCAGAAAAGTTTCTTGTTATGTGGATTTCGCACTATTCCTTGTCTTCTGCAGAAATTAAGTTACTCAACCCCAGAAAGTTTATGCTTGCCTGAACTCCAGAAACATGCCAAACGGCACTTTTTTCCATGATATTTACATTTAGAATGCACATGGTGGGGCAGTTTTGAAACCACTGTGGATTTCTCTCCTTAACAATTTTGGCCTTCCCAGTGCTGCTGAGAGTCCCAGACAGGACTCACACACAGAAATCCAAATGCCAAGTCCCGCCTGCAGTGAGAGACTGAAAGTTGCCACAAAAGAATGGTTTGTAATCTGAGATTTGAAAGCCCTCTCTGTGCCTGAATAACTGGCAGCTGAAACACACCTAAACCTGTTTGTCCAAAAGCAGTTCCCCCAAAATAAGTCACCGACTTTGGTTTCAGTTAAGTCAAAACTAAAGTGAACTGCAGCTGTGGCTCAGGCTCAAAAACAAAACAAAACAAAACAACGAAAAACCTCTTTCGACTCAATAGAATCGCAACTTTCCAGAATAGGCAATGAGGGAGGAAATGCTGAGGGAAGTCCACCAATAAGCTTACCTGTGAGTTGTATGCCAAGGAGAAGCACAGCACGCGTAAGGCTCTTGCCATACATGAGGGAAACCCAGCCCTGACCGGAGAGACCAGACAAGGCAGACTGAGGGCTCCAACACCCTCTCAAGGCTGTTCCCAAGGAGTGAGCACCCGAGTTTTCCCAGAGAGAGAAGTCAGTCTCTCACCTATGGGAATCTGAGCGCCTGTGTCTGTGACTCATTCCTACTTGGCTGGTGCACTTTGCTGGAATGAAAGGTGGGGCCTCAGCTCCCAACGCCCTCCTTCCCTCCTTTCTTCCCTCCCTCCCTCTACGCTATGAGCATGTCTGCACAAAGTCCCAAACTCTGCAGTCCTCTGTATACTTTTTAGTTAATCTGGCCTCTGCCTCTGGATGGTCTCAGAAACAGCTAGAGGAGGTGGTGCCAGTCTGAAATGTCCCGTGCTGCTTTCGACTTAGCCCAGACACACTTTTTAAAAAAAACAGACTTTAGCCTTGCCTGGAAAGTGCATGTTCAAACTAACTTGCAGTGATTTAACTTGCTAAAGCACCTCCCTAAGGCTACATTAGCCTAGGGCCAGATTCACAACAACTCAAATCAGGATTCCTTAGCACCCTCTGTGGACAAAACATCCTACAGTTTACACCCTAATTTTAACTAAATGTTACCACAAGGATTTCTGAGCCTTTTCTAGCTTGTAGCTTTCCCCGAGATACATCTAAAATAAATGGACCAAAACAAATCTTAATGTTTAATGAGCCTTTACCTTTGAAGGATTTAAAGAAGAATCAAGATATTCGTGCTCATTTACCCTACCATCTCAATACAGCTTGCAAAGTGCTTTTCTGTTTATTTCTTCTCTATTATACTCCCATGGGGTGTACTCATTTTACCAGTGAGGACACTCAAACCCCAGAGGAGGTACGTGATTTGCCCAAGAATTAAAAATTTTTAGCTTTAGTTATACTTAATAGGTTTAGTGGTTAATGCATGTAGAAAGCTGTTGTTCTAGGAACTGCAGTGCATGATCAGAAACATACTGACTCCAGGAGGCCTGCAAGCAATTCAACTTTTATGCCCTAGGAGGACTGCAAGTGATCAAGATGTTATCTGAGCCATTGTACAGGAAGAGAATGTCTACTGACCAGAATGCAGATAAAGAATTGCTGGCCAACAGATGAAGGGATACTAAGAAAATTGCTGGACTGCAATTTTTATCTGATTAACCTTTTTCTTGAATTCCAAGCCTGTTGCATACCCTTTTCTCTTCATTATAAAAAAAGGTAGGCTTGATGTTAAGATGGTTTTAGGGTACATAACCCACTGTCTTCTCTGATTGCTGACATCTAAGTAAAATGCCCACAAAGATTCAATCTTTGTCTCTAATTATTAGTTCTGATAGTGACAGGCAACACAAATGCCAACTTTTCCAGTTTCACATTCTGGTGACTGTGGTGGGACTGCTTTGGGATTCTCTGGTAAGTCTGGATATTTTACAGGGAATCCTGTTGGTTACCTAGACTGGAGGGCCCCTAGGGTGCAGATTTGGAGACCCCCTAGCAGCTGCCAAGTGATTTCACTTGGGAACTCTCCTTCTCCAACTCTCAGCACTCCCTATTCACCTTCACTTTCAATTTAATTGCTGTGCTTTCTGGTTCAGGATTACGGTTCCAGGTCATGATTTAGATTGGTCATCAGAAGTTAAGGTGCCTTCTGGTTTATGTGATATTACAGAGCTCTGTCTTTTAGAACATAGTAAGAGCTGGGAAACAGGTCTTTGGGACAAATTTTTGCTAATTGGTTGACCTATGCTTATGAACCTATGACTAAAAAGAAAATGATTTTTTCATTGTAATACTGTTTGGCTTATTTATATTTTGGACTCAGGAGAGTACTGGACTCTGAAATCATCTTTAAATTACTATATTATACTGCAATTAGAGTTCTTTTTTCAAAGATCATGGAAATGGTACAGGCTTTTATGGCTTTGCATAATAAAGATGCAGGATTAAAAAGAAATAGATAAATGATTCAGAGAAAAGGGAATTTGCCTGTGGCAGACAGCAGAAGCTCATAAGAGAGGGATGTGGAAGAACAGGATGTTATGGCTGCTGTGAGCATGGTCAGGGTTCCCAAAGACCCTCCAGCCCTGGGTGATTTTCCTCCTGTCTCAGCTGAGTTAGCCAGAGGAGGTGAGCCTGAACTGATCTCTCTGTTCCAAACCTATCAGGGAACCAAATTCAGGGGAGAAAAATCCCCTACTTGAGCAGGGCAATACCATTTGCAAAGACTTCCAGTGGGAATAGGGCCAGAGAGCCAGCTCACTGAATATTATTGGACATGTACTCCATTTTCTACATCAGATTTGTTAAACTGAGAACACTTAAATCCTTCTTATAGGGATGATTATACTAAAATAACTGACTTAGTTATGTCAATTTTTGCTACCTGCCATCCCAGTTGGGCAAACATGCAAGCCTTGCTGAATTTTTACTTATGGGGGATGAGCAGAGGTTGATATTGGATAGGAAATGAAGAGGCTCAGAGGAGACTTTATCAAGAAAATCCAGATAGGGCTTCCAACCCTACTATATTTTCCTACTAAGACAATACCTTTCATCAAGCCCAAATGGGACCATAATGAGAATGGCCTTCCTCTCTCAGAGCATTATAAGAGGTGCATTCTTGAGGGAATGAAGAAAGGAGTCCCTAAACAGAAAAGTCTGAATATGGTTCAGGAAGTACAACAAAAGCCCACAGAGTACTCCTTGGAGTTTCATAAAAGAATCAACCAGGCCTGCCCTGGCTGATGTGGCTCAGTGAGTTGGGCAGCATCCCATAAACCAAAAAAAGGTTGCCAGTTCAATTCCTAGTCGGGGCATATGCCTGGGGTGTGGGCCAGGTCCTGAGCTGGACGTGTGTGGGAGACAACTGATCAATGTTTCTCTCCCTCTCCTCCCTTTGCTCTAAAAATAAATAAATAAAAATATATATACCAAGCCTACAAAAAATAGACTGATTTGGATCCATAAGCCACTGAAAATATTAGAATGGTGAATTTGGCCTTTATCTGCCAAAATGCACCTGACATCATAAAGAAACTTGAGAAGTTAGAGGGAGGAATAGGCAAGAATCCTTCCTAATTACTAATTAAGACATTGCCTTAAAAGCTTATAACAACATTGAACAGAAAAAGGCCCAAGCAGCCACTATTTTCTTGGAATAGGCCTCAGGGAAATTACATTGGCAAGCAAGAGGATTCCAACTCCCATTTAAAATGCTTGCCACTGATCAATGAATGTATTGCAAAAGAATGGAGCACTGGAAAAAATGAGTACTCCAAATGAGGAAAAAGGAAGTTGGAGTTTGAGAATTCGAGTTATGCTGAGGAAAGGAAACTACTCTGACAATGAATGACAGGGTCCAGAGGTTCAATAATTACAACAACCTATTAAAGTCACCCCCACCCCAAAGAACCTCAAGTAAACTAACAGTGGGGGAACAAATTGTAGACTTTTTGATTTGTACCTGAGCAACATATTCAGTGATCAATAGAACTCTGAGTCCTTGTGGCAAACTGTAACTATTATTGGAATCTCTGAAGCTCTGAAAGCCAATTTTTCTTGAAGCCATTAGAATATGCTGTGGAAAATATGGTTTTAACTCATACGTTTTCATATTTTGCTGACTGTCAAATTCCTACTCTGGAAAGGGCTTTGCTGTCCAAACTCCATGCACAAATCACTTTCTCTCCAGAAGAACAACAGCTTCACCAATAGGTTCCTCCAGAGCACACCTGGCAGTTCCTTATGAAGCCATGGGAAGAAGAAGAAAAGCGATTATGGCCAGAAGAATTTGAGAATCAGGTAAACCCCATTGTGTGGACTGCTAGAAAAGACAGAGAGGGCTAAGCAGGCAACCCCTGTTAAAGTTGACCTCAAACCAGGTGTGGGGACCCCCAGTAAGAAGCTATATACCTTCAGGAAAGAGACCCTAGAAGGAATATGCCAAATAATTCAGAAGTTTTGGGAATATAGATTTATTCATTCCTGCTACTCCCCATAAAATACACCCATATTGCCCATTAAGAAGCCCCACCCAGAGCACGTAGAGAACAGGACACCCAGGGACCAGTGCTACATGGTGGCCATACAGAAACTGTTTTTTAAAAGGAGAGCTGAGGTGAGATCCAAGGCTTCACAGGGACCCATATCTTGCATGCCTGTGTGTGAGGGTGGGGCACAGCAGCATTGCTAACCAAAAACTCAGAGGCAGAGAATACACTGAAGGAACAGGAGGACCCAACCCACATGGCTTATGAGAGGACATCAGCTCAGAATGGAGAACTCAGGCTGGACCTCCTGCAAGAGAGCAGCAGGCTTTGGTCTTGAAGACAGGAACTGAATGTCTGAGATTTGCTGCAGTCAGCCATATCCTTTCACAGACAGGTGAACCCAAATCCCACCTGTGGGATTACAGGCTCCACAGATCAGTGAAGCCAACCTCAAGAGTTTCCTGCTACATACATTTTCTCAGGAAAGAAGAAAAAGCACTGATAGGGCCCTTTGCCAGACTCTACATGCAACACAGCTCCTTAGGCCTTGATCTACTAAACCCAGCAGAGCAGAGAAAATAGAGACAAGTGCCATTCATGTCTCTATTGATATGGCATTCATGTCATATCCTTCAAGTTTGGGAATAATATGACACCAGGTTTTATAATATAGTTTATTTCAAATAAACTATATTATTTCATTTATTGTTCTTCCCTTTTACACCATAATACTTCCTCCCTCCCTCTTTGTATTTTTGTTTTAAGCTCTATTTTCTCTCTTGCTATGACTTTCTATTCTGCGCTATTACTATTGCTGTCCTTTCCAGACTCTCAAAACCATATGTGATTGTCATTAGTCATCTCACATTTCTTTTCCCATTCTTAAAATATCCCTACTTTCTCTCCACTTTTATCAGTATTTGCTCATAGGTTGTGGATAAGGAGGTTGTTGTTACAATATCTTTAATATTATTTCTAGGAAGTTACCATGTTTGTATTTCAAATCTCAAATTTCACCATTCCCCACTACTATTCCATTTTGCCTTCCTCCTACCTTTCCTTGTTAGTTTTAAATGTTAATCTTTCCCTGTCTTAGCAGAGTTTTCATCCCATGTTCTTAGTATTTCTCCTCCCTCTGTCCTCTCAAAATAACTTCTCTTTCCTCTAGACATCTTTTAAGCTCTTTCTTCATTTTTCTTTCTTATTCCCATCCCACCTATGTAAATCTTATCTGTTTGGTTGTTGATATTCCTGTGGGGAAGCTTTTTCTACAATTAGGTTCATATTATTTGATAATGTGTGTGTGT